CAGTCTTAAGAGGAAGAAAAACAATAGTTGAAAGTAATAGTCCGTTGCTGTCTCTATCGTAAAAATAGATAGAAAATATTCATTGGCAACATAGTCAATCATTTTTTTTTATTATTTTTCTAAACTCGAAAGCAGATAACATCAACACATTCATTGAAATTTTGATTATCGAAAAGGTTATTTTCAATATTACCAAATCTAATAAATACATATTGCTGCCGCCATTGCGTACGGAGGACATTGAAAACAAAAATACAGGTGCCAAATCAACCTTAACAATAGTAGTAGCATCACAAACAACTACATCAACATAATCAACATCAATAACATCAACAACGTCAACAACAACAACACCAAATGACAGACCCACCATCAATTGCAATGACATCAACCGGCCACTAAACTTTCATTAACAGTAATTACATTTGCAGTGACAGTGATAAAAAGCAAGGCTGTCTAAGTGTGAAAAATAAGCTGAGATGATCATTTTCATGAGATTAATTAACGAAATGACTTGATTGACGATTATTTTACTCAAAATTTTCATTAAAAAAAGACAATTTGAAATCATAAACTGCTTTTAAATTGTAAACAACTAAAATTATACTCTACTTTCTGTTAATTCTTATGGTTGTTAACAAACAACATAAAAAAAAATAAAAACAAATATGAAAGAAAACAATTTTTTGGCACGTTTTCGCAATAATGAACTGAGTATGCACACATTCTCAATGAAAAATACCGTTCCTGTAATGTTTAAAGTACGTGACCAGAAAAAAAAATCGTTCAGGAAATAAGATTGAAGAATGATCTCGCATCATCGTCATCGCTGTTCATTGTTATCAGTATTGTTACACATCATAATTCTCATTGTTGCTGCTATGGTTATTGTGTTAACATTTTACATTTTGATGTGCTGCTTAAGCATGTTTGATATATTCGTTTCAGGTTGGTTAAGTCACAAAAACAAATTGCTTCGTATTTTAATTCCAGCTACTCATTCGTCCATCTATCCATTCATTCATCCATTTACACATTCACGTATTAATTTATTCATTCATCCATTCATACATTCATCCATTCATCTATTTATTTATTCTTTCATTCATTCATCCTTCCATCTTTAGATCGACATCCTTTCCAAAGAACTAACAAAGGATTCAATATGTTTGATGGATTGATCGTTCAAAAACAATTTATGAGTGTCCGCCCGAATGACAAATTGTGTGTGTACACACACACACTTACACACACACACACTCACACGCACATTGCACAGACACACACACACACACACACACACACACATACATACATACATACATACATACATACATACATACATACATACATACATCTTGTCGTCTTGCACCATCTTATTTTACGAAATATTTGCAAAGAAATTGGCACCTCCTTCTGGAACGCATCTGAGGTCTCATGATCTGAACCTGCTGCTAGTCCCAGTTTCGTGTCTTCATATGGGGTCTCGTAACATCGCCGTCTTTGGACCGTCTGTTTGGAACAATTTGCCTGCCTTTCTAAGAGATCCGGAGTTGAACCTGCCTGATTTCAAAAGAAAACTGAAAAGTTACTTATTTTCGTCGTAATTCATTGAACTTATTTGTTTTAGTTATAACGGAGTGATTTATTTTGTTTATTGTGCCATGTTAGATTAAGGAAATAATGAAGACTGTGTTTTTTTCCTTATAATTTTTTCGTTGAAATGAACTGATAACCCTTTATTTTCGTTGATTATGCCATGATATTTTTTTTGATAGCGCTTTTGAGATCCTTTGAATTAGCGCTTTATTAAATTTTTCATTAGTTATAATAATAATAATAATACATACATACATACATACATACATACATACGAAACGAAATTTTATTTGTTTCTCAAAATTGAAAAATACATACTTACGTACATACATACATACATACACACGTAGACACACACACACACACATGCAAACAAACACACAGACCTACATGCAAACAAACACACAGACCTACCTACAGACAGATACACAAGTAAACATACATGTTGACAAGCAAACACTTCTAAGTGCATGCATTCGTGTAAATTTAAAATTTAAGCATGTTCGTCGTGAACAGTTGCTGAATTAGGACCGCATGCCAAACAAATTTTGCTTACTAGACAGAACAATGAACTTTTACAATCTCGAATTTGATGCAATGATATGAAAACCTCAAGATAAATCGTAATTATTATTTTTTATTTCAATTAAATATTTATTAATTTTTGATTATCTAAAATGACGTAAACATTTTTCTCAGCAGTTACATGAAATAAAATCTAACTTTTTTACTTTAAAAAAAATTATATAAAGGAAATTGCATGCATTCGTTTTGAAATGTCATCTTGCAGCATGCATACCTGATGCATTACTTCCTGGCATCTCTTCAAAACAGTCACCATCCACTTCATCTTTCCTTTTCATTCTTCTCAAAACTCCTGCTGAGTAAACATTCATCTATTTGCATCTCAGTTCATTTTGAAGAGAAGGAAATTTTGTTATTACTTTTCCATGTGTGTAACACGTTTATTTTTTTGGTTCTGCTGGTGTCGTTCTATGAAACCCGACATGTTCGTACGTGTCAGATATATTTTTATCATCTGCAAATAACGTGATTCAATCATTTGGTTAACTTTAATCATTTGTTATTTTTGCAAAAAAATTAAAAATACTTTGCCAGATTTTAATTTTAAAATGTTGTTTTTTCTTAAGAACCATTCAATTTGATTAAAACTTTAGTGAATCTCATATAGACAAAATTTTTAAGAATATTACCAGTGCCAAAAAAGCTGCAAAACAACATTTTTGAAATATCATGTGACCTTAAAAACGTTTCATGTCGTTTGTGATGGGCATGAAGACAATTGAGATTTCTAGAAAGTCAAATGTTAGATACATTGCCAACAGCAGCAGTAAGAACAGAGACTTGCATCCTTCCGTACGATGTGCAGTTGTTCCATCGGCTTTCATTCAGTTTCTCCATTGGTTCGCTTTATGCGAGCATCGCTCAGGTATTCTATCATATTACGTGATCGTATTTACGACTCCCAGGTTCATTTAATTTTTACTCGGTTATTTTATTTCGTAAATCAACAAATTTGTTAAAAACTTGGGTAACAATTGGATACAAAGCATGAAGAAATTATTTTACAAAACCATCGTATAGACAAGGTTCAGTAGTACCAAATTATTTATTTTCAAAACAAGAATTATTTCAATAAAATATTGAAATACAATATAAAATGATTTATGAATTCACATTTGTGGCGTATTGTTCATGTTTTATAAAACCAAATGCCTGAACTGTTAATATAAGTTTGGACAAACAGCATTTATAACATTATCCTCGCTTTATTAATGACCGCTCGCATTTGCTAAGTCATTGGGTCTTTCGTTATATACTTGAATAGTTGCAATAGCGGTTTTAAAATCGGTACGATGATGATGAACTGTTATTCACCCATCATTATCGTCATCCTGTTATACTTATTGTTTGAGATTGCAATTATTTCGACAATTGATTCATCGCTACAATCGCTTGCTTGAGATTCACATTTATTATGTGCATTCGCATCTTGGTTACGCAATTATTTATTGTATAAGTGCTGTACTTTCTGAGACGTTTATGTGTTATGTTTCTAACTGCTTTAGTGTCACAATTATTTTGCATACAATTATTTCGTTGAAGTCAATGCATTGTGAGGGTGTATGTGTGTGTGTGTGTGTGTATGTGTGTTGATGCATTTTGACGCTTTGCAAAGACGTTGATTATCGTTTCAAGGTAGTGACAGAACAGAAACATATGAGATATTCTTGATAAAAATTTTAACATTTCGGAATGACATTAAAAGACGCACAAAATAGCCAATACTTCCAAGCAGCAATAACTTCATAGCGCCGCATCAATGAGAGATGTTTTGAACAATCAACGTTCGTTGGTATTTTTTTATTTAGCAGCGAAAATTCATAAACATATATATTACCAACAAAAGACTTACTGCTTCAAAAAAATTCGTTCTTTCTTTTTAACCTGATGCGAAATTTTTTCGTTAAAACTCACACCTGCAATGTTTTAGTTTGCCCAACTGTTAAATATACATCAACTATCAAGGTATCACCCAGAGGAAGGGACTAAGGAGCAAATTGCCTGCAGGGCCATTAAAATTATTTTCACAAGATGCTGTTTCGCAGTGAATGCAGTGCCGGGTTCGAATGCGGCAAAAAGATAGATGCCTGCCTCCTATGACATGCTTCGTGTGTGATGCATCGTTAAGCATGCATTCATATACAATGTTTGTGTGTTGTTGATTCCATTGAACCTAGCAAGAGTGTGCAACTCCTTTAATGTTTGCTTTAACTTTTATCTTGAAAATAACAAAGCATTACATCAAATAAATTTTTTTCACTCGCTAGTTGTTACTAAATTTAAAACACTTTAAAATGCGTCTATTGCAAACAAACGAAACTTATGTTCTTAATTTTGTTATGGATTTGGTTACTCGCTTAGGTCTGTGAGTTACTTTGCCCACTGTCTTCGAGGTAGCTCAAGCGAAAAATATTTCTTGGTTGCAAATGCATAGTTTTTCCGATTTTTTAAATCGTCGTAATACCACACGTTTCTAATTGCTTTAATGTATTGTTATAACCACAGAAATGATCAAATTGCGATATATTATTCATTATTTGATTATTGTTATTTTTGCTAGATTTTTAATCTTTGGATCGTAAACTAAAGAGGGTTGAAGCAGTTGTGTTCATATATCGGAAATCGTGAATCTACGGAATAACGAAAACTTGACGATCGTTGGAAGCTACAAGACTGGTGCTGGAAATATAGAGATCTTTAAAGTTATGACATTGGTGCTGGTAGTTACAATGTCAAGGGCTACAACAGTATTATGCTCCAAATTGAAAACAAATTCTAAATATTTGTTTTCAACTGTTAACTAAAGCTGAACGATTGAAGTTGAAAAAAATATTATTTGTTAGTACTTAATAATTATTAGTAAGCAGTTTATTATTTACTCAGTACTTTTCGATAAAAAACGGTGAAACTGTTTGAATCGTTATTCTTCTAGTGAATAGTTTACAAAATAGAGAAGCTGTTGAGACAACTAGCGAAATGTTTTGGTCGAAAGTAGAAAAATAAAATTATTTGCAAATAAAAAATGTTATTATTAAGTAAATGTTTCCACTGTATTAATTTTAATTCTTTTGCTGATCAATGACGATGACTTAGTATTAACTAAATAAGCCAACTTTTACGACGTGAAATAACTTCAATAATAAATTTATCAGCTAATAATTAAAAAAATTCAAATCTAAAAATGAAAAAATCTAAAAATAGTTATTTCCTATAGCGGTTTCTGGCTGACGATAGTTTCCTGCTTGACTCCATACCGGAAGTTGCATGTTCCAGTCGTCCTAGTTACAACGGTCCCATCATCTTCCACCTCCACGATCCCTGTAAAATCCCGGCCCTTCCTCTTCTCGCGATCCAAGTGCTCTTTAACTATCGCACCCAGCTGCGATGTTTGGTTTATTTGTATGAAACGTTATTTAAATTCAAGTGATCCAACTTTTAAAATACTCGTTCAATGTTGGTTTATTTGAGAGAAATTGTGTTCTGTTTGTCAAAAATTCAATTGCGTAAATTTTGAAAAAACTGACAAATGTTTTTTAATCTAAACGTTTTATCAAGTTTTTACTTAATTTAAAATTCAAGACAGTTTGTAATTCACCTCATGTCCCGTGGCCTTGATCATGCTGTTGTTGTCCTTTATGTTGTGGTACGTCACGTATATGAAACCTTTCATCCGAGATACTATTTCGAACCTTCATTACGTCAATTTTTATCAAGTCATTTAATTTTAAAATATTATTTGAAAATTATTTATATAATTTCGTTATAGAGGACAGAGTATAAGAATAAATATCAAAAATATGTTTCTAAGCTTTTGAAAGAGAATTTAGAAATGTTCGCTAGAGAGCACTGAAATTGAAATAATGCAACTCACTCTCCGCTTAATTTCTTCTCATTGATGACAAGGAAGGCTTCAGCTACATGCTTCGGCTTCACTTGGATGACCGACTCCACTCCCCACGTGATCTCCTCCTCGAATGTGTCGCCTTCAACTTTGTTCAGGCTGAACTCACGTTTGAAGCCAACGTTGGACTCGAAGATCTGACAGGGCGTCGTCAACTTCACCGCCATTTCAATTCCTTTCGTGTATCCTGTTTCAACTTCGGTGCACAAACTGCTGCGGGTTGTTTTCTCTGTTCTCATCGTGTACTCTTGGTTGTCGTCTGTGTTGTTCGTGAAGCTGGTGTTTCAAAAAGTTTTGGAAGTAATTAGAAAATCAATAGGCTAATTGTTAAAGAAGCTGATACTTTGGAAACGTTTTTGAAAAAATTTGTGAATTGTTAACTTTTAAATAATTTAATATTCCTAAAAGTTTTAATAAACAAATTATTTAAAATATATATTTACAATCACGCAATCATTTATAACTAACATGTTATAAAATAAAAGAAAGAGCACGAAGCATACCAGGTGTGGAAGAGCACAGACATGGTTGGCTTTTTACTATCGTCTGCTGTTTCTTGTAAGAGCGAAGTTGCAGCTGACGCAGAGGCTTCAACGGTGAGATCCTTCAACGTCGGCCACTTAGTTTCATCGATGATTCGCACCTTGGACCAATCCATCACAATGTTGATGTACTTTGTCGACGTTTTGCGCTGCTTCTCCTTCAACTTCCTCTCATTCCTAGTTGCAGTCCTGTCGTATTCCCGCTCTGCCCAGTTCAAAATGGCTTCCTCAAAATCTACTGTTTTTGCTCGAGACATTCTTCAACAGTTAGTGTAACAACTTTTTACTGGATTTAATTTTTTATGTGTGTTTGATGTCTGAAGATAGTTTCTGATCAATGACCGATAACAGATGGCTTCGATGATGCTGTCCTTTCTGAGTCTAACTCTTCTTTTCTGTTTAAATATTGTTTCGTTAGTATGAAATTGTTATTGTTTTTCATATTGTAAATATTTCCTTATTTAATCAATCATAAAATAAAAAGAAAATTATAAATTTCTCAACAGCCACTGATTAAAATTTAGTGACGACAGAATCAGTAACTTTCCTCTCGAGACAAAATTAAAGTAAAATTTAATTCCTAAAATTCAGAACTGAACGAACACACAAACAGACAAACTCTCAACGAAAGCATCGTCGACTACAGCACAGAATAAACAAACACACACACATCCATCAACCTAATTGATCCCAATTAAATTATTATCTCTCAAACGAATCAAACAGCCTTCCTCTCTAGCGTAAACAAATTAATTATTTTATCCAACAGGCCTCTTATTTATTCATTTTAAATTCAAAAGTCGGAAACAAATGTATTAAAATTATTAAATAAAATTATTAACATCAAAAACATAATTTAAGACCGAACAGTATAATGGATTGGTGAATAATGTACGGCGTCATGTTTCAATACATCTTATTTCATCTTGCTTTTCATCTGGAATTAAATCATATGTCTTACAACATCTATCAAAGAATATTTAAAATTTTTAAATGTTTATTCACTATTTATATTCTTTTTAGTTAATTATTAATAAAAAAAAATAAGCTGACAAATGGGATTTATTTAAAACTATAAAATCAAAAGCCATTTTTCTAATTAGACAAAGTCGAATTTCATTTCAGTGAGCTATGAAGTATGGTTGTACAGTACACTCTATCAATAAGATGTGAAGATATTTATTCATATTAGATTAGAAGTGCAGCAATTAAAAAAATATGTTACGTGTAATTGCTTTCAAACATGAACAACATTCGAACTTCATCATCATCACATCAGCAAACCACATGAGATGAGAAAAAAAAAAACACAGTCACACACACACACACACACGTGCCAACAACAAACAAGCCAGGCAGCCAGGCTTGCACGCGCGCACGAACGATTGAATTGATGAATATGAGATAAGAAAGGGCACACAGACATATCCTCCCTCTCATTATTACTATTTTTCTTCTACCTAACTCTTTCTCTTTGTCTCTCTCTTTCTCTCCTTCATCCCACTTGCCATCTTTTTCTGTTTTATATAAATTTCTTTGTATAAACTTCTGGTCTTTCTTGTGTTTTTATTCATCAAAAGAATAGTGTATTTAAAATGTTGTTTTGAATGTTTTAATGGTTTGTAAATGCTAGCAGAAATATGCAATCTATTTTATGAAAAACAAACAGAATGCAGTGAATAATAAAATTATTAAAATGGATATTTGAAAAAAGGAAGAAGATCAATAAATAAATTTTAAAATAACTTACCGAATAAAAAGTGAATTTATGTTAATGAGACAAACGATCGAAATTAGAAATAACGAAAAGATATAAATAAATAAAGAGATGAACGAACGAATGAACGAATAAATGAATGAGAGAATGAATGAATGATTGCATAAGCTTGGATGAATCGCACAGGCAGACCTATCTTATAATTAATCTCACAGCATCATGTGACATTAATTTATTTCAGCAAGAAGATTAAACGTATCGTGAATTTAGCGTAAAAAAATATCCATTTTATCATCCTCATTTATTTTATTTTTAATTTTTGCATAGATTTACTGTAAAGTTTCGTTTAAAACCTTTCATTGTTTCTATTAAAATTTAAATCAGAACTTAGAATGTCATTATTAACATCTTCACATTACTCTCATTTGGACAATAACAGCATCTTGATCATCTTTATCTACAGTATAAACATCATCATCATCATCATCCTTCTCATTATTGTCATCTTCATCTCCATCATCACTGATATCCTCAACATAATCGTCGTCATTAGACTGAACAATGGCGGTTGGTCGGTACATGAAAATCATTATACCATCTAATGACAGCAATCTCGGCGATAATTTTCATCATCACACTCACCATCATCATTATTTTCAACGTCTTAACGATATCATCACAGCCACCATCATCATTATTCTCATCATCATTTTAATCACTATTATCATTATTGCGCTAAATGATTTTGGCAAAACAAAATTTATTGCCAATTTTAAATTGTAAAAATTAATCATAATATTTTCATCTTATGTAGTAATCTTATTTCAATGTCTTGCTCATTTCATCACCAATGTCACTTTATCTCTTAATCATCGCCAGCGTCATCACCACAAACATGTCGAAAAATATGACTTAACATCGTCCACCGTCAGAGTATCATATCAACGACCTCACAACGATTATTTTTATTATCATCGTTATCTTGTGTTATGTTTATTCACAATATTAATTAATATAATAATTATTATTATCATTATCATCCTCATCATCACAATTACCATCATTATCATCGAGTCGGGCTATATAATTAATGGTTACATTTGTGTTGAACTAATATATATATATACGGAGAGAGAGAGCAGAAAAGAGAGAGATATATATAAAAAGAGAGAAACATAAAGAAAGAGATAAAATATATTAAACGAAAGTAGATAAATTGATAACACGATACAGCACGTACATAATTTAATAGAGGAGTTAACTCTTGACTAATATAAAGATGGATGGATGGAAGGTATGAAGAAGGAAGATGCTGTTTTGATTGAAGAACTGATGGGTAACAGGAGATGAACATTTAATTAAGTAGATGTGCGGTATTTTTAGTGAATAATTGAACAAAAGAATGAGTATATATGATTGAAGAAAGGAATGTGTAAACTTTTGTTCTTTTATTTTATATAAACATATAAATGTAGGGCGATAGATAGATCGATAAATAGAGGTGGAATGTGGATAGATGGATGGAAAACAGTTGAATGAATGAATGAATTGACGGTACATTAATCCCAGCGGTCCGTGCAAATGTGAACAGAGAATTAAAGAGCATGGTGCTCGTGGATGTTTACAGAGGTGCCTCGGGGAACTTTATTGAATTTGTTCTCTCCATTTCTCTAATTTCGTTTCGTATTGGAACCGATCTATTTTGTGTCCGTGTGGTTGGTATGCATATCATCATATAAGCGTTTTTGAAGATATGTTCGATTTGAAGTTTTTTGTAAGGACTGCAGAAATGAATGATAAATGAATGTTTTTTAGCTCTTATTTCGTGAGCACAGACACCTACAAATATATAGTTAATTTAAAGTAGAATAAAATTTTAAAATATCATACATTCATTCAAATTGACAGAAAAATGTTGTTTGTAGCACCACTAAAAAATTATTTTTTCCATTTATTCAACGACAATAATTTCATTTAAATTCAGTTGTCAATAGATCTCCTTATACATCAAAGAAATAATATTTAATCATTGTACAACGCTCAAGTTTTATGGAAATGTTGAACAATCCAACCAGTATTATATGGATTATATGGGTGAAAAAAACTACCGCAATGTTTGATACCAGCGTTTTATATTTTTACTAGAAACATTGAACATACTTGTATATGAAAACAAGGCACACCACTCTTATATACAAGTGCATCCCTACATGAACTACTGTGCAAACATTACAACTACTATACAAGTTCAGTATGTACATTTGTGTGCATGTATGTATGAATATCTGTATGTGTAGATGTATGTACTTGTGTGTAAGCAACAGCTAGCATTGAGAGGCAAATACAAAACAACTTCCTGAGTTAATCAATCGATCGCATCAAAGCAAAAACATTTTCAGTCCTTTCATTTTATAGTTCGTTCGATAATGGTGCACCATGAACAATAATAACATGTGGTGCTGTACAAGTTTATATCATTCTATGCATACGAACGAATGAGTAATTATTGATATTCATCTGTATGTAAGCATATGCTTGCTTGTATGCATGTGTGTTTCTCTGTCTTCACTTGTTAACATTTAATAACAGGATGGATTGTTAATATTGCACAGCTATATAGCTATGCAAGCCATCAAAATTTTGCATATCGTCGAGTGTACAGCACATGCATCAGTTACTTGGGCAGAGTTTTACGGCAATTTGCATTTGCGTTATTAGCATTAAAAATATTTCTACATGTTCGGTGAATGACAAATTCAATTTTTTTCTTGCGGAAGAAAAATTTACAAATTTGTTAATTTCAAGCTTAAAGATGTAACAAATTTACTTGTTACAGACGGCTTTTTCAAAATTATAAATTTGCACATAACATCAAAATCGGCCAAAATGTGCAAGACTTATGCTAAAAATGTAATAAATCTGGTCGTAATGTGATTTAGATCAAGTAATTGGCGTCACTGGACATAAAATAAGGTCATACATTTCTACATATTGTTATACTGGTCGCTTTTCACCATTCTTCGGTTACCGAACGAACAACATAACATAGCTTATTCTTGGGGAAATTCTTTCTGTTTCTGTAAACTCGCTCGCTCAACGTTAAATAACTCGATGTTGTTCATGTACATGAAATAACGAGAGTTGGCTTTAATTGGCGACTTACGTGTGTTGAGTATTAGTCAGTGTTTAAAAAGATTTAAAGTTTAATGATCGAAATCGAACGAGAAACGACTCACACAATATTGCTAATAATATTTTTTACTGTTTAATATTATAACAAAACTTAAATTGTAAAATTAAGTTTTAGATTATCAAAAAGTGTTCAAAGGTGTTAGAGTTTGTTAAGTCTTGAAAAGTGTTTAAGAGATAACTGCGATAACTCTTAAATAACTAAGATAACTCTCAGCTTTATCTTTAACTTATGTGCTCACGTATATACTAAGAGACCTTGCTCCCTAGAGCTTAACTAGTAGTCTAACTTCTTCCTATTGTATGTCATCTCATTCTTATTATACAAAGTATTATAAGCTCTGATTAATTATACGTTATATTTTCTTATATTAAAAGATTCTTTATGTCTGTAAATTTGATGTCCCGTCGTGAACTACTTTTATAACTGAACTATCATTTTAATTGCTTACCTACTTTAACATATATCTATATACAACCGCCCATATTTGTTTATACCACCTAACCTAAATTATTATCTACATAATAGTATATTGAATTATATAATTATACACAACACATTAATTCACATGAATTATGTTTGCAGTAAAAATGAAGAATAAGATTTCAATCAAGTAAAAGAACTCTAGACGGATGAGATCAGCAGACCGAAATGATCAAAGCGAGTGTATTAATTTAAAATTCATCAAAAGATTCAATCATCGTTCGCCAGCATTCACTGCATACATGCATGCATACAAGCAACCAACATGCCAGCAACATTTTCAACAAATGAAAATTAAATTAATATTTAAAAACGTATTTTATATGATTTAATTTTACGCAAAATTATTTTAAAATATATAAAATATTTCCTAACCAAGGCAAAGTATCAATGTATGGGGAGTAGAAGTTTGGAAATTATCCAAAAAATTCTGTTGAGCTATATACGCTCTAACAGTGCGGAAAATTATTTAAAATAAATTTAAATAATTTTGTTTAGAATTATTTCTATTTTTCGATTTAATCCTCACTAAAACATGCAAGACAGGATGAAAGCATCTGGTGGGCGATGCTCATTGGCTGGTTGCAGAGCAGCCTGGCAGTAATACATTATGCCGCCCCATCAAATTATCACAAATGCCTTCTAAATACCATCAAATTGCAAATTTTTGAAATAAAAACAACATTAGTTTGTTTAGAATGGTTCGATTTATATTAATATATTTCAATTTGACGAATTCGAAATGATTCTTTGAAGATTAAACGTCTTGATATGGATATGATATGATGATGATGCCTCTCTAATGCAAAAATTCCACAATTTTCTCTAAAATAAACTTACAGTTTTGTTTATTCGAGAGATTTTTCAACAACAACAGTTTAAGAATTGTAGTAATTAAAATTTATTTGATTGCAATTATTTGATGAAAAAGAAAATTTGTTGTCGTAGGACGGTGCTGTAGTGTAGTAGTTGTGGTTGCTACTGCTGTAGTTGTTCTGGTTGCCACTGTTCAGATTGATGTGTTATGTTAATGTTGTTGCTTAATTTTATTTGAAAAATTATCTCTAATCCAACAATGATTTTGGTAGATGCATATTTGTGGAATGAATATCAGTTGTTATAATATAATATCTTAAAAATATTGGTAGTTAATTAATAATAACACAACAATTTTTAAATTTACAGTAAATTAAAATGTAATCCAAATCAAATATCAAAATTATAAAAAAAGCAATAGATTCGAAAAATAATTTAATTGAAATCGTACAAAGGCTTCTTTAAAGGCGCTTCACTTCAACTGATTGAACGCACACACATATGGTTCATAAATGTATATGTATATTATATATATATATTATATACATATATATATATACATTAGTTATATATATATATATATATATATATGTAATACATATATGCAAATAGTCATTGCCTATCACCAGTCTTAATTTTGCCTTTTCCCGGCTCATGATTTTCATATCATAATTTATTTTTTAAAATGAATATCTTAATAATGACCTGATAAAAGATAGTACGCATCCAATCTTTTATCCACTCTGATTATTTTACGTCAGTTTTTGAGATATCGATTTCAGCATATTTCAGGAGCAATGATTTTGATTTATTTGAAAAATTGGTTAATTGGTAATTTAACATGGACGATTGCTGCATGGAAATGTATTTGGAAACCCGTCATTCTCTAAGAACAGCAGACACTAACTACTCAACGAAACGCATGTACTTCTCATATGGAGAAATTTAACCAAGTAGACGTGTTCAATACTGGCTTTGGTTTCAGGCATTTTTCTAAGAGCAGCATGCAATTGTGTTGGACAACCCAATGTTTATTCAGAGGAATTTATTCCAATTAAAATCTAAATATTTAATTTAATTAGTTTAATTTTTACTTTAATTTATAAACGAGCTCAAAACAATTTAGTATTATTTTTCGACATTTTCACAGAATGATATAAAATGATAACACCATTAATGTATGTAACATAAACAATGGCTAAATTGAAAACTATTGAACGCCGACAAATGTCATGTTACAATTATAAGCGGCACGAAGCACAAAAATAATAATGATGGATAGGTGGCAGGAGAGTCCATAATTCAAAATAATTCTACAGGATCGTCTTTCATTTGGCAAATAAACTTTTTAAAATTTTCTTTTCATGTTAGTATATATAGTAAAAATTTATAAACGAACGTGTGAATGTGTTTTTGCGTACTGCGTAGATTTATGATTTATAAATACACTCCCAGAAGCATATACACATACACACATACATAGACAAACACACATACATGCACATTAACACACATACACACACATACAAATGTGCATTTCCTGGTTGTATGAATCCTTACATTACACACACACACACACACACACATATATATATATATATATATATATATATATATATATACAGCTCATATTATCAGCAAGATAATCGTAAGTCATGTGACTAATGTGACACGTTGCATCTGCTTCCGCTTGGTGACGATAAAATACTGTCCGTCAAGATGATGATGATGTCAAACAGTGGATGATGATGATGATGACGTTATAATGTGGATGGTGTCCGTGTTGTCCGTAACGATGATGATGTGGATGAACGTGTATTGGCTGTTTGTTGATCCCGTGTGGTTATAAACATGCTCTTCTATTTTATTCAAATCCTTGCTATTCATGTTATCATTAATGAGATATATTTTATTGCGACCAATGAAATGAATTATTTGGTGGTATCAGCATTCGTAGACTTGAAAAAATTTTCAGAACATCCGGCAAATTTTAATGAAAAATTCTATTCTTAAACAAAACAGGAAATCCATTCTACTACTGAATTTCAACTATAGTGACTATTTTTATCCTTATAGAAAAATCTTGCAACAACTGCACAATAATGATGATGAAGATGACTACGACGATGATGATGTTAATAGTGGTGACGATGACAATGCAGAGGGTGACGTTGATGCTGATTATAATAATGATGATGACGACGACGACAATGATGATGGTGATGATGATGACGATGATGATGAAAAGGATTGTAATTGGCAAAATATGATGAGAAAGATTATTTTTTATTACCGATGAAATTCATGTGAACGTGTGTGTGATGTAACTTTTTCAAAGTATAGTGAAGAGATTGACATTAATTTCCATTCATTACACTTCCTTCTTAGGTTGTTGTTTTGTTTATTTATTTATTTTAATTCAATGTTTGCTTTGTTTGTTCGTTCATCTCTTTATTTGTTTGTTCGTTCATACGTTCAGTCATTCATTTACTTATTCATTCATTCAAAACTTCATTTATTCATTCATACATTCAATTAATCAATCATTCAACTATTAATTTTTCATCCATCTATCCACTTAGTCATTCATTCACTAATTCACTAATTCATTAATTCATTCATTCATCGTATGTTTTTTTGAAACAGTTTTTAATTTTTTAAAGAATTCACACACATTTTCTCATTTCGAATCAAGGCATCCCATCCATTACCTAGATTTATTCTGATTTAGTATCAATCAAATAAAAATATTATTATTAATATTTTTAAAATTACCTACTATTATTGTTGTTACTATTATCCTTTTTCAGTATTATTAATCTCATTATTAATATTTTTATACTCAAATAAATAACAATATAAAATCTGTTTCAAATTAGAATGAAATGAAATTTCAAAAAACGCCTATCAGTCAATCGATAAATATATGATGTTAAGGATAGGAGCTAACAAAACTTAAAAAGTATTGTATTGTATTCTGTATTCATCGACAGGGGATTAGTTATCCGGTCATGAAAATAGTTTGAAGACTAGCTATCAATATACAGCTATATGTGCTGTATATACATGTACGTGTGTGACGTGTGTGTGTGTGTTTGTGTGGTATGATGTTTGTGTGTGTGTGTGTGTGTGGGTGTGTTTTTATGTGTGTGTGTTGGTATGTCTCGTACGGTATGAAGGACATAACGCTGATGAGTGATGATGACAAAAGATGAGATGAGATGCGATGTAATAAAGAATGGGAGGATGATTATATAAAACTAATGTTCCTTCGTCTGTCGTTCAAACTGTCGCACCGTGTTACCGTGAATATGCGTGTTTGTGTCTGTGTATGTGTGTGGTGTGTGTATGGTGTCCGCGTGCTACATATTTAGTAGTCTTTGTCTTAATGCTTGTTTCTTTCTAAATATGTGCCAGTACGTGTGTGTATTTTCGAATGTGAATTTTATAATATGCATACGTCTAGATGACTGGTTGAAATGTTTATGAAAAGAAAATGGCATCATTTATTCGTGAGATCATTTTCATTTAAATTTTTTCGTTTCGAAAATATTCCCATGTTATTAAATGTCAGTCAAAGCTTGTCATGTTATATCAGATGACATCAATGCAAGAAGATAAACATTTACTGATCATATTGGTTATACGTGGCATTATTAATATATAAGATATTTATTATTATTATTATTATTATTATTTTACTATTATTTAATTGTTATTATTGTTTTTTATTAATTAATTAGCCACATTAACGAGTTAGTTTTAATATTTGATTGAGTTTAGATATAAAATTGCAATGTGGCATTGTGTTTTTTGTAAGATTGACTTGCAAGAGTTAATGTTTGTATGTTGTTCTATATTGAAAAAAACTCAAAACAAACACAAGTAAGAGGATCAATGACAAAATATTTTCCATCATTTGCCATCTTTCAACAATCTGCACAGAAAAAATCAATAATTTCTTTCACCAGTTTAAATCTAATACACGGCGATCTCGATATTTTATTACCTTATTTTGTATCTTTCGTCTTTCTGGCTCAGGTTCGGAAGAGATAAAAAAAAAAAAATAGGAAACACCAATGTCACCATTCTTTCTTATTCTTTCTTCAATTGAAATGAGTTAGGTTCATGAGTGAACCAGCAAAATGAAATTGTTAACGCAAAAATTTAAACAATAAAGTTGTTTCTATAATCAGGTATTTTTCTTAACTATTTAGTTAGTGTAATTTTGTCGTCTTATACTTGAACCAAATTTACATTTTGTTCATTGCATTCAGAGCCGCTTAAATACGTTCGGTTGTTTTTGATGTCAAACAACAACAAAAAGAAACGAAGAATATGAATAAATATATAACATGTATAATACGGACTTCTAATACTAATACATCATCTCGTCTGCTTCATTTACATGCTTCCTTCTTATCTTCCCCACCTTTCATACTTGAATCTTCTTTAAACTGTTGTTCAAACGAAGTAAACTGCGCGCTACACATTCCATCATATGATATACTCAATAACGCGGATTTGTACTGCCTATATATGGTGTGTTCACTTTGTTTCAGCATGAATTCGAAACAGAAAAAACACTAGAAAAAAACAATCAAATTCAGAAACAAAAAATGAGTGAAAAAGAAAGAGAAAGAGAGAGAGAGATTATGGTGATAAGGAGGAGGAGGATGCATTTGTGCATTTGTGTATTTGAACATGATTGGTTTCAAACATATACAAAGTGAGATTAGATAGATTACGTCCTACAAGTGAGATAAAAGTAGACTTAAAGTTGGATGCACACACAGTTTAAATTTCATTGAAGCTAGAATAATTTACATAAGTGGGATAAATAGATGGATAAGTAGACAGTAGACAGATCAACACTTTTGTAATGAATTCATCTGTCTATCATCCTTCATCTATCTCTTTCATCCCTCCTTCACTTGTCGGTGAACACACAACGGACGATTACATTGCAGATAATATATAATTGTGTGTGTGTTTGTGTGTGTGTGTGGTGTGTGAAATGATATTTGTCCTAACTAAACAAAACTAATATATAGATTGATTTTGCCATCTCAACCACTTTTCTCAGCGTAGAACTTTACAACCGTTGTTATCACCTACGGTAATAATCATCTTCAACAATAATAATATTATTATTACCTACTTTTGCTACTACTCATACTAGTATTACTACTATTACTACTACTTCTACTAATACAGCTGATACTACTACTAGTACCAAAATTAATACTACAAATACTACCACCACTATTATCATACTTATCTAATTTCATGAAAAGAAGTTACAATTTCACATTTACTTTTTTAGTTCTAAAACGGCTTTCGTAACGGGACATGTTTCCCGCGAATTTTTAAGATATTAATAAATCATTCAAAGTGGTCTAACATTGTTTTTCCGGAGACATGGCTCTGACAAACATTGCAGCCTTACATACTGTCGTGTAGACTTCATAACAGCATTTGATTACAACACCCTACATTTAATTCGATGAAATTTCGATTCCATACCGAATCAGTTGGCGAAACGAATCATCAACAATGAAATACAATAAAGAATGCTCACCTGACAAACTCAACTGAATTCATTTGAAACTAATTATCTTTAACAGTATAATGAAAATTAAACCATTGTTTAGCAATTTAAAAAATTTTCTATTAAACGATCAACCTAATTAATAACTAATTACAAATTAATATGATACTTGTTTAGTTAGTGAATTAGCACTAAAAATAGTGCTTTTGTCATTTTCATTGAATAATTAGTAAACCTATCAAGAATATCATTCTGAATATAATTAATTAATAACAAATCACTGAACATATCGTTGAAGTTCGGATAAAAATTGAGGCAGCGAAAGAAATTCTCTGCATTCGATCATTCGTCACTTTTAACTATCCATGTGCAACGATCAATCATCGAATGATCTTATCAGATCAGATGCCCTCAAGTAACGCCTAACACAATGCTGCTGTTTCATGCGATTGTTGTTGTTGTTGTTGCCCCTTCACGACCACCTATCTATTGGACAGGCGAAGCCTGAGCCAATCAGCAACCGCGGTTGGGTTTTGCCACAGGTCTATTGTCTTGAGATTCGTAGGATTGGCAGGACAAGAGAAGAGATGAGCCACGTCGTCCACGTGCGTGTGACAGTGAGGACACATATTATCTGTACCGCCATCAATAACTTCCCTGAAACTGCCTAAGATGATACTGTGGCCAGATCGGAGTTGGGCCAGAGTTCTTCTTATTGCCCGAGGCAGAGAGTTTCATGCGATTCGATCAATACGTTTGTGGTGCAGTGTTATACATCATATGGTGTAAAATGATTAAAGTATCAATCATCCAGAAAATCTTGATCAATTAATTAAGTGATTGGGTAATGACGATAACGACCATTATTGTAACACGAAATAATATAATTTGCAGATGCATCTAGAGATTTATAGACATTTTCATCCCATCTAACGAATATTTTAAAATATTTGATTTTGTACATTGTTCCCAATTTAACAAAATGCGATACAACTGTTTATTACATTAGCTCTATATATTTATTTTTTTTATTTTATTTATTTATTTAAAGGATAACCAAAAAAAGATAAAATTGTGGATAGGCCACCCTTAACTAAGAATTCCAACTGTAAATGTAACAGAAATGTCAAATAAATACATATACACAAATTCTTACTATAAATGTAACAGAAATGTCAATAAATACATACACACAAATTCTTACTATAAATGTAACAGAAATGTAAAATAAATACTTACACACAAATTCTTTCTATAAATGTAACAGAAATGTCAATAAATACATACACACAAATTCTTACTATAAATGTAACAGAAATGTAAAATAAATACATACACACAAATTCTTACTGTAAATGTAATAGAAATGTCAAATAAATACATATACACAAACACATGCTCACACGTACATCATTCTATGAATACTGTCATGTTTCATATAGTACCTAAAGGTGACAGTATAGTCACAACTGAGACTGAAAATTCGCTTACTAAGAACATCAAAATTAAATAAGTTGTAAAATAGTGTAAAACTATTTAAAATAAGTGTTTTTTTTTAACTAAAAAAGTTTTAGCTTGTTTTTAAATAAGTGTAATGAGTTGATTGTTTTAATTTCATGTGGCAATACAGTATCCCATACCCTCGGACCATTAAGTTTGATGCTTGAGTGAAAAGCTTTTAATCTCACAGTATGAGAATAGAAAAGGGAAGTGTGAATGTCATTGCTAAAAGTGAAAAAATTGGCAAAATAATTAAGCAAATATATTATAATTATATGCATTTGGTAAAATAATAATCCTTGTCTAGTTTAATTTCTAACATTATATCTATGAACAGATTTTGTCTACATTATTTTATATAAACATTTTTGTTGTCATTGTTTATGAGCGATAATATGAGTAGATCGTAAAAGTTAGAATTTTAATCATCAAAGTCAAAAGTGCCTTCTTTTCCTGGGGGATGGATGGGGATGACAGTTCGAATGAATATCTGTCAACATTCAAAAGCAATCAAGCCGCAATTAATAGAGGAGTAAATCCAAATCGGATGTACAAAAATCAGAGCAGAAACAATGAGCAGTATCAACAACATCATCAGCTACATCACTGGTCATCTTCAATTAAGGAAGTGTCCGTGGCGTTTGGGTCCAACAAATTGTTGAACGTCATTTTTCTTGGTGGCAGTTGTGACGCCAGCTTCATTTATGTTGCATCCATCGATCACAAGAACGTCAAGTAATTTAATTAAATTTATTTAATTTTTTTATTACATTACTTTACTTTTTATTTTTACTATTATTTATAAATTAAAATAACAGATAATTTTTATAACAGTACTTGCATTACTTACTCTCTCTTAGTCTTACATCTTTCTATTGATTACCATTACTTTGTTAACTGAAATGTTTTATTTATTATTTATTATTAATTAATTAATTTAATTAATTAAAATAACTTATAATCGCCATTAAAATTAAAATAGCTGATGAGTTGCATTTGATTTTTAATTCATCATTGCTTTCAATCATTTTATCATAATTTGAAGATTAATTTAATTTTTAATCATGTTTTGTGATGGGTCCTGAAACTTTCAATGTTAGTCGTTAGTGTTGTGAGTTAATGATAAAAGATGGAATTTTAGAAAGTCAATTTCAATGTAAATAGATGTTCACTATGGCATTGTTACAAGAAGTATTAGACATGAGATGTCATATTTCAAAATGTAAATAAAATCAAATCAAAAATAATATTGTTCAAATTAATTAAAAGAACCAATAAAAGTTTATAAATTTTTTCATAATGTGACTGTCAAAACCATTTTTTTCAAATTTATATAAGCATCTTTTATATGTTGCTAACGTATTTGCATTGACTTTCATGCATGTATTTTATTTAAAATATTTCTAAAGAACAGATACATTCCATGGCAGATTGTATTAAAAAAATATGAATTAATAAACTTGTTTCTTACGATTTAAATAAAATCTTGTAAGTTATAATTAGCATATTTCTATTTTGAACAAAAAATAATTATCAATAAACATGTAAAATGTTTTTTCACCTAAGAAATTTTGAAAATGAGACAGTGTTGTGACATCCTTATTACATATTTTATTTACTCTTAATTATCTTAATGATTATTGACCTACATGTATATCAGTTAAATCTGTTTTATTTAAACATTAAAATTTGTTTGATATAATCTAATATAAAAATTATAAAGTTACAAAAGTGGATACTTGGAAGAAGGAGACATCATCCTCGAAGTTGAAGGTGAAAAAGTCTCGGGCTACATCCTGAAATCTTTCCTTGACAAGTTGGCAGACTTAGCCAAGGATAACAAGCCAATTATTTTCAAAGCTGTCAAAAAAGGTATAACTTTTTTGTCATTTTGTCATGTTGAACTGTTTTTTTTTACTCGTATTTGTTTTTCAGTTCCATCTATATTCATGAAACACTTTTCAAACATCATTTCAAATTCGTCAAAAATTTTATATTGACAGGATTTCAGCCTGCATTTAATTGAATAATGTTATAAGATTAAAATGGCAAATAAATTAACAACATTAATTAATTTCATTGGTACCTATAAGGGTCGGTGACATGTTACATAGGGCAAAATTATTAAAGTGTCCATGTAGTTTAATAACTCAAAATAATTTTATTTTTTATCAAATTTATTGTTGTTTTAAATATAATACAAAGTATAAAACTTTTGCTACTTTTTCACTTTCTTTATTATTATTGTGTGGATCTATTTTACATTCAAGTTTAAGAACTTGGTTTTTTTTCGCTACATAACTTTGTTAGCTATGAATGTAGTTTTATATATACGTTAGTTCTAAATTGTAAGGATGTATTTCAATTTTTCTCTACTGAATCAGGTGCCTTACAGCTTAGCCTTTCAGAATATTTAAATAAAAGATTTGCAAAAGATTCAGTGGACCATCAACATCAGCAAATTATTCGGAGGAATATTTACAAAACGTCTCTGCCATGTTAGTTCTTGCTTGTCATTCATTTTGTAATTATTATTTTTATTTAGTTTATCCACATAAAAATTGAATAAAATTATCAGAATAGAGATATTAAAATGTTTTCTTTTATTCAATATGCCATAAAACTTTTTATGTGATTTTCGCTTTTAGATGTTTTTTCTTTCTATTTTTTGATTGTTAAGTTTTTATCTCTATAAAACATAGGGAGACATTATGTGTATGCTCTGTTCTGCAGTGCTACAGAGAACTTATCATGTTTCTATGTGATTTTGTTTTTGTATTTTAGAAAAGCAGGGATATTACACATTAAAGCATTTGTTGTTTTTAAAATTCTGCTCCAAAAATAATGCAAACATTTTAGAAAGACAATAAAAATTCTTAAAATTTTGAAAAATAAAAAACACAAAAAGAGTCTTAAGAATGCTTTTTAAATTTTCTTATGTCTGGGTATTGTTATGTTTTATGAGGAGCTTAATAAAGTTATTCTTTGCAGAGTTTGTTTGTTCCAATCTATTTTCGCATTCCTGATGAAGACGCTTGTTTTAAAACTTACATATTTAATGCAGGAAAGAATAAGAACTGAAACATTGTGAGATTTTTTTTTATGTTAGAAGTTTTGAAGTACTTTGTTGAAGTGGCTTACTATTTTTAATGTTAAAAAAACTTTTGTTTTTTTGCAAAAATTTAAATATTTTTTTGAGATGTACACTGTCTGACTTGATATTTTCATTTATTGCTTTATTTACAGTTTCAAATTCTCATGGAAATTTTATTAATCCCATGCCTTTTGCTAATTCTCAAACAAACGTTCATTATAATTTTTATTTGTTTAAAACATATGAAACTAATGTGTGCGGAAGAGTAGAAAAATTGTTTGAATTCATTTTTTTTTCACTCATTCAACCAGCACCTGCATCTAACAAGTAAATTATTAATTAGGCATTTTGTTCATTTCATTATGTGTAGAGCATGACATGGCAGTCATTTTTAATTCCTACATTTTTCATATTCTTTGGTTAAAAATTGTTGAATTTATCATAGTCATTATCATATTATCATCATATTATCATCGTCAACACCATCATTATCATCAATATACTCGCCATAGTAAAGTAATTTTTTTATTTGATGTTGGTCACCTTTTCTTACAATTAACGAAAAAGTTTCTGCTACATGATCCTTCATTGGATAATTAGCCAATTGCCTCTCTAGTCTTATCTCATGCGCACCAACCACGGCAGCCAAAAGTGCACATCAAAGGTATCTGCACTTTCATGACAATCTTCAATGACATCGGTCAAGAATATTCTTCATTTTTAATGAGTTGGTTTTTTTTCTTCAACTCAATTTTCTTTTAAAAATGTGAAGCCTGTCATGACTTGATTGAAAAATTTTATGAAAACACTTTCAGTAGTTATTAAAAACTTTTACAATATTTTTTCAGTTACTTTTTTTTTGTTGTTTTATAATTCAGAGTTTTTTTTGTTTTCGCAAATAAGAACAACAGTTTAAGTTGTGAATATGATTGCATCTCAGTTTGTTGCTTCATTTGGTGGGGTGGACAAATGAATGAAGATTTTGTGTGAAATGCATTTCTACTAAGTTTGGTATCTCTAATAACGGTGCATGATGGCAGAATTCTCACCAGGTTTCCAGGAGATAGATCAAAACGGAGAGGAACTTCATTACAGTAGTGCAAAGACTGTCTAACTCTCCAGCTGGGATGCATTTGTGTAATTGATGAACATTCAATAAATGACTTTTATCTTGATGACGGTGATGATTATGATGATGATGACGCCGACGATGATGACATTGGTGATGATGATTATTATGTGGTATGATTTTTGCAGCCCTTAAGATGTTGAATAATATTTATAACAGATGTTGTTGCTGTAGATATCAATATTGAAAACAAAACTTTGACTAATTATTTTGACCAAGGTGAGTTTTTAACAACATGAAAGTTCACTTTTGTTAGGAGGTTACTTCATTTTCAAGAAAAAAGAGCATTCAATTAGCTTCATAAATATTTGCACTTTTCATTAAATTTTCACCAGACGCTAACTTTATTATTAATCCATTATTTTGTTTTTGAATTGTTGAAAAATTCAGGGTATTAGCTAAAAAATATTCCTATCAATATTAAATGGATAGCTGATATTTTCTCAATTTATTTCTGATTCATTGCAGCAATCTCCAGAGCACTGGTATTGCAACGATTTTTTTTCTGCACTTGCAACATCTTTTTTTTCTTAGGTAAATCATGCCTGTGTGAGAGTTTATGAGCTTTTTAGGCTATAACTACCTTCAGAAAAATGTCCTTTGATTTTGTTTTTGCCTGGTTGAAAAACTGTCATAGCATAAACTAATTTCCATATGTCAATATTTTTGGTTGATGAATAATGAATTATATGGCAAATATTAACAAGTAATAATTACATTGATGTATTTTAACTTAATATTTTATTAAATCATAAAAGCTGCAATAGTCAGGATAGAATTAGAGTTGTTGAGTTGTGGCACTGAGTTATTATTTGATTAAGACTGTGGTTCCTAAATCCTTGTTGTTGTAGTTTTTGTTATCGTTATTGTTGTTGTTGTTATTTTTTATATTATTGTCGTTGTTATAATTTTTCCTGGAAAATGTTTCAATGGTTTGTTTTTCTCTAATTCATTCCTAGAATCCCTACCTATGCTTGCTTCAGCAAACAACCCTCCCATTTGCGAAAATTAATTATCCTCTCATTATTTCTGCATTAAACAATTTTAACATTCATTCATTCATCTACATACCTTTATAAATTTATAGATTGGATACATATATATATATATATATATATATATATAAAAATATATATATATATATATATATATATATATATATATATATTTACACATTTGAAAATCATGAATTCATGTTCTGTCTGTGTGTTGTTATAAGTTTATGTTATGTTCTTAGGAATGAAATCTCAAAATAAAATGTCATTTTGTGTGTTCTTATGCACGTGAGCATGTGCAATCGCGATATTTCGTCTCTATTGAGATATTATTTATAATTTTTTCATTAAATGTTCATAATTTGAAAGTCATCCACGTTCTATGTGTTGGTGCAAGTTGATAAATGGGTGGATGGATAGATGGTGGGAGGAGAACTTTTAAAAGAAAAACCATGCAAACCTCATTTTCAATATGGTAATGTGTTTTATTCCCGTTGGATGAACACAAAATTTTTAAACAAAGCTATCTTTCTAACGTCTTCTTTTTTAATATTTTTGTGTTTTTACGTTTTTGTCGTTTTTGAAAAGGCAGATGTGAATCATAGTTGTAGATCAGAATGGATACATTTCAAGTTGGCCAAGCATAATATACAACCTTATCATTTATCCATTTTTTTACTTCTCACATGGCTCCTGTTAAATGAACTATTTGGCAAATTATGCAGATTTACTTAATGAGCATGTATATTTCTTTTGTGTAGCCGGACATTCTTAGGCTGCCACCAGTTGCACTCCCGTGTTTTTAACTAAGGAGCATTGTAATACTGAGTTACAACCTTGAGCCATTTCTTTCTAGTTAGTTTATAGTGATGTATTGCAATGACTCCTGACTAGCACTTTGCAGAAATTTCTGTTTTCATTAGCACTATAAAAATGTCAATCAATCTTTGTTTAGCGTCCAGAGACCCAGTTCCCCTGAGGTAGGACGTTACCATATACATTATAGCATTATATTACCTTAGCATCATTAGCACTATAAAAATGTCTTTAACTATAATAGTGATACACTGTGAGAAGTTCTCTACAGGGCAAATTCGTCACACCATCCTTCTCAAATCTCGTGAACTTTTTTGTCAGTTGATTGCTTGACACCCATACTAGACTAGACAAATTCATTTATTCATTTCGAAAAAAATTGTCTCTGAAATATGTATGTTGGGTGCATACCTGTTTTTTATCTTTTATATTTTTAAATCGTATTGTTAAAAACTCCAGTCCAATAACTTAAAAATTTTATTTTTCATTGCTGAACTATTACAATGCTGGAAGAATCCATGTTAAAATGGAATGCAGGCAAACTGACTGTTTAAGGGTTAGTCAGATTTATGGCATCAACAATGACTGCGGAGTAGTCATTGTTGTTTTTTGTTATTGCTGTTGCTTTTGCTGCTAGCTAACCAGTGGTAGTGTTTTGTTTATCGCGCAGCACACATTCACGCACGCATATATATGTATATATAATTATAAATATATAAATCGATATATATTTGATAATTTAACTATATTATTTATCTATATGTTTTATAGCGCCAATTATTTAAAAAAATCTCATTGCATGTATGCACGCACCCATTTCATGTATATATATATGATTTATCTATGCATATATATATATATATATATATATATATATATAATTAGAAAATTTTATATATTGCCTGTTGAAACGTTCTCACAGGCGCTCTCACGTTTTTGATGATTTTATATACGATATCCCCTCGATTTGAGAAGCTCAACTACTACATTCGCCGTAAAACACTTGGTCATATTGCCGATCTGAAAAATTCTTTTTTGGTCTAATATCTTACTTGAATCGCCTTTAGGTTTGGTTTTGATAGTGAATACTACCTATATTTGGTTCACAATCAAACATTTATGGCAAAAGTTCGTGGAGCACTAAATTCACTGCCATTTTCAAGTATATATATATATGTATTGCATTTATATATATAATGTTAATAGATTTAGATAAATACGTCCAAAGTAGATAGGCCTGATGTATAGTCTTTTATACCTACATTGGTATGTTGTACGTACATTTGCATGCATGCTTTGAGACTTCATGGAAATATAAACCAACTGCAGGTGCATGCTGGAGTGTGTTTGCATTGCATATATTTTCCATCAAATTTTTTATACTTCATTTCAAACAATTAGTCATTTTTATGTATTTAATTTTCTATTAATACACTCTCCTATATTGCTATTTAAGTGATGATAATAATTATTAATTATGGTCTGTTTTGATCGATGCTGTTGTTGTGTGTGTTCTCCTTCAGTTATAGGGGTTACTGTTGTTGTTCACCTGTTTATTTAATGCTTAACTGATGCGTGTACAATAAAGAATAAATATAACAAACAAACAAGTAAACAAACAAACAAAGAATCGACAATGAGGCACGTTTATATGCTCATCAGAGAGAGATATAAGCAAAAAGGTTATTATAATTGTTTTTTTGTTTTTCAAACTATTGCTTATTTATAATTTATTAATTTATTAACTACTTCAGTTTCATCAAACAAATTCAAACTTTGCTGTTTGATGATTTGTGAGCGTAAATATGTTACATAAACATTTGTTATCATGTCTGTGTAAAGTAGGTAAGTTATTTTTCTTTATTACGAATTTGACCTTTTTTCGATGTTGTTTTCTGTGAGAATTATTTATATGGCAAAATTTTACACGAAAACAGCATTAATGCACGACCAATGTTTTTTTTTTCTGGAATAATTTTAGAAATTATATTGGAAATTTTTATAATGTAGCCAGCTTGTTGACAATTTAAGCTCCTACGCGTTTAATTAATGTTTTTTTTTATTTGTTGTGAAATTCTCTGAGTGGCGTTCTCAACTGTTTTGTTTTGTTCTCAAATGTGTGAAAGTGCGAGTGAGACTTTTAAATTTTTTAGCAGTTTCGCACAACTAAAAAGCTATTGCGAAAATGTGGAAGATTGCTTTTGTGTTTTTTATAAGTATCTTTTTTAATTAGTGGCAATTTGTGATTTTAATTTTATATTTTTTTAAAATTTTCATTCATATAAATAAAAATTATTAAGCATCCGAATTTATGCATCTGTCGCAAGCTATTTAAATCTTTAAATGCTGAAATGTTCAACATTGAAAGTACTTGCCATTAAACTTAGTTTATCTAAATGTTCATTGATAGCAGTAAGTGACAAGTTTTTCCTGGTCATAATTAGAATTTGTTTCTTCAAATTTCGGTTTTCTCTTTTAAAAGTTGATAGATGTTGGCATAATTTTATTGAAACTTATTTTTAGCATACTTCCTAACTTGTTTTTACCTGTTATTACTGTTGGTTGTTTGGTATTGTTGTTGTTGTTAGTTAGTTGGTTAGTTGCTAGTGTAAACAAATGCACTTGTTTTGTCTTGACATGTCTAACAATTTCTGTTCTCAACTCGGTAAATTTTTAAAAAATAATTTGTTTTTTTGTTATTTTTTTCTAATATACTTTGAGTGTTTTTCAGCTGAAACAGTAGCATGGAAGTCGCTATGAAGTTCTCCAGATGATCTTTAGACTTGTAGAAACACAACTCACACTCTTTTTTGCAAAATTTTCAAGTTGTTGTATTTTGTGTGATGTTGATTTGATGAAATTAAATTGTTGCTCTTCAAAGAGATTATATTTCTACATGAGTGCACGATGTTTTGATCAAAAAGCTTGCCAGTGCACTTGTTATTTCTGAACTTGATTGTTTTTAATTAGTTTTTTGATTGCATGTGCCATTTTCAGAATCAACTTGCCCGCTTCTTTTTATATTTCATTTGAATGTAAAAAGTAAATGAATGAGGTGCTTTTATTAAAATATATGTTGAAATTTTTTAGTAACTTATCAATATAGAGTCATTATTTGCTTTCTTTTAAAAGTTGTCCAATGTCATCATTATAGTAGCTTCAAAAACTTTTATAAATTATCAACTTGATTAGCTTTTTTATTTTTAAGATCATTTTACAGATCTTGCTATTTTTTATTTAATTTTATTCATTGACCTTAGGAAGTTTCTTCTATATTTTCACATCGTAATAATAATTAAAAACCTAGGACTTGCATTTAAAACGTTGTTCACCAACATTGGTTAGCAATTGAAATTTCAGCATGTATTAACGTTGGTTAGCAAATGAAATATTATGCAACAATTATATGAATTCTCCAAAGTGTATAAAAAACGTGTCAGATAATGGTTAAGGTTCTCTACTTGAGTGTCTTTTTTATCTGAACGATGAAATATTTATGTTTAAAATGCCAGTTCCAGTAAAAATTGCATACTTGCATATAGAAGGAGAGTTAATCAAGCCATGACATGCTGCATGAGCATAATAGATCTGCTCAAGTGCTGATAAAAATATCAATTATTTATTTTAATTATTTAGTGATTAACAAACTTATTGCGTATAATGCTTTATAATTTGGGACGTTTAAATTTTCATTACTTCATGTGCTGTATGTATACTTAATATTATTAATGTTTCACTTAGTTATAAATTATTTTTTTCGATTTATTTGAGAATTATAAAGTTAAATGGTTTCGCATAGTATTGCTTCTGCAAGAAGAATTAAAAGTAGAAAATGAATAACTCTCGCTTTTGAGTTTGCTTGTCTGTACATCATGATCGCCATGCACTTGTGTCTGCATCACACTATGTACTGTACGAGTTATGTACACACACACACACACACACACACACACACGCACACACACACACTCGCACAGATATTCCTGTAAGGTGTGAAGTGTGCAAACATTAATACTGTGCATCTTCATGCAAACAATTTCTTATGCATGGATACTTCTTGATATGAGTTTATTTTTTACAAAATTGTTTTTCTTTATCAAAAAACCACTGTGCAATGTTGTTTTCTGTTTTATTTATGACGCAACAATTTTATTCTTATCTGAATCTCATAGTTTGATGTATTGCTTCATGACACAGATTGTCACTTAACTGATTTAGACTGCTTTAATTTTGAAAATTGTGTTATTTATGGTTGTTTTTAGCCTGTAAATTGTTGATTATTTCTATTTTTATTGCTATAAATATAATGAGGTTATCGTTATAAATTTTATTTTTTTTTTGTAGACGGTCTTAATGTTTTTATCAATATCCTATCACTTCATTATCACTTCATCATCTTTATTAGTCAAACTATATTATCATTATTTCAAATTGTGTTTTCCTCTATAACATTTTTTAATCATTAACATTTATTATTATCATTATTGTTATTGACGATATATTCAAGTAATGATATTTTCAGCAACGTCATCTTATTAGCATCATTATAACATCATCGTCAATCTCACATCATTAATATCAATTGTGACGTCATCATCTACATTGACGTCATCATCCACATTGATGTCACCACCAACAGACACAACACGCCCACCTAGAGATGATGAAGTGGATGGAGTGGATTACAAGTTTCTAACTGTGGATGAGTTTCTGGAACTGGAGAGATCCGGAAAGCTTCTGGAGAGGGGATTGTATGAAGGTGAGTGATTGCTTCGAGATGACAGATAATGGATGAATGTGGTAAAAAATTATTTCATTTGATTGGACTGATTGAAAAATCTCAGAATTACTTTGTTTCTACTGCTGATGTTATTTATTGTTATTATTTGGTTTTTCATTGTTGCTTTTGTTATTATTATTATTATTATTATTATAGATGTTGTTCAAAAAATACAGTGGTGAATATATGGTGGTGAAATTTGGGTGTTGAGAAGAGAGGAAGAAAGTGTACTGCAGAGGGCTGAAAGAGCTATGGTGAGGATGATGTGTGGGTTTGGAGAAGTAGTACAGAGCTGATGTCGATGATGGGACTGAATGAGGACATTGTGACATTGATAAGGAGATCGAGATTGCGGTGGTATGGACATGTGTTGAGAAGGAATGAAAGGGTCGGGATTAGGCGAGCGTTTTGAGTTCGAGGTTGAAGGAGTGATAGGAAGGGGTCGTCCGCGATTGGGATGGAGAGAGCAGGTGGAGAAGGACAGAGTGAAAGCGGGGTTGCGTGATACCGAGGCGAGTGACAGATGTGAATGGCGTCGAGGGGTATTTCGGATTCATCATAAGTAGCCAAACGGCAACCCCCGATCTCGGGGAAAATGTCGTCTAAATGTGTGTTGTTGTTTGTTGTTATGTTGTTCCAAAAATACCTTTTTACGCCAATAATGAAATTTTTAAAAGCTCTATAAAAGAGGTGTCGTGTAGAGATTGTAGTTATTTTCATTTTAATGTGTCGTTAGGCTCATGTATTTTTGCAGGCTCCATGTTCATATTTTTTAAAGAAAATTTTTCGTAAATATTAAATTTAAATCCTACTACCAGTGAAGTTGAATGATGAGTGTGCATTTGTATTAAACTTATCAACTGATAATCATTTATAATGATTTTAAATTATTATTGTGAAGAACTTGAATATAAAATGATTTGTTGCTGGTGGTCTATGGAATTACACTAAAGAAAATGTATTAAGCCAAAAAAATTATGTCTTTAGAATTGCATACACATTGTAAGATATCCATGACGTCATTATGACCATGATGACGATGACAACGATGATGATGATGCTGGTGTAATGACGACGATGATGATGGTGATGAGACCTCTATGATGGATGTGGGGAAAGATATTAAATTGATGAGGCAATAAAGATCATTTCATGACTCTTTCATTATTAATGTTATATTTTATGTTATTGCGTTTTTGCCATTATTTCAGTTTTAATGCTGCATTTTGTTGATTTGCTGTAAACACTGACGCGAAATATTTTTATTTGCTACTTCTAATGAAATTTTGCAAAAATGTGTAATTTATATCATTATAAAATGATTGCGTAGTGACGGATTATTTGCGATGGATGTAGTATCAACGATAGTAGCTAAATATACTATTCACGTATCATGATAGCAACTGAAGTAATCAGAATTGTAGTAGCACTTTACATTGGGAGGAGAGGAACCAGCTCAAAAGACAGCAATCTTAAATATGGGAGATTTTTAATTAACAGAATCAAATAAGAGCTGGGACCCACAGCCAGCCAGCCAGCACATCATCATCATCAGTTCTTTAAATCATTTATTCATCCTTCTCTGCTTTCTGCTATCTTTTGTATTGCCTCATGCTGATGATGAGGATGATGGCGTTCCTGATGGAGAGGATGTGCTGTTGCTGCTACTGCTTATGACGATGATATTAAAATGGAAATCCTACTGATGATTTTTGTTCGTGTCTTTTTGTGAAATAGTACAAAATCTGTTTATTCTCTGGTAAATTTGTCCCATTTCATTTTCTATAAGGGCTACATACACATTAAGGTGTACCTGCTTATGCTTCATCAACTCTTGAAGCCTATATTACAATATATTTTAATAATTCTCAATATTTTAATAATATAATTACTGTTTTAGGTAGATTGCGTTTGAAACTGATCATTGCGCTATTATTTTCCGTTCAGCAACAGTAGAAGGCAGGCTACTGACTCACTACTTGAACCAATTCCTCCGTATGATAGCAATGAAAATGATAATCATTGTTGACGGTGATATTGAGAAGAAGGATGACAATGACTATGCTGGTGTTATGACAAGTAGTAGCAGCACTCTCATATTAATATCAAGGTTGTGGCTGGATGACAGTTTTCTTAATAACAGATCTGTGAGAGGGAATGAATGCCTGTCAGTCAGTTAGAATGTGGCCGGTCCAACATGGCAGGCAGACAGGCTCTAATTATATTATTATTATTATTGTTGTTGTTTGTTTGTTTGTTGTTTGTTTGTTGTGATGCTTTGTCTCTTTTTATGGGCCATAACATATTGACGGGTGTAATAGTGTTGAGATGGTGATGATTTAATGGTATAAATTATGGTTGTGATGACGATTATGACGATGATGATTGTGGTGATAATTTGATAATGATGGTGATGATGATTACTTACGTAATTATCATTTCTGGAAGACCGTGGTGATGTAGATAGAGAGGAAGATGCTAATACAGATGAGATGATGGTGATGATGATTTTGTTGATGGTGATTTAGTTTGATTATGATTAACACTATTATATTGAGTACAATGATGATAGATTTGGAAAATAAATAAAGCTGATGTCGATGATGAGAATGCTGATGATGATGAGGAGGAGAGAGAAGAGGAAGTCGGTTGTTGAATCCAATAAGGAGTAAGATGATTTTTTTGCATGATGATTGGCCTTGTTATGTTCTTTCTTGGTCGGGGGTGAAACTTATGTTTCGTGATCTCATTTACGATGATGATGGTGATGTTAATGTGATGATCATGCCGTTATATTGATGATGATGCATGCAACAATGATGATGACAACAGAGATAGTATTGGTGAGGAAGATTAACACTATTGTAGTGAGTACAATGATGATAAGGATGACGATGATGACAACGACGATGTTGATGATTGCGTTTCAAAGATGGTCATGGGTGGGATGATGATGATGATGAGGATGATTAAGAAGAGGAGAATGATAATGATGGTTTGTAATAGTAATGCGGTAAAGCATAATGATGATGGTAATAATGTAATGAGTTAATATTGTAATAATAATAATAATAATTATTATATAACGTAATAATAATTATCATTATTTTTTTCATGCTGATAACAATTAAGACACGTTTTAATTGAATTAAGTGATTTGCCAAATTTGATTTTTTTTCTGTCGTACCAGGTGTTTCAGTCCACAGTTAATACTGTTAGGATGATGCCTGTGGGTTATTTTATGGTACCATTAGTCTGGCAATGGATGGGAATAATCTTTTTTTGATGGTTATCCATCGTTGTTTTATTTTAATAGTGTTGCTTGTATCCTATATATTTTTTGTTATGACTATAATAATTTTAATAATATAATAATAATAATATTATTATTATATAATAATATTAATATTATTTTTATTATTATTTCTTATTGTTAAAATTCTTTGATAATAACAATGATGGTTATAAAAGATAAGTGATTAGTTTCTATAACTGCTTTGTTAGCAGCCTTATGATGATGAAAGTGGTTGGTCATGATGATGAAAACGATGATGAGGGTAATGATGATGTTAGCGATGGTGATTATAAGGATGAAAATGGTGATGATAATGACTCATGGTAATGATGATTGGGATGATGTCGACGAAGACGACGACGATGACGTTGCTAGTAGGATGAGATGAACATAACAATGATCTAACATATGACCTAAGGACATATGTACTACTGTTTCTTGCGTAATTGTCCTTATTGTCCTTACTTCTTTCTTTTTTTATTTTTTCAGTCATTTATTCCTGACGATGATGACGACGACGCCGATGATGAAGACGATATTAGAGATGAGAATGAGTATGATGTTTGGCAAGTGGTGGTAATAAAAGTTAATGTGGTTAATTTGGTTAAGATAATCAAGGATTTAATAATATTGACTCACTACATGCTCTGATAAAAATATTAGGAATTAATTTATTATCCAATTTGGTATTTGAATAGTTACGCATTGAGTTATTGTGTAACGAGTTGAGTGGAAGAATGAATGAATGAATGAATGAATGAATGAATGAATGAATGAATGAATGAATGAAAATAAATGAATGAAAATGAATGAATGAATGTAAGAATGTTTATAACGTCAGCAGAATGATCTGCGGTCATCCATTATATGCTGTTTTTACAGCTTAACGCATGGAATAAAATGAATAAGTACAACTTTATTGGCGTTTAGTCTGGGCCTGCCTGCCTCTTTCTTGCTCCCATCATCCATTTCGGTACATCCCTTTTGTTATGTTCTTTTACTTTTTTACATTTTTTCTATATCTAGGTCTTCATTTTTCAGTAACTATAATGATAACAAATGAGATCTAACGAAATTTATGGAATGATATTCCGACAGAACATTAATCTGAATGATGAGAAAGTAGATTATGTATGTACATTATCACAGATTGTAGGCGCATTTTTCACGCAAGGGTTGACCTGTTTGTTTTACGCATCGTGCTTTTGAGCATTTCCGTTCTCATATTAGTTGAATTTATGGTTGCCTGTTCCTGTTCATTCATAACATTATTTTATTACTCTTTCATTACATTTTAATGTTTATTTCATTTTATAATTCATATAAACGAAACCATAATACAACATCTGCTGCCGACAATATACGCACACCAACTGCAGAATCTTATGAGAAAGCTAAAGTTATCGCTACTATGGTTCGGCAGGTTTTAGATTTGTGAGTTGAGTTGAGTGCAGATAGAGATTTTCATAGCAAACTGGGGTATCTATAACTTAACACAACACCACTTTTTTTTCAATTCAGCAGTGTATCATGCTTACAACAAACCTCACACAAACAATTGGGGCTGCTTTTGGTTTTGTTTTTTATCTTAGGCAGTTTCGTTTTTGTTTTTTCACTTTCTCGTAAATGGGAATTATCAATTTTTGCTGTTCTGCTATAGAAAGTCATTGATTCACAAAAAATACAAAAATGCATCGAAATGAAATTTCGAAACGTTTAAATATTTTTAAACTACGAAATAATTTAAAACATGCAGTTGGATGGAGTTGATAAATTGCATGGCCTTAAGCATAAATTTTATTAGTTGTTAATGATGGAACCAATAATGCGGAGTGATAGTAACTGATAGGACGATGATGATTATGATGGTGGTGGTGATGATAAGGTGATGATTGCAATAATAAGATGATGGTTACAGTTGTTATAATAAGGATGATGACGTCATGATGATGACGTGCTTATTAACCTGATTAAGGATGATAACAACAATGAAAGCAGTTGTCATGGCTAGAATTGCACAGGTGGTTAGGACAAGTGATGTGAGATAATGTTTTGTTTTTAATAATAATAATATTATTGTTGTTTCAATGAAAAATAGCCTTAGTTATATTCATTGCCTGCGGGAGGGAACCGGTGTTATCATTTGCAATGACTGAAAAACTTTGATTGTCACAATTTCATAATAATTTTTAATTATTTCTCTTGTTATTTTTATCTTTTTTATTGTATTTTGCAACTTTCTTTCATTATCGTTATTATTATTATTAAATTCATTATTATTCTTACGCTGTTATAATTTAATTACTATTGGTGGAATATCTACCCATTCATCATTTTCAAAACCACATGGGAGGTAATGATGAGATAGCATGTGGCTGGGTTGCTCTGGCTGACTGGTGGTGTTGGTCCAGCTGTGGTCTTGCGTGGTTTCCAGTGGCTGTGTGTGGCCTGTTGTGGTTACATGTTGTTGTTGTTGTGATGTTTTGGTTGCCTCTGCCTGCCAGACGGAATCTTTCATTATTACTTTGTAGTTATTGTAAGTGGGATGATAAATTGAACAAAAACTTTCATGCACAAGATATCATTTTTTTTCTATTGCATATTTATTCCTACACATACAATACTATTTTGTTTTGTGTTGTTTTGCTTCTTTTTTTTCTTTTGTAATTGCTACTACGAAACGTGCAGATGTTCTGTCTGGTTCTTTAAATGCAATGATGGATGGATTTTGAGGCACCATACTAAACACTTTAAACATTTCTAACAATCGGTCTTTGTTAAAATGACGCCTTGCCTGCTTTGCCTGTTCACCGTGTTTCGACAGCGACATGCACTTTTCTATTCAAGTCCAAAACTTTTTGCCAGTACACTCTTATTTTTGTTTGTACCATAAAAATAGTACCATCGTCATCATTTGTACCATTATACCGGTATGAACTAGTAACTTCATCATCGTCACCATCGTCGATCGGCTCATGGTTGATGTGAATTATATCCTCAACCTGTATGCTCATCATCGGCTCGTTTTAACCAATTATCCTAATGGGGCGTCCTTAGGAAGATTAGGTTGATGAAGTATATAAACAAGGTTCATCCTGCTATTGATCAGTTGATGCTTCGTGTGCTCCACTCAACATTAGCTACATACGGTGTCGTATGTGGTTACTAAATGTTACGGTGTTCTATGGTAGAATCAAACTGCACTCATGGAATACGATCTAATCGGTCACTAGAAAATTAAGTTCGTTTAGCGAGTTGATAACTTTTAACATTTGAAAGTTGCCTGTTTGAACTATTTCTACGTTTATTCTTATTGTTATTTATAAAGATCTGTAACCCACCATCATCTGTTGCATGTTATGCTTAAAAACGTCATCAATGCTTATTTACATGGATTTTGTTTACTCTTCCTTGTAATAAATTCAATGTATGTTGTATTTAATTCTTTTGTACTGGTTGTTTGCTATGTAGGATTTCATAATTTCACAAGTATTCTTATGCGCTCATCTTTCCATTGATTACACATATCTAAAAGATGAACGTGATTTACGCGAACATAGAATCCAAAAGATAATTTGATATAAATTTGGCCATTTTTCTACTGGCGCGGTCACATTGGCAATGTTGAGCATTTAGACTTTAATTATGATGTGTTCGAGTGGCAATGATGGTGAGGACGACAATAAGCTGGATGTTGATGCTACAATCAATCATCACTGGTCATACTGCCTTTAAATTGCATCATACTTGAATAAAAGTTGGCATAATTTTTATTATCAGCATTATTACTATTAATACCATTATTTTTGCCATCGTTATTACTATTATTACGGTTATCATCAGATTATAGAGCTACAAATAGCGTCGCCTGCCGTGCCGAGTTATTTACAGAGTCAATATTTACATTTAATAACAGGACCTCCGGGAGCAATATATTGATGATGTCACCGTACTTGTGCTTTGCATGAGTTGAGTGCTTACAATCATATTTATATCATTCATCTACATTATACGCCTCGTCAGTGTTTCTATTGATTAACTTGCATTGCAAGTATTTGCCTGTTTCCTCACTTTTCATGTTGCTGGCTTAATAGACTAATTTGTGCGCGCGTGTTTGTGTAGGAGTGTTTCCGTGTACTTGCTTGAGTGTGTGTTTCTATAAGTGTGATATGTAGGTAACTATTTTGAAGTGAAGATAATTATTTTCATTCATGTAGCTAACTAATATAATTGCTTTTACTACTTTCATGCTGTAACTACAAATGTATATACGTCTATTCTTAAATGACAATGTTTCATTATTTAGTTAGCCTTGTCATTACTCGTTATATCTGTTCACTTTGTTGGCAGGTATCTTTATAGTTAGTTAGCTGGCTAATATTGCATCGGATGGCTAAGTCGGATGAAAAATATCCCACTCCGGACCCTCAAAAAAAATTCAAGTCCAAAAAAATCCGATTCCGGTCGCTTATAAAATTCCAACTCTGACAAAAATCCTGCTTTTCACAGAAATACAGAAACACGCTGTGTTGATGTATGCCTAGTTTTTCATTGCTTCTTTGAAAGCATTGTTCTTAGTTTTCTTGGTGCTTATGCGAACAGTACGGTGTAGATAGGCAATAATAACTGGTATCCATTGTGATCAATCAATTTGTTTGCATTACCATGGAGCAGCGTTCACTAACGTGTTACTAATCTGCAATGTTTGGGGAGAATTAATAATCTTGCGAAATTTTTTTTCATTCATTTGCGAAATTTTGTTATTTCCGTGTACAAGTTTTGTTTATGGCGTCACAAAACATCGATCGCCATCATTGTCAATATTTTTTCCTCATTTTTCTTCCCACCTTCTTTTAATTTGTAATGGTTTCCATTAAATTAATACAGGCACTCTTCTACATTTGATCTACACGCAACTCGGAGCTCATTGTCTGATTATTCCCGTTACGTGCCATTCTTTACTAATGGGAACATCATCTTCATCTAGCTCATCTTTCCGCTTCCATTGTGCCTCTATCATTGTACATATTATTATGCTTATCATCATCATCATTGCTTTACTCATTGTGGTTATTGTAATCATCAAAATAATCATTATTAAACTTTGCCTATTAACATCACCATCGAACTTATTGTATTCGTGGTCATTATACCCGAGATCATCATCATCATCATCGTTACTGTTATACTCATTGATATCCGCACGTAGTAATGGTGATCACGTGATGACAACATGGGGCGAGCTCTGGCCACTTTTGCAGTTCGCTTGCCGGCTATCTCCATCAATTAAAATCAATTAGAGAGCTGTCAGCATCACAATTGCTGTCTATTTAGATTCTCAACATGCATTCATCCGTTGAATGATGGATGCATACATGGATGCATAATAGATGGATGGGCGAAATGGATGAGTAAATGATTGATTGATCAAGTGAATCTATGTGGTGCAGCATGCATGGGTAACACAGCAAATGGCAATAATAGTAAATGAGCAGTGTTGGAGATGTGCTATAAACTGATCAGGACTAAGAGGGGATGACTTTTCAGTTGAAATGTAATTAAATTACTTTTCCTCTTTTTGTTTCTTTTGTCGATAGTTTATGTATATAACGAATTCTCTATGCATATTTTTTACTGTTAGAATTTCATTACAAGTAGTATCGTTGAACATGCAAGAAAAATTTAATTTAGCTATAAATTACTGATGCTTTGAAAAAATCGCCCTAGAGATTTAAATGGGAGTTGTTAGGGAAGATGGATGTTTGGTAAGGAGAATGATGAAGGCTGGACCGGGAATGTTGAGGAGGTTATCATAGCTACTGCCTAAAAATAAACAACTTCCATTCATCTTAATCAACTTCAGTGATTCATTATCACATAGTGAAAATCTCTTTTCTTTATTGTTTTCACTCAGGCAATTTTTATGGCACGCCCAAACCCGAGTCAACAGCATCGCCGTCGACCTCAACAATATCAGCCAACTATGTAATTCCGTGGGCCGGCCTGCCCGAGCAGTTGTATTCATTTGTCAACAAAACCAATGCTTCTTCAACTTCGACTTCAACGACGGCAACAGTTTCAACAGCAACAACAACGTCGTCGTCGTCATCAGCATCGAGTACTAACGTGAGCATCAACATTAAGCATCCATCATTCCCAATCAACACTTCTACCACTTCCAAACTCTTCTCATCCGCAAACAGCAACAACAACAATTTCAAAACGTGCATCAAAAATAACATCAACAACAATAACAACAAAACAAGTGTTAAAAACGACAGCGTCAACAACAGCAACGCCATTAAAAGTGTTGAATCGAGAAATTTCAAAGTTGATGTAAGCAGAGGATCGTCAGTTGCACAGGCATCCAACAGTTCAACACCGTCATCTACCACGTCCTCCTCTCCCTACTCATCCACATCTCTCAACACTGTCATACACTATGACAACTACAGGTTTTTCTCGTTACATTGAAATTTTTTAATATATATTTTTTTTATTCATCACATTTTCTAGCAATGCTCTCAAAATTATGCTTTAGTTGTTTATTTACCTTTCAAAAAATCCATTCTAATTTTTGTTTTATTTTTAAATATAGAATATATAAGCTTTTTTAATTAACAGAATGTTGGCTCATCTATTTGTTATTCAATTATATCCATTCGGGCAACTAATTTAGTCAACTTCAATTCAATGTTAATATTTCAGTTACTCATTTACTACACACCTGCAACGAATTCTTTCTTCGTAGCATAGAATAAAAGATGAATGCGTTTTTACTTCCGTTATTTCTATTAATCCTTCATTCTGTGAACAGTTTAATTATTTTTTATTCATTTAATTTTTTATCTGTTCATAAAAGTTTATGAAATAATGATGAAACGAAAAATTCCATTGCACGGGTTCCCTTAGATTGCAATGAAGCCAGTTACAAAATAAAATCTACATTAAAAATTTAACAAGAATAATTTTACCAAGGAAATAAAATTCTACTCGAATACGTTGTAAACTAATGGAAAATATATTTTATTTATTTAATTCTAAACGGCTGTATAAATATTGTAGTTCCTAACAAACGTACAGTATTATATTATATTATATTATATTCGTTTTAAAAAATATTGATATTATCATCTTCATCATCAGTTTGGCTTATGTCAGTTTTAATCATTACTTATTTCATCGTATATTTTTTTCATCACATCATAATCACCTCTACCATCATTTATATCATCACCTGCATGGTTGTAAAGTTGTTTTTATTCTTGTTTGATTCATTAATTTCTAAAGAGATAGTGAATTTATCAAGATGTTAATGGCAGGTTACTTACCTTGTTTAACTCTAATTACCTTCTTTCTTCTATCTGACTGATAACATGACCATCTAGTGAGTGAGTAATGCTGCCTATTTGTTTGTTTTTCCTCTGTTTAAATACTATAATTTAAATAGTGGACCGTTGTTGCAACTTTGATCTGGCTTCTTGTTTCATGCTTATTTACAATACGGGCTTATTATTCTCTTATGTCCTTTGAGTTTTTGTATTCTGGTACTGTTAAATGGCTTTCCACCTTATGTGATGTGATTTGACGTGATCTTTAATGTATTGTAATGTGATATAATTTGTGATGTGGTGACATATGAAATTGTAATATAGGTAGAGTAGAATGTGATATGATTCCACAAATGATTTCTTGTTTGACATAATTTTCGATTGAGCATTACAGTTCAGGCATTACACGTCACATCATTCTGATCCCCTTCAACTAATCATCTTGTCGTTGCATGCAACACAGCAGCAGGTATCCTCGACATGCATATTTCCCATTTATGGCGTGGTTTATGACAAGAGTGTCGTCGTTTTATCATTTACTTGCCATACAAGTTACAACATTGGCTTGATGCAAATTTCATTTGTCACGTGTTAAACTGAAGAATACTACAACGTAATTAAAGTTTATTAATATAAACGTTCTTTATGTTGGTTTGAATTTTTATTTTTTTTTTTTTTTTTTGTTACTTAAAAGCAGGGAAGGCTGTGGTTTAGAGATTGACGGCTGAATTATTTGGCTTTTATTTGCGCACAGCACGCATTTAAGTATGAAATAAAACTAAAACTTTTCCATTAACATGCCTCCCTCCTCTGTACTGATGATTAATTATAAATGTTTTACGTTCTTTTCTGCTGCAGTTCTTTTTATTGCCATGCCGTTAGTTTCTGTTGCATCTGTGTTACAAACGTTCTTCGTCCTTGGGTTCTTATTTGAAAAAAAATTTAAGGTTTTTTAAAAAATTTTCTCATGTTATCTAAATTTTTTTCATTGCAGGGAATGTAGAGAATCTCCCATTGAGAGGCCATCATCTGTTATCGACAAACACCTTAGTTAGTGTTCATTGTTTGTTTTGGTTTTTCATTCATTTGTTTGTTCGCTCGTACGTTCGTTTGTTTTTTGTATGTTCGTTTATCATTTGTTTGTTTGTTTATCGTTTGTTTGCTGGTGCTTTTTTGCTGTTTGTTTATCTGTGCTGCGTTACTTCATTGCTTTCCACTATTTTCTTTCCACTATTTTTTCCTCGCTGATTTGATTCAATGTGTATTTCATGCTCTGTCAACTGATTTAGGTTTTTGTTGCCGAGTTAGTGAGATGAAAATATTTACAGTGGAAAAAATTATCTACTACAATACGTAAATTATGAAAAATGGTATACGTAAATAATTTTACATGAAAAATAATCTGCTTTTACAATGATTGAAGTAATTCGCATTTATTCAAACACGCACGCACGCACACTGACACACACTCTCTCACAAACAAACAAACAAACAAACTCTTGATACAATCAAAATAAATGAATGGATCGATGAAAAATTTCTTGATATGATCTGACGATAATGATGCAGATTGAAAAAGAAGTTTTTTGGTTAAACATTCATTAACCGCCTAGTGGAAAAAAGTATAACAGTGATGGAGTAAAATTGAACATGGTGATGAGGAACGCAAATGAGATTACGGTTTTAATAATTTCTATTTTTTTTCTAGTGGCAGTATTAATTTTAACGACTTTTCATCTGGTGTAATGAATGAATGAGTGGATGGCTGGCTGACTGGCTGGTATGCTTCAAATTAATGATGGTGAAATTGTCATTAGTTTGATCATTCATCTTATCTTGTAACAGTGGAAAAAATTTCTAAATTATTTCTTGATGGAGGAGACAAATTGAATGAAAAAAATCAGTTGATGATATGAGGGATGAGGAATTCTTTTGTGGAATCATCCAATCTATGTCTATTCAGAAAGGAATCCACTATTGAAAATGGTGATTGTGGTGGTGGTCATGATAGTGATGATTGGGATGACTATGATGGTGATGATTGTGATGATCGTGGTGGTGATGATTGTGATGGTCGTTATGGAGGTAATGGTGACGATTGTGGTGAAAATTATGTTCCTTTTAATGGCTAGGGCTCTGGGTAATGATAGTTATTTATGTTTTAAACATAAATATTAATAAAGGTGATTAGGTTTACGATGATGACCATAATGATAATAACCAAGATGATGAGATGATGATGATAATGATGATGATGATGATGATGGAGGTGTGTGGTCTTGAATTTCATGTTGATGATAATTTTATTGATCTAGTTGTATGTTATTAACTGTAGACAAGACAAGGATGATGATGTTGGCGATGTTTATCAGTGGCAATAAACATTTTCCGCGTTGTTATTCTCAAATAAAGTATCATCTTTATAGTGCTGCTTCAAATTAGCTTCTCTCACTTTTATGCTTTTGTTATCTCACTACTTTTTTCTTTCATCTTCTTCATTTTTTTTCTGTCCAGCCTCTCTCACTCTTACTTTTTTGTCTCTCTCTTTTTCCGTTTCTCTCTTTTTCTCTCTTTTTTTCACTTTCTTTTCCTCCCCTTACGTTTCGCATGGAATATATTTGTTTCTGTCACCCCATCAATTTGCTAGAATGAGTGTCGTCGAAGCACCAATGGCAGAAATAGCAGAGGTAGTAGTTGCAGTAGTTGTAGTCGTTGTAGTTGTAGTTGTTGTTGAGTGTTGATGTAGTAGTTGTGGTGGTGGTTTTTTTGTTATCATTATAGTAGTAATGATAGTTGCAGTAGCATCTTCAGTAGTAAGAATGATAGTATTATTATTATTATTATTAGTTGTAGTAGTAGTAGTAGTAGTAGCAGCAGCAGTAGTAGTAGTAGTGAGTTTATGTGGTCTGCCCATTGTGATGGAAGAATGAATGGTGAGAAATATTTTTATTATGTATTAGAGTTATTACATCTCGTTGTATGTTGCCGCTAGTTTTTCATCATGATTTGGTTTATGGCTCATTCGCATGAATGATTCTCAATGAGTTGCATTTTGTTGATTGCTCGACTTTTAATAATTTTTTTTACGTGCCGCAATTTTCCGAGCCAGCCAGCCTGCATTCCATACGTTCGTTGTGATGAGCGTGTTTGTGTGCGTGTTTTTCTGTGTGTGTGTTTGTTGGTGTGTGTGTGTGTGTGTGTTTGTTCACGTGTATGTGTGATGGTACTTTTTCATGTGTATGTGTTTACATGTAACGTGTGTGTGCCCACGTTTCCTTTTCCTTTCTCCGTCTAGTTCCGATGTTTCGTGAGAGTTCCATTGATTTGCAACTTTTATTTCTGCTTGCTTTGTGCCTCTGCCCGCTCTCTTTCACTGCATTCATTCATTCATTCATTCATGTGCTAGTTGCTCTGGGGTCCCTTGTTCCTCCCTCTCTAAAAATATCTAATAAAAAAATAATTTACGTTCCTGCTGGTGGTGTTGTGTGTTTTTTGTTTGTTTGTGTGTGTGTGCATGCGTGCGTGTGTGTGTGTTATGATGATGATGATGATAATGATGATGATGATGACGTGACCTATGGCGGTTTAGATTACAATAAAATGACATTGAACATTTTTAAGATGATAGTGCCAATATATAACGAATGTGATGAAAGTGTGATAGTAATTTTGTAACGATTGACACCATTGTAAGCAGGTTGCTTTAATAAGATTCATTTGAAGAACTGTGTATAGAAATTTAGAAATATTGGATTTGGGTATTAGATTTATGATAAAGAAGAAGACCAACAAAAGAATTGATGTAGCATGAATGTTTTTTGTGCATGCTGTAACTTCATTCCACAGAGACATGTTGCTGCACTGAAAAAATTGAATTTCTAATTTCTGTTGTTGGTAAGATTTATTTCCATTGAATGTGTGTTGAAAAATTGTTGGAGCAAAGGTTATCATGTGAAGAGAGCTTGTTGGTGTGCAGTGCAGTTTCTGTCGGTGTGTGTGTCTGTGTGTGTCTGTGTCTCTGTGTGTGTGTGCGTGCGTTTATGTTACAAGTGCATTTACTTTTATGTATTTTACTACAAATTTGATGTTTTATCTATAGGTAATTTTTATGCAGATTGTTTAAATCAAAAATAATTAATGTAGAAAACATGTCATTGCTCTATGTTTATTTGTTTTGTATTTCTGGGCTTTCTTAAGTTGCTGTTTGCAGTGTAAGCATGATTTTTTTTATTTTCATGTGCTTTTTATTTTGATATGTAATAAATCCCCTTGTTGAATGGCGCGATGGCAGATGAATTATTATTTCTCTGACAGATGATAAATGTTCAAGCGTTTGTTCTAAAGGCTTATTTCTAATTACATAAAGGAAGGCTGATGCGATTGCTAATTCATTTTCCCACTTAATTCCATATGTATTAAATGAGATTAAATGATTATGCAATTTTTTTTACATATTCTTTTATATTTAATTTTTCAGCCAACAACAAAGGCAACATGGCTGCTCAGCAAAAGAGGGCGTACTCAACAACTCCGACAACAAATGATCCAAACCATGAGATTAGTGTCGTCACTAATGCCAACAGCATCAGTAGTGACCTGTACAACAACTACATCAACAACAATTCAAGCAACTCACTCAACAACAACCAACTCATGAACAGTTCCAATCAAACTAACAACGAAATTCTAGCAATAAATCAGCAACAAATGCATCAGCATCGACAACAACAACTGCTACTACCTCAACCGCAACAGCCACTGCAACAGTTGATTACGACGATGTTGAAGAAGACCTCGAGAGGCTTGGGCTTCACCATAAGAGGATTGGAAGACGAGGATGGTGGAGGCGTGTGGCTGGTCATCAAATCTATCCTGCCTGCTGGACCAGCTGAAATGGATGGAAAGTTACAAAGAGGTATTCATCTGTTTTCTTTCTGCATGTTCAATATCTAGCCAATCTCAATGCTCATTTGTTGTTGTGCTGTTCGTCTTTGAATGGAAACTTTCAATGATTGTGTTTTAATGAGTTTTTCAACATGTGGTCAGTTTTTCATTTAGAATTTATTCCGTTCTTTGTTCGATTTTTCAACATTTTTTGTAGTTTAAATTTTTGATTAATTTTTTTATTTCAACAAAAAATGAATAAAAAGTAAATGCCGATGTAGTAGATATTGCGTATGAATATCATGCTTTTGATTGCATGCAGTGGAAAACATTGGTGTGAAGCCACGAACAGCACGTTCCACGACAATGATAATGACGATGTGTTCACGATGATCATTGTAATAATCATTTCGACGATGACTATGACGATTTTCATTATCACAATCATTCTGATATTGATGACGATAATGACGTCATTTTGTTGTATACGTACGGCGCGTGCTATGTTGCATTCTCCAACATGTAGCCTGCCTGCCTGTCTGCTTGCTTGCCAATGTTTATTCCAACGCATGTGCATTCCAGCGTGTTGTGCTCCTATATATGCAATAATTAAAATGGCCCTGATGTACATGAATGACAGGATTGATTATTAATTATCATCCCGATCACACAGCTCCTATACAGAAAAGCGTGTGTTTGATATTTCATGCTGTATGCATTCACGATGTTTATTGTGGCTCTGATTAAGGCTATGCATTGGTGTTATTGAATACATTCGCCATGCTATGGTGCTTTTCCTCGTGAAAGAATTTATTTTACTTGTTTGTTTTATGTAGTTGTAGAATCATCTTTCAAGCTTTTTTCACATTGTCCAATTTTCACTATTGCGAATAAAAAAAAATGTTATGCCTGAAATGCGCGCAGTATATATTAATTAACATACAATTAACTGAAAAACTGGCAAATAGCGAATGATATGTCTAATTTATATCATGCTGCACCTCTCTACTCCATGCACACAATGACATCCAGTACCTTGAATAGAGCCAGGTCGTCATAATGTTGTCATTAATAGTTTTTGTGATGCTTCCATGAGGACCAAATGTGTTGGTGTCAGCGTCAACAAGTGTATTTGCGGCTGCTATCTACAGTTGGATATTTATTTGGGCACTATTACATTTGTGCTTTGTATCTTTCAATGAACTTCCATTACATTAAGTTGCCTCTAAAAATAGAAATGGATATATATTAAGATACTCTAAAGTGTATATCAATAGCCAATCTAGAAGATAGAAGCAATCTCGAAATCTGCAGAAGCATAGTTGCGAAACAGGTTCACGTTCAGTCTATCCAGATAAATGAGTTTAATGATTTCCTCCTTGCCATGCTGCCTGATTTTCCTTTCACATTATTTCATATTTTAACGACGAATCCATGTTGCATGCAACCATTATCCTTTACTTTTCTACTATGCTTCACATCCAAATATGCACATTATATTTATTTATTTTTTATATTTATTTATTTATTCATTCATTTGTTTATTTATTTCATATTAATTTGATTATATTCTGTTATAGGGTTATTACATTTATGCGACGTGTTTGCTTTTAGGTGACGTGCTGGTGAGCGTCAACGACCATGATGTGTGTGGCTTGACGCATTTCGATGTGGTCAACATGTTTCGCCAGCTGGAAATCAACCAAGAGGTGAAAATTGAGGTCATCCGTGGCCATCATTCGACCTTGAACTTTGACTTGTACGACGGAGAAGTGAACGATCCATCAGTAGAAGTTCTAACCACAGTGGCGGTAGGTAACGCTGATGGTGACGACAGTGAGAGCAGTTACTACAGTGAAGATGTTGGCAATGCAAGAGTTGTCTACGACTACCACAAATGCATGACGTACAATAATGGAAGCATTTTTTCCGGAGGACCTCAAGATATCGGAGGGGTTTGTCCCTATTATGAGTACCAGGGCCTGGTAGGAGTGAAAAAGATTGAACTGATCATCGTGAAAGGGCCGACAGGTTTTGGATTTACTCTGGCCGATCGACCAGAAGGACAAAAGGTTAGCTCAGCTCTATGTAATTTTATTTTACATTTGAATTTATGTTCAGTTCCTTATATTATCGTTACATCGTTACAATGAATGAATTATTCAGGTGAAACAACTCGTGGACATGAACAGATGTCGGGGATTGTCGGAAGATGATCTTTTACTGGAGATCAACAATCAGTCCATCAGAAACTTCAGCCATCTTGAGGTCGTGCAAATGCTGAAGTTGTGTCCAACCAACCAGCCTGCTCTCTTTCTCGTGGAGAGGAAAGGTGAATGTTGCTGTTGGAAACTATTTGTTTCTAAATTATTCACTTGTTTGTTGCTGTGAACATTCTTTTATTTCAACTTGCCTGTGCAATTTTGTTCTAATAAATAGCAACATGAATAGTCATGTTGTTTTGAAAAATAGAAATATAGTCTGTCTGCATATCAGTTGGAGTGCCCTGAGGACTTATAAATATTAGTAGAGAGAGATGATTATTTTTAACTCCATTTATCTTTCATGGCATTATCCATTAAATTTTTTTTACAAGTATTTACTTTTATATTTCTGATATTTTTTAGAATTTTTTCAAATATTTATAATATAAAATAGTTTAAATTGATACCTTGTATTCTGTAGGGGATGTAGATTTAGAATTTTAAACCAAGAGTAATAAGCTTACAATACATAATCAAACATTCATCTATGTGTATGATTCTTTCTGAAAGAATTTTAATGCCCCTTCTTATATCCATGATTTTGAAATGCTAGAACTGACCGTTTGTACCTATAATGGTATCTATAATTCTATGGGATTTTAATTACATGTAAGCATGCTTTATAAATTTAATTGGTATCGCGTTTTTTATCGTTGCAAAGTTTGATCTTATTATTCACTGAGAATTATTATCATCTTCTGGTGAATTTTGCTTTTCCAATCATTAATTTAAAAATTTCAGTATTGCAGAGTAAATGTTTGAACGTGAACGACGTGAACAGCAGCAGCATAAGCAGTTTGCAGTTATGCACCTTGAATGGTGGCAGCTGCATGCCTAACAGTCCTTACTATTTCAGGCCGTACTCGGCCGGTTCTCAGATGCAACATCAGCAACACTTTTTAACAAACAGCAAGCAACTCATGAAACATCAGGAACACAATCTGTACCTGCCTCTTCAAAAAGAATACGAATCTAACAACAGATCGTTCAAGCAGTCTCCCTGCATGGTTCATGAACATTTGAGGAAGCAACTCTCTTCTCCATCGTCGGCGTCTACGCTCATCATCGATTCACTCACTTATCCACAGCAAACTCCAGACTTCATTCCCGCCAACGTCTTCACCAGTTCATCCACTTCTTCAGAGTCCAAGTTGACAGCAAACGAAAGTGGTTATGTTGGAAGTGTATCATCAACATCCAAGCCACAAACTTATCGTTATTGTTCTGCTGTCGAACCCCACAACCTTCATCATTGCTTTAATGAATTCTGCAGTAGCTGTTACGCCGATAATCTCTACTTAGACAGCATCAACAACAACAACAACATTGTTAATGCCAACATCAACGCTGGTGCCAACAACAACATGGTCATCAAGACTGTCTTCTTAAAGAAAAGTCCTACTGGCTTCGGCTTTCGAGTTGTTGGTGGCAAAGAAGAAGGCTCACAAGTTAGTTTACAAGTTGTTGGAGATGGTGTTTATGAGGTGATGTCGTCTTTGGTGTCCTTGATCGCGATGTTGGTGATGTTGTTTGTGGTGATGTTGCTAATGCTGATGTTTCTGTTGATAATAATAATGAGTATGGGTCAACTTATCCCTTTGTGATGATTTGCAGTCTGTTCAGAACACTGCAGTGAGATTTGTTGCTTGTCATTTGAAATTCGATTCCATATCATTGTACATCAGGGATGATCTACACTGGCTCCGCATGCCAGAAAGAATCATTTTCAAACTAGCTCTTCTTGTCAGAAATTATCTTGCTGGAGACGCTCCCTTATTTGAAAGAACAACTTCAATTAGTTTCAGAAATTGTTAATCGGAGTCGACTGAGATTCTCCGATAATTGTGCTTTCTAAATTCAATTCGTTTTTTTTTTTGAAAGAGAAGATTTTCTGTTTCATCTGCAAAAAATCTGGAAGTCACTACCTGTAGATTTGAAGATATTCAACAACATGAGCCGACGTGTTTTCAAGAAACGTTTGACATTTCATGACATGTCATTTGTTTTGACATTCTCAAGTGAAGCTGGCTTTTTTCTGAAGCTATTCAATAAGGGCACTCCGTAAATCCTTGGATACAGATGATGTTAATGTGTTTAAAGAGAATTCTTTGCTTTTCCGTGTTTGCTTATATTTTTAACTTTTTTAAATTCTAATTTTGTGAAGTTTAATTGAATTTATTATTTATTATTATTATTGTTGCGTATTTAAAACTTGAAGGCAACTATTGGCCACATTGTTCCTGGAGGCCCCGCCTACCTGGATGGCAACCTGTGTGTGGGCCAGGAGATTGTGTTAATTGATGGGTTGAATGTGGAAGGGGCGTGGCACAAAGATGTCGTTGACCTCATCAACATGGCTGCTCAGAAGGGGGAGGTCATGTTGAGCGTGAGAGATCCAACAGGTTCTCGTTCACTTATTTAAAATTTTGAACATTTAGACAAATTTTCAGGCTTTAATTTTTTTGTGAAAACTTAATTGATTAATATTAAAGATATTCAACAACGGCAATTATAATGAGAAAATTTAAAAAAAAATTTAAATAAAGATTTCCTAAACAACAATCAAATGGAAAGTATGCACCTGTCACAGCAACTACATGACGTTGTACTCACTAGGAACGAGAATGAAGGATTCGGCTTCTACATCTTATCGTCTGCCATCAAATCTTCACCAGTCATCGGTAGGCAATCAATCTTCACATACGTCAAACACCTCTGCTTCCTTCAAACATTACATTTAACCTCTATTTTATAAATTTATTCCATTCATGACAACATCGTTTTAAATGATCCTCACCGGACAGGACAAATTGTTGAGAACAGTCCAGCCAGTCGTGCGGCCAACTTGAAAATTGGTTCGCAGATAATTGCCATCAACAACAATCTCATCCTGAACAACATGTCCCACAATCAAATTGTTGACATAATTAAATCCTCTGGAACCAGCATCAAGCTGACACTGACAGATGCTACTCCGAGCGCACCTTCCATCGATCGCATGATCATGCAAGCTACTGAATTCAAGAGTTTGTCCCATTTTGTTTTTATGACTGCCTAATTTCGGTATCACCTAGCTGATATTCATTCTTAAATTTAAGTAAACCTCTTATAATTTTTTTTATTTGCGCCACTTGTTTTTGTTTAGATTTTTTATGAATATTTTTAAAATATTTATTTCTCAAAAAGCGGGGAGGAAATTTAAAAAAATTAAATCAAAAAAATTTCCGCGTAGACGAAGGTACCGCGGATAGCGAAGTAGCCATCATTGATATCGACCTGCACAGGAGCAACAAGGGATTTGGTTTTTCGATTCGTGGCGGTCAAGAGTTCAACCTCATGCCACTTTATGTCCTGAAGATCGCCGATGATGGTGCCGCCAAGTTGGACGGTCGTCTGCAGGTCCATTCAAAATATTTCAATTTCTTTCGTTGTAGTTGCTCGCATTTTAATGATGTGATGTTCGTGTTGTATCATTTGTGATATAATTTTTTCCTTGAGCTAATTGTTTGCTTCATATGGTTATGTTGTTAATTTTACGATCATGTCTTTCATTTTTAAATTTTTGTCAAAAGGTCGGCGATGAAATTTTGAAGATAAATGATGCAATGACGCAAGGCATGACTCACCGTGATGCTATAAATATCGTCCAATCAACACAAGCCGTTCTCCATCTTACCATCCGACGTTTTGCCAATTTATCTGAAGCAGATGACTTGTGAAATATATTTGATTCAATTTATTAACTTGTCTGTCGGTTAATTAATTGCTAAATTATTAATTACTAGATCAATTGATTCATTCATTGATTGTTTCATTCATTCATTTATTCGTTCATTTCATTCACTGTAATTTTCGTTTGTTGTTTCATTGTTATTGATTCGATGTTGGATTTATAGTTAGATTAAAGATTGTTATACGAAATAATTATCTCATTTTTATAACGAACAAACTCGAAAGTTTTTTACGTAAAATTTCGATACTACGAACTTTTTATAAAAATTGTGTTTTTATTTATTTATTTATACAAATAAGAAACGTGGTTTATAAGTTTATAGGGCTATTTGACGTTGCTAGTCACTTGAAACGTGTCAGTAAAGTCAAACATAATATATTTTTTTTTTTCGATATAAATTACTAAAAGCTATTTATTTATTGATTTACTTATTTGTTTATTTTGTTACATTCAAACGACTCATCAGTATTTTCAACGCAGCTTTTTTTATATTTTTCAATTCGTTATTAACTTCAGCGTCGTTATTAGTCGAACGTTAAATTTTGTATTCATCAACAATTAAGGTATTGATAATCTTTCTAATTTAGTGTGTTTTCGTGTCTAATTTGGTTGAAATGTTCTTTACTGGTTACACCAAATGCCTGGAGAAGTTTGAAACTTGGCTGCTTATCAGCAATAATCGCGCACAAGATTGTTGTTAAGCGGACTTTAAACCATGGCGATGAAGATGATGATCAAATTTATTATAAATATTAATTATATCATATTGTCTTTCTATCTTAATGTGCCTCACTGATAGAAATTAAATAGATTGATTTGAGTAAATATCGAATTGTTTTGTAAGTTGACTCGGTTATTTAAATGATTAAATTTCAAGTTGTGTTGGTTTTGTTACGTACAGTTTCTCAGACAATTTTGTTTTAATATATATGTATGTGTGTGTATATATATATATATATATATATATATATATATATATATATATATATTTATTTATTTATCGTGGCCAAATTATTTTGAAATATATTTCAATTTGAATTATTTCAAATCTTTGTTACTTATTTATTTATTCATAGATGTTTAGACATTGATAATCAAAACTTGACAACACATGTGCGATCATGATACGTTTGTTACACGTTTATTCGTTTCTGATATTTATTATACCTACATAACTGCTTTACTAACGATTGTCAGTATTATTTTTCATGTTGATGTTTTAGAATATAAAAAATTGTTTTAGTCACATTTTATTACCGTCAAGATAAAAACTCGTAAAGCACTAAATGGGTAATTTTCACCGGAGTGAAGAGATTACCTTGAAACCAGGTCAGGTCTGCTTGTCCCAAGACATAATCGAATGATTTTTCATTATGCTGTTCTGACAAACGTCCTTTTTAAATCCAATCAACTGGTTTTAAACTAATGTTATTGACTAATGAGCATAAAGCCTGGAAACATTTAATGTTTCTCTGCGCCAATTAGAATGAGTGAATGTTTGCATTTTTTAATCCTTTCTGTGCTTAACAACTTTTATCTGCGTTATCCTTTAATGTATATTTTTAAAACCATGTAGATGTAATATGTACATATGTATATGTTAAACATTCTATACATTTAATAATTTTAAATTATATTTATTATTTAGGATTTTTGTTTTAAGAGAAAATGTAAACAAACTCGACTTCCGTCTTTTCTTTTTGGATCGTTGTCTTGCTGCGGGTTTGTAATTTTTCGTGAGATCTCGTCGCATCGATCTTATTTGTTTAAATAATTAATATCTATTTTGTTTCAAGGCATATAAATTTATCGCTGCGATGGCCAAGTCAAAAAACCATACTAATCACAATCAAAGTAATTTTTGAACATTTATTTATATTTTATTTCAATTTGTTAATTATGTGTTATGTCAATAAATGAATAAATCATATTTTCGTTAATAATACTGTCGTTATAAAATATAAATATTTTAGTTGTGATTCAAGCTTTTCCATTTTTTTAACATTAATTAATTTGATACTCTTTTCTTCAGCTAAATTTTTGTTTTGTCCTTTGAAATGTAACTAAATATTTATTATTTATTAATTATATATAAAAAATTAAATTTTAATTTTTGTCAGATAAGAAGCAACATAGAAATGGTATCAAAAAACCCAAATCCAACAGATATCCATCTTTGAAAGGGGTACTGTTTTTATTTTTAGCTTGTGAACTTTTTAGTTTTAATATTGGTAAAACGTGAGATCGGTACTCCTATCCTATGGTATCGTCCATGTTTACAAACTATCGTAATAACTTTTAATTAATTGACTCTGCCTGTGTTGAATTGAAAATAATTTAATTAGGTAAGTTTTTTAGATCATTACTTGTCAAATAGTTGAAATAGTGAACATTAAATAAAAAAAGTTAAAATATGAGTAAATTTTTGTTTTGATAACAATCAATAGCTTATGGAGTGGTTAACAGGGTTAGGGCCTCTCTTTTAAACAAAATTTCCAATCATTTCACAAATATGGAGTGGTTAAAATTTCAATCATTTGTGAAATGATTAAAAATTTTGTTTAAAATGGAGGCCCTAACCCTGTTAACCACTTCATAAGCCATTGATATTTAACAAGTAATGATCTAAATTATATTCAATTTGATATAAATAAATAGTCAAGCGCTAGACAATTCAACACGGATGGAGTCAATTTATTAAAAGTACATTGCGATAGTTTATAAACATGGACGATACCATAAGAGTATCGATCTCATGTTTTACCTTTAATGTCTAATTAATAAATATTTTTTATTTGTATAATTAATAAATTTATAAGCACTTTTAGTAGACCTGAATGATCAAATCTTGTTGGTCATTCAGGGGGATATTTATAGTGCAAGATCAAACTTAATGGATAAATGTTCTTTTACTAGTAAAATTTTAAAATTCTAGTAAAATTTTTATTCATTAGTACATTAGTGTTTAACTTCTTAAACTACCAAAATTATTTGTTAATTATCTTTTTACTTTATTTTATTTCATAATGTTTCCATCAGGTTGATCCAAAATTTTTGAAAAATTTGAGGTTTGCCAAGAAGCACAACAAGAAACACTCTCATCTTCTTGGTGGTGACAAGGAGAACAAAAAGTGAAACAATTGACCATGTTGTAGATGCAGTACATTAGCAATATCAACACATTTTGCTTCAATTAAATAAAGTCATCTTGATTTGAAATGTTGTTTTATAAACTGTTCAAAAATCAAAAACAAATTTTTGCACTTATCAAAATGTTAAAATCTTAGATCAGGTACAATTTTCATTGAAAACTATTAAAATTGACTGCCATTAGATGAACAAATAATTAATTTATATTCATATCGAGTTAATTATGAGATGCTAGTCCTCTGTTGAGGCTGGTTGTGTACGCTTCATGGATGGCAGTCAAGAATTGAACATCATTCTGAAAGAAACGTTTAAGTTTACATGTTTTACGGTGGTATAACTGAATGAAAAGCAACGTGTTTTATTTTAGCTATGACTATATTTATGCAATTGGATAAATCTATTGATTAAAATTTGCCCACCTTGAGTAGTGATATCAGTGCTTGTTTCAGCTGTTCCTTTGTGAGTGGTGTCAGTTTGACTTCGGCATCTTTTTTATCTGGATCATCATTTTCATTTGATTTTTGCATGTGGTTGTTATTGGCTGAAGTGTGCAGTTGATGAGTGGTCAGTGGTGCAAGAAGAGTGCTTACCAATGTGCCGTTCTGCGTTGAAACTGGCGTGCTCTGCTGGCTTGCAGACACTTGTTGAATGTAAAATTAAGTTTTGAGAAAACTAAAATTACTGTGATTAATCTCAGATCATTAAAACGCTTATAATTTGCAATTTGCTCATTTTATTAACAAGTTAAGGTGCTACAATTTCATCAACATTTGTGTATATAAGCTTAGTTGAAAGTTAAATAATACCCACGTTTCTGACTAATGACATTGTTTCGAGCAGTTTGAAAAACCATGGGAGACAGAAGAGTGGTGGCAGGGACTGGGGAGGGTCCAGTAGACTTATAAAAATTATTTTTTAACATTGGAAATTAAATAGTACCGAAATGATTAGTAACCGATACAAACATAAGAATATAGAGTTAAAAAAGTGTAAGTTACCTTGGTGACTGATAAGAAATTATTAGGTTTCGATAGCATATCAGCAACTGGTCTAGAGATTTGTCTTTGTTTATTTATCAGTTGAGGTGCAGTACTTATACCTACAGAGGTGATGATCATGTCAGTATTTTGAGACGATGGTTGTGACGAATGAGTTGATAACCTTGGAGAACTAGTTTTTGGAATGGCTTTCACGGGAAGGCTAACTTGTGGCTCATTATCAATTTGTGAGATCAACTTCGATATAGCAGGTGTTGTGGAAGAAAGAACATCACTGAATGTTTTAGGAGCAGATGGAAAATTAGTTTTGTTGTTCCATACATTGAACTGTTCAGATGAGGAAATTGTTTGACATTGTGATGTTGCTGCCTGTTGAGCCAATAGCCGCTGTTGCTGTTCTCTCAGAAACAATGCTTGCACCAGAGTGTTTGTAGTGGTTTGCTTGTTCGTTGTACTCATTTCCTTAACAAGTGGCTGCTGCAGCAAAGGTTTCACGCTATGACAAACCTGAGAAAAATCAGGGAGCTGTTTGCTTGAAGTTGAAGGCAACGGGGCTATGTTCAACGTTCTTTTCAAAGCAGTATTTGGACTTTCCAGAATTTTATGATGTCCTTGGCCCATGAGCTGCATGTGCAACTCCTTCAAATCCAACTCACTTTCACTCTTGCCTTTAGCCCTTGAAGCATTTAGAGATGATCCTTCACAACTGATTTCGGAGAAGCTGCTGTCACTACCACACCTAATGACCATATCGTTCCTACTACTGCCGCCACTCCCCACCACTGCACTGCCACCACTGCCGAGCTTCCCACTGCTTGCACTATTCACAAGAATATTTTCACGGTGGGCTTTTTCAATTTCTTCGACTGTCGGGGTTGCCAAGGTGGGAAGGGGAGGAGGAGGTAGGTGGAAAGCACTGTTAGGTCCTCCAACGTTAGCGAATCTAGATTTTAAAATTATTTGGAAAGAGGTTTGTAGAAAGCTTCAAAAAACAAAATATTTATATTTTTTTAATAAAAGATAAAAAAAAATTAAAAGTTTTAGCAGAAAATTGCTTGTGTGTGTCTGTGATGCGGGCGTTTGCATATATGTGCCTCTATAAAAGATGTATGTAGCCCATACATGATATAAAACATGAAATTAAAAGTGACATTATTTAATCCAGGCCGACGTATAACAGTACATGAGACAAGTGCATTCAATGCGATAATTCTATTGCTTGCATGCATTTGGTGAGTCAACAAAAACAAAATAACATTTCCTTTAAACGCAAATTAAGTTAGGAGAGGTGGCATAAACAAACGAGAAAAAATTGAAACAAAATGAAATACTTTTGATCAGCGAGTTTGTTATCTCTGTTTTGTAGACTTGCCCTCTTGAACAAAGTCTCCAAGCTTATATGTGTTGCAGTAGGGTGCTGGACATTGCTGGCTGGTTGGGTTTGACCTGTCATGCAACATGCACATTGCAGTTTTATATCTATTTTAACCATGGATAAACAAAACAAAAAAATGCAGAAATCAACACAAAAAACTAAAAAACATTTTCAGCTTACTAAATGCAAGAGTTTCAAATGCATCAGATTTAGAAGAACTGACAATGTTGCCAATGAGTTGTGATTTGTTTGAAGATGACTCGTGCCTCAATGATTTCACATGTGACAACAAGGTTGCATCACCATTTGTTGATTGGTGCTGGTAAGTACCTCTGGCTGATAACATCTGATGCAATTTATTAGCGTCAAGAAAAATTTATTTAACATCAGAAGGTTAGGAGCAATGAGATTATATTATAAAATAACACCTCTTATTAATGCTACCATTTTAAATGCCAATTTGAAATAAAAAAAAGTATAACTTATGTTGAATCGCACTGATCCATATGAATTTACCTTGTCGTATTCATCTTGAGCCTTCGACAGCAACTGTAAAATGTCAATGTTTTGTTTTTGAGATGATGCAGCATGAATTGAACTGAAGCTGTCCCCAGAAAACCTCTCGACCACGCTAGTGTCACTCTCTGATGCTCTCCTCTGCCTCGACTGTTCTTCATCGTGTGTCTCCCTCGCTACTTGTACCAAACTGTTCAGTTTACAACAAAGCGAAATTAATTTTCATCATTTAACACCGATGCTATATAAATTCCAATATTGAAATGAATAAAATGAAAGATGAAAAAATCATAAAACAAAATTTACCACACACAACCTGTTCATGAGTTGACCAATCCTAGCACACTCATCTCTGTCATAAAACCAGATACCACAGATGGCTGAAAAGTATTCAAAAAACTTATTACCTCAGACAAAATGTGATTCACATGAAATATTGAAAATATAATTTGATTAACTTTTAATTGATTAAATCAAACAATTAATTTTTCAACTAATAATAACTTCAAATACTTAATAAGCATTATAACTTGTCACTAGCAATTTGATGCTACATAATCATTATAATATTATAATATTTAAATTTAATCAAAAAAATTTGATGAGAGATCTGCAGAGAATAAAATAAAAACAAACTGTGTTGTACGTATGCTAACATTCATTTCGAGAATCTTTGTATAAAAGGAATGGGTCTTGTAGCTGAAACTCCAAATTTTTATTGATTGGTTCAATCAAATCTTGCAAATGCAGACGATTTATTATCATGAAACCATTGACTGGAATTGCTGATCTAATAAACAGAAAGTTAACTAATTATGAGCAAAAACATATATAACAATATAAGCATAAATATATATGAGTATATATATATATATATATATATATATATATATATATATATATATATATATATATATATATATGAGTATGCATGTATGTACGTGTATGAATGTGTCTAGTGTATGTGTGTGCATATAATAAGTATAAAAATATATTACTAACCTTGTATAAACAAAAAGTGTCCCTTCTATGTTGGTTTTCTCCTGTTAAAAAAGTATCATCTTTTTAATTAAGGTCAACGCAAAAGTTTAATGCATGCTTACAAAATATATCAAGTCAAATTTAAAAAAGGAAAGAAATATGTGTAAAAATGTTATGAAATTTTAAAATAATGTGAAAATTTTTTATTGGTTTATATCGCAGCAATCGTTTAAATTAAAAAACATCAACTGATTAATGTCACTGAATTTATGAAGATTTGACGAAATAAAGGTGCTAATCACAATAACGAAATAGAGCTTTTAGAATTCAAATTCAATTTCTCATGTATGACTAGAGTTTGTTTTTAATATGGATTGACTGAATTCACTTGGGAAAAGCTAGCAAACATTCATTAGCAAACTTTCAGTTTTAGTCTATTTTGGAAAAATAACAGACATAGTATATTAAGTAATTTTATGAGAAAATAAAAATTCCAAGTTTATAATGAAATTTAGTAACAATTGTGAGTTGATTAGTTTAAAAAAGGATTAAGAGACACTTGTTGAATTTGTTGAACTTGTTTGCTGAATTTAATTAAAGTAAATCTGAATTCACTAATTTCACTAATATTTGCCCAAGAGTAATAAACAAACATTATTAAGCTGTAAACAAAACAACTATCAACAAACCAACGATATACCAAAAAATAACTATTGTTTCTAATGATTAGGTATAGCATAGCCGTGGCAGGCAAGTATTAATAATTTTAGGCCTAGTTAATTTAATTTAAATATTGAGTTGTTAAAAAATGATCATTTAATATTATGCACAATAATAAATTTAATATTAATTATTATTAGATAATGCAAGACAGGATTTTTGTTTAATGACCTGTGGAGGATTTTCAAAATAATTTTGTAACAAATTTTTTACATTACCCAAATTTAACTCAGATATCAATAAAATTTATTGAATAAATGAAATAGCAATCTGCAATTTAAATGTTACTCATGGTGAACAAACAGATAAACACACTATTACTAACATAACTTTTTTAACTAAAATTTAAATTTTAAAATACCTAACTCTAAACTAAAACTAACTACAAATAATCATAGCTAATTACTATTAGTAATAGTAATTACTACTACTACTAATAATAATAATATTAATATAGTAAAAGTATTACTAACCCATCCATTGGTTGAACTGTTGAATGAATATGCTGCAACTTGAGAAGCTGTATCAGCAATGCTTACAATGTATGGGTCTTTTTGCTGAAGAACCGAAAGATTGATATCATATTCTGTCACCGGATAATTTGCCATGCTTAAATTATTCTTTAAAATGTTCACAGTTAGGAATAAAAATATGTAAACAAAGAAATCTCATAAACGCTCAATTCAAATGAATGATAATACAGACTAAAAATGAATAAAGGCAAAGAAATTTTTTAATATAGAAAGTCATCGGCATTTTCATTTTTATTATTTATTGCCATTGCTTAACATAACAAAGTTTAAAGTTTAAAGTAGTTCAGTAGACTAGCATCTGTGTAAGAATCAATAAAAAGTAAATTTCCTAGTATCCTAGCTTTCCTAGCTTTATTTTTAAATTGTTGATTGAATCCACTGATAAAATTTTATCGCACAGCTCGTTCCGGACGTTTACCACACTGCTGCTGAAAAAGCTTGTATCTATGATCTTTTAATTCTTTCCTTTTTCAAGTTGAAAGAACCTGGTGAACGGTGTTTCTTTTTTTCCAGTTATTAACTTTTATGTATGAATCAGATCTCCTCTGCATCTTCTCCTTTCTAGTGTTGTTAAGCCTCATTCTTTCAGTCTATCCCTATATTCTAGTTTTCCAACTTCTTCGATCATCTTTGTTGCTCTACGTCGTACCCGTTCAAGAATGTCTTTGTCCTTTTGCAGATCTGAACTCCAAACCTGTGAACACTCTCGTCTCGATTACTGTGAACAGTAATCGAGACGAGAGCGAACTAATGTTTTATAGGCTTGTTACCACTCATGAGATATCTTATACTTTGAATAAAAATACAACTTATATATCAAATATCTAAAAAAAGAAATTAAAAAAAATGCAATCATTCTTTGTTGAATAGTTATTTTTCTGTCATTTTTTCATAGGCAGCCGTTGTCATTGTTCTTAAAAGGGTTCCCAACTATAATGACTTTCCACCTCTTCTACACTTCCGATTTAATCAGTTACATATGATCAGCTGCGCACTGTCTACACTTCTTCCAAAACCATCATTTCGCTGGCATCCAATATGTAAGATTTACCGTCGTCATTTGCCAGCTTCATCTTAATTCTACCATTGCAGATCATCTGCATTATTTAGATGCTAGCCATATATATATAAATATATATGTATTTATATGTATATGTATATTTATGTTTATTTATTTATATATATATCAATGATGCTAGCAAACCAAAATACTTCAAAATTTTTAATAGTGATTCTAAATAACTGGTTCTACCATTAAAATTTTGAAATTTGACGAACGCAAAACTGCCAAATTACGTTACGTGCTGTTGTGGCCCATATTTGTCCGGCGACCTTTTTCTCTTGCTTATCGCGCAAATTTGAGTTCTATCGAGTTTTTTTAAATACTGCTCACAACGTGCCCCGACTCCCTCACTAACTAGGCCACAATGTACCGATCTTCAATAGGCTAATCGTAATTGTACGGTGCATAACTTGTTAGGTAAGTATTGATACATTGCATGTGGAACGAGATATGTGCTAATTTATGAAGAAGTTGAATGATGGCGGGTATTGCGTTTTCAATCGTTTTCAATTTTAAAATTTCATGTTTTTATATATTTTAAAAAATATACATAATATTACAAATATAACAATATAGAACATTATCGCCTAATTTTATCACATCTATTTTTGTCGACATTGTGGATATTTGTTGTCAATTGTTTGTTCGTTACCATACATTGTATCGTTACATTTCATTGTATATTTTAGGTGCGCATTTTAACTAACGAAAAGCAAGCCACAAGACGTGACTTCGATTCACGGCAGCTTCTTACAAATTAAAAATTCAGAACATTATGAAAAATTATTCGATTTAAAAATTCTTGTTTCCATTGAAATAATATGGTCAGTTTGAATGTTTATAATAAACTTTATTTAATTTCTTCATTTAATTTTGTCAGACATGATGATCTTAAAAACTTAATTATAGTTTTGTATCATTTTCATTTAATGAAAAATAAAACATAATGAATGAAACATATTTTTTAACCATGAAACAAAAAAAGGACAGTTGACACATTTAATATTTAAAAAGTTGAAATTTATTATTATCTATTAATTTTTTAGTCACGTCTATACAGATATATGTCACTCTCTGATGCTCTCCTCTGCCTCGACTGTTCTTTAACATGTGTCTTCTTCTCTACTTGTACCAAACTGTTCAATTTACAACAAAGCGAAATTAATTTTCCTCAATTAGCACCGATGCTATAATAATTTCAACATTTAGTTGAACAAAATGAGAGATGAAAAAAATCATAAAACAAAAGGCACCCAAACCTGTTCATGAGCTTACCAATCCTAGCACATTCATCTTTATCATAAAACCAGATACCGCAGATGGCTGAAAATATTAAAATTACAGAAAATAAATATAGATAATTAAATTAAACTTAATTATAAATAATTGTAAAAAATTATATTTTATTGATTTTTAAAATAAAAAATCAAGCACTTAATTTATCATGCAATTAATTTTCCAACCAATAATAACTTCAAATACTTAAAAAGCATTACAACGTGAACATTCGATACAACATTACAATCTATGTTATATTATAATGCTAACAATAAATTTGTATTTTCATTTAATCAAAAAAATTTGATGAGAGATCTGCAGAGAATAAATTAAAAGCAAAAAGCATTGTATGCTTACATTTATTTCGAGAATCTTTGTATAAAAGGAATGGTTCTTGTAACTGAAACTCCAAATTTGTATTGATTGGTTCAATCAAATCTTGCAAATACAGGCGATTTATTATCATGAAACCATTGGCTGGAACTGCTGATCTGATGAACAAAAAATTAACTATGAGCAAAAACATATATCCATATAAACATAAATATATATACATGTGTGTGTGCGTGCGTGTATGTATGTGTGTAGTGTGTGTGCATGTCTGTGTGTGCGTGTGCGTGCGCGCGCGCACATTTAATATATCAGTATAAAAAAATGTTATTAACCTTTTATAAACAAAAAGTGTTCCTTCAATGTTCTTTTTTTCCTGTAAAGAATGTATCATTTTAATATGCTAGAAATTAAATCAATGAAAAATAAACATGTTTATTAATTATAACTACGGAACTACAAATGTGTGTGGTGTAAATTTTACAGGTAATAATGTAATATAATTTTATAAAAAAAACAAACCCATTTAGACAATTTTTGGCTGAAATAATAGACAGCAACAAACGCTGGTCCATCCAATATCTCAACAGCGCTGTTATCTAACCGTCGAAGAGCAGTCAGATTAACATCTTCCATTGCGCACATCCATTGCTCTTCACTCTGACTAACCATCGTTTTATACATTTTTTCGATTTAACTTTTCAATAACGAAATTATAGCCAAAATGAACTAAAGTCGAATTGCGAACTGACCTACTCGTTCGGACACTTTCTTATATAGGGTTCTGATTCGTCCATAGATATAGGAACTAGTTATCTGAGAATGTGTGTGACACACTTACTATTTTGTATCTTCAGTTTGCATTTTTTGGAAATGAAATCTCAAACTTCATGAATAATAATTAAATAGCGACCGCAAATATTTGCATAAAATTTAATTAATAAACAAATTGATAAGTAAGTGTATGTTAATATTAAGAAGTTGGAATTTGATTCTCCTTTGTTCCCTATATTATTCTATAATTGTGCAATTTAAAAATGTGTTTTGAAATTAGCATCGGCTTTCAATATTAATTAAACTTTACAACCCGGTTTAATGAGGCTACTATAGACATTTAATTATTTTACAACTGGAGCGGCAACGAAATTAAACTTTTTATTTTTACTACCAGGGTTGGGTTTACACAACTTTAACAAGAAGAATTTTAACATGAAAATTTTGTAATTTGACGGGAGCCAAAAACTATCAAAATTTTTGCACCATTTGTAGCTTAAAAACGTTGTTTTCGTGTGTAAAAACTGAGTTTTTTATAAAAATACTGCTCAAAACGTATCGATCATCAATAAGCTAATTATTGTATGATTCAAAACTTGTTAGGTGAGTACATAGCATGTGGACCGTGATATGTTTTCATTTATGAAGTTGCATTTTGTTGGGTATTGCGTTGTCAATCGTTTTCAATCGTTTTCAATATCATGTTTTATATTTTTTTAGATATACATAATATTACATACACAACACAACAGAACTTCAACAACATTCAAATAAATGATATTAAAAAAAATTAAATCGCCATGCTTTAACTTAAATGAATGAAATAGTATTATTAATTAATCCTTGTTATGCCTAATGTTTGCGGCTCTCACTCGAGAGGTTAGAGAAGGATTTGCATCCCATATTATACTACCATCCTTGCTGATATATGATGCAGGAACTTTTTGTTTATTTCCTGGTTGCGGATCCTGTTTTTTTGACTGTTCTTCATCCTCATTGTCACTAGATTTTGATGATTCGGTCTCATATTCTTCATAACTAATACTGTCGGCTTGTAAAGGAGTTGACATATCTTCATAAGAATTAATTGACTCAATAATGCTAGAGATTTCACTAGTTTCTGAGTCGACGTAGCCTTCGTTTGTTACACATTTACTAATTTGTTCAATAGCCTCCTTTGCAGATAATCGTTTTGACATTACCGCAACGTATTACATTTTTAAAAAAATCAAAGCAAAAAAATTGCATAAACATATAATTTAATCTCAAAAAAATTTTGCACGTCGTTTTTATAGCCAGTTGTGTTTGGAAATAAATTGACGTAAGTTTTATAGGCATGTTTAGTTAAATGTTTCACAAGCGATAACGAAATGAATGACATAAGCTTTCTATGAAATGCTTATTTTTGCATTTTATGTGTCTGTCAAATATGTTGTGCATTTAAGAAGGGTTAGATAGATTAAAGTTTTGTTGATGTTTTTTTTTAATTCAAAGATTTCGATTGTATGCGTGATGTCGAAGCCTATGCATGTAGTTTGATTATTATCCAAGCCGTTCATTACTCTAAACGTGTACTGTTTAAAATGAAATGCGTGCATTTGCGAATGGGGATAAACTACTTACGATATTTCATGCCGTTTGATGGGTTTCTCAAAATATACATTAATTATTAGTATAATTTTGATTTTATCATTTGGAGTATTATAACGACAGGTTACTCAGTTTATAATTCTTATCAGATATATTTCAACTTTTGATTTATTTTCATGGATTTATTAGAGATTGGTTGCGACTCAAATGAGAAGAGAAAATTTTACTATTTTATTTTTATATATTTAATGTTCTCTTTCGAAAGTGGGAAAATTATTTTTAAAGTTAATCTTATTACGAAGAAATGATTAAACAGCTAAGTATTTATCTGAATAGTTTCGATGCAGATTAACTAACGCCCTATCAATGAAATCGTCGTTAACTTATTTAAATTAACTTTGATGATATTGATATACTGGCAGGCCTATGCAAACCACTGTTCGCATAGGTATAAATTGTTGATTTTTGAATAAAAGACGAAAGACCTTGTGGTATTTTTTGAAGTCCTGCATGCACTTCAGTTAGAGCCGCCGTCATTTTCATAATTATGTTCTAAATAAAAAAGTTTTTGAACTTTGAGATAAGTGAAACTGCTTACAAGAAACTGCATCAGTCATGAAACAGCTATTCAAAATGTTACATACACGTTTAATAAGAACAAAACACAAGCAGTGAATAACGTGTATTCAATTACAACTTCTCAGGTTCATCCAAGAAGAAAACTACGTTGATTTTATGTACATTAACATTTTAAAGGCAGACATGTGAAAACGTGTAACAGGAATATTTCAAGCTGTTTAACCGAGACACGTAAAATTTCATCTGACTCATGGTGGAGTGTACAAAAGAAAATGGAAAAACTAATGCAATGATCTTGTAATCAAATCAAATGGTCCTGTGGAAAAACTCATTAACGTATAAAAACTGCTTTGAAATGTTCACATTAGCCTATTATTACATTTGAAAAGTTCATCTTTGTAAATTAACGCCTTGCTGAAACTGGTTGAATAGTTTTACCAGTAATAAAAAATTACGTTTTTTAAAAACATGTAAGTAAGGCGCTATAAAAATTATGAATAATTATTATGGTGACGTCAATCAATCATCAAAATTTAACAATAAAAACACAATTAATTTATACATTTAATACTAACAATAAATTAACGCAGTTAAACTTTAAATAAATGCAAAATAGGGTCTGAACTCTAACGTTCGTTCAGCGTTTAAATTACATATGCGCGTATACATTGTTTAAAATCCATACTGAAATGCTTGTATCATGTACAGTATAAATTTATGTATAAATAAATATAAAATACGTATTTAATTATAAAACTGCATAACATAAATACATCACTTGTCAAATGTCTGGACATCATCGAAATACAGCAAGTCATAATCTGGTGAAATTAAAAAAAAATATTTCATTGCCCTGTACTGCATAGGCTGTTGTGAACGTCGCTAATGCTATCATTTGTTTGTAATAAAAATATTCAAAATATTAAAATTGAACAAGTCGAAAAAATCTTGTCTTTAGTTTCTTATTTTTATATTTCGTTTTCAACGTATTTGTCACATATATTATTTATTATAATAATATTATAATTAATATATATGGTATTAAAACAAAACAAATCCTTCTATGTGCAAAATCCAATTGTCTTAATTTTAATAAAGTTATCAAAGTTCATTAGTTGAAAAATCAATTTGATCGGAGAACTAAAAGGCTTATAAGTGTTGTTTATCAAACATCAAACGCTTGGAAATATTTAGAAAATTTAAAATTCCGTAGAAATTACTTTAATTTAAGATATTTATCAGATTTTAGTTTTAATAACATCGCGCACAAATAAAATGGCCATGAAGGATCAAAAGCGTCAGATCATTAAGCTATCCATCATGATAGGACTTACATTCATATTTTTTTTGTGCGAGTTGGTCGTGGGACACATCACAAACTCACTGGCTCTCATTGGCGACTCCTACCACATGATATCCGACGTCTTGGCTCTTGTCATCGGCTTGGCCTGTTTAGCGGTAAGAACTTTCAATTGATCGATTTTTTTACAATGCCATAGTAAAATTTAAGCTTCTCGATAACATCTTTTAATAAATGGTTACTCTGAATATTGGATGATAGTTAAGAAACGTGAATGATGTAATATTTTTGTTTTGACTATTATTATTATTAGTTAAATTCTTTTAACTGTAATGAACATATCGTCATGACGGTTAACATCTTATAGTGATTAAATATTGGCATATATAAGTAACATCACTATGAAAAAAAATGAATCTTCAGACTTATGCAAAAGTTATTCGATTTTTTTTTATAAAGATATCAACTAGATCTTCTAAGCAAAATACATTTGGTTGGGCACGGGCGGAGATCCTTGGAGCACTCGTTAATTCTGTGTTCTTGGCTGCATTGTGCTTCACCATTTTCATAGAAGCCATCCAGCGGCTCATTACACCAAATAACTTGGAGAACCCCAAGTTGCTGTTGATTGTCGGATCAGTTGGTCTCCTCATCAACCTGTTGGGTCTCGCTATCTTCTACAATGAAACACACGGGCACTCTCATGGAGGGAATGCAAGGCAAGAAAGACCAATCAAAGAAAAAGAAAATTTCGTTGCTACTTCTAACAACAACTCAACCGAGACAACACGGGCTAACGAGACACACATCAAGCTACAAATGGAAACCTGTCCAAGCACAAGCGGGAACGTCACTGAGAACGTAAGAGAAAATGGTAAAATTGAAAGTTTCAACGTGTCGACTGCTGAAAATCGATCCGGTAACGCTTCAAGCAAAGGTATATTTCACGTTTTCTACGTTGTTAAAAGCTCTTTGAAAACGTCCATTGTAGAATATTAAATGTAAATAACTGTATTAAGAAAATCTGTAGACCTAATATTAACATCCTAGGCCCCAAATTATATCCAAATTTAATTTTACTCTAATTAAACTACACAGAACAAATGGTCTCGCCATCGAAGACGACTGAAAGAGTACACGACGACACTCAAGTGAAAATATCAGATTTGGACGATTTGAAAGGACAGAACATCAAAACAGGTAGCATTGAATTAGCGATCACAAACGTACATTGTGCAGTTTTGACAAATGTCCAACAGCTAGCCAGATGAACATCAAAGGAGTATTTCTACATATACTGGGAGACGCTCTGGGTTCACTGGTGGTCATTACAAGTGCTCTTGTGGTTATTTTTTGTGAAGGCGGGTGGGTGGCTTACGTGGACCCCGTGTTAAGGTAATTTAATACAACTCTTAATACATTTACAAAATTATTTCAATTCACAACAAATAAATGAACACCCCCTGAAACATTTCTTTTCAGCATCTTCATCGTCGTAATTATACTGTCGACGACATATTCATTACGTAAGTGAGATTACGTGCTTATTCAAACTTTATATTTAAATATGCTCACAACAAAACAATTTTTTTAAATTTAGTTAAGCAATCAGCACTGATTTTGATACAACACGTTCCAGACCACATACGAATTGCAGAGTTGTCACAAAAACTATGCTCAGAAGTTTGTTATTCCGCAATAATTATTCAAACAAATCTAAAAAATAATCGTAAAAACTATTCAAAAATTCAGATAGATGGCATCTTGGGAATTCATGAACTGCACATCTGGCAGCTGGTAGGCAACAGAATAATAGCCAGTGTACATGTAAAATGCAGGAATGCAGAAGAATACAAATCATTATCTGTTAAAATCAAAGACTTTTTTCACGATGAAGGAATTCATTCAACAACGATTCAACCAGAATTTGTTGAAGTATGTAACCAATTTAGCACGATATTTATAAGATTAACGATCAAAACGTAATTTATTCGTAGGAAGACGATGGAACATTACTAGAAAAATGTTCAATGGAGTGTGGTGTCGATAAATCCTGCCAAAATCTTAGATGTTGCAAAGAAAATAAAAAAGTTTAAAAGAAACAAAACCACACTCTTCAACACATTTTTTGAAATAATGTTTATTATGTTATCAACAATTTTAGTCTTAATGTTATTTTCACATTCGTAATGTTTGACTATTTTCAATTACAATTAAAATTTATCAAAAACTGTTTATTTTTTGGGCACCAAAGGGTCGTACTTGCTGGGTTGACCAATTCTGTGCTTGAACATGGAAGTGCTTATGTCATAGAATGAATATTTGTTATGTTGAAAATATTCAGGAGTGTTATAACGAGATGGATCTGTACCATCTGATGAAGAACCTTTAGGAAAATTTAAAATATAAAACATTATTATCTGAATAAACAAAATAATTAAATTTTCGTTGGTGGATAAAAATTACCTTTGGTAGGTTGGGCCGATGGTTTTGATGGAGGTGAAGTGCTGGAGCTAGTACCGGCCATTCTTGAAAAAATCAGCCTCAATGGTCTAACCTTGGGTAAAATATTTAATTTGATCTAAAAATTTATTGAACAATTTTAACAGAAACTATGTTTAGTTTAGAATAAATGATAAACTACAGCATTATTTTTAAATAAAACTTTTCATTTCATTACAAATTTATGAGCCAACCTTAGCATTATGATTATCAGCATCAGATTCACTGTCTAAATTTACTGGCTTTTTGAAAATTCAATCAACTCAGCTCATCTACATGTTATGTAGAATTTAATTTAACAATTACTAATTTAACTTGTCTGAAGTCAACAAATATCCGTTTAACTAACACATCCTGACCCTAACTAGCCAACCCAAAATTTATACTAAATATATCATTTCAAATTTAAAATTATTTTCTATTCCATAAAAATTATAATTTACAATACTTTTCATTTTTCTGAAATAGCTTTTAAAATAAAACTGAACATTAGTTAACGAACTTTGTTAGCTTTTCATAAGTCTAATCTAATTCTAATCTCTAACTAATCTAATATTAATATTCTAACTAAATCTAATGCTAATCTCTAATAATTTTTGTAAGTTTTTAATTTAAACTTAATTAAGGAAGGTCTTAAAAGTTCTTGACCTTCTAAGTTTTTCATTTTTTTAAATAGAAAGTAATATTGAAGTTTGTTTGTAATATCAAAATTTGGCAATTAATAAATATTAATAATTAATAATAATTAATTATATGCAAGAAATATGAAAAAAAAACCTTCCCCAATGCCATTTTAATTTTGCAGAGAGTACACAACACTGACTCAATAAACAGTAAGCAAAACCGCTGAGAAAAAATAATTGAAATCTACTTTTCATTTTTGCAATGGAAAGCCCATGCTATTTTAAGCTCTAAAGTATTCTTCCTATTATGAACTTCCCATATTCTTAGAATTAGAACAGGAAATTTTCTGTAAGTGAGAGCAGCGTGGACGTCACATATAATTGTTGCAAGGAACCTCAAGATAATTATCCACAACAACTAAAATAAAGTATAACAAAATGGCACATACGCTTTCAGGTCAAGTGGTAGGGTTCGATCTCTCTGTATTATATGCATGAAAAATTTGAACAATCAGAAAGAGAAAAATTAACGAAAACATTTAGGGTAAAGCGAAAAGCCATAAAATATGTTGGGAGTTAGTTGGTGAAAGAAGTTAAAAAACAAACTAATACAAAACCAGCTTAGAAAACAAAAGCATATACAACGAATTGAAAATTGAAAAACTAGTTGAGAAAAGTAAAAAAATTGAAAAAGAACAGGATTTTATTTACGTGCATGAATAAGGAAAAAGAGTAAGTAAAGAAATAAAATGTGATTTGTTTTTGAGTTTTTTTGTAAAAAAATTTGATCAAAACAATAAAAATTTTATCAAGAATCAGTTGAAACAGATTTTCTATTTGAATCAAAGCATTTGTTTGCCTTTACTTGGTTGCCCTTATTCTGTTTGCATGATTTAAAACATATGCACGTTGAACAATCTGTAACAAAAGCGGGGAAATATGGCATAAGCCAAATCTACAAATTAATTTTATATAATCTAGTCATTTCATCGTTCTTTTGAGACGATATTTTGTTGTTACTGGCGTTGAGAGGAACGTTTGTTGTATTATTTTTATTATCCTTCGAATATCCATTTTGCTTAGACCTGTCTTTTCTGGATGATTTGGAAAATGATCTCTTCTTAAAATATTGTATCAAGGGCTGACGTAGACCGAGACTGTCGATTTCGCTGTCGGTTAATTTGGAAAATTTTCTCCCATTGATACGTTGCTTCCTGCATTTTTCGATAACTACTTCGGCAACCACCAGACATTGCAAAAAAGTGCAGAACTTTTCAACACCGAAGTTGTATAAGTTGCCGTCGTTTGGTATTGTTAATTGATCTGAAAAAAGTTTGTTTATTATTCATTTTTCTACTTAATAAATTATTTAAAACTAAGAACAGGGTATTTTACTAAAAGCTGCAAAAACAACTGAAATGGTACGTTGTTGGGTCAAATGTTATTGTTTGAGGTTCATGAATCATGACCAATTTACCTGTCCATGAGTCCGAAGAATTTTCCGAATCTGATTCCGCGTTTGTTTCTTTTTCATTAAAATGTACTGAATGAAATAATTTCATAAAAAGATATTTATCTAAAAGGGAACAAATGCAAAACTTTTTACAGGACATATCACACCTTACTTAATCGCATTTGAACATTTGTGCCCCAAAGTCCCAACGTGCATTCATACCACATGATGTAACCATACAACATACCAATATGCATGTAGGTGCGATTACTGCATCATACGCGTATGATAAACGTTGATGCTCTTACATTCAAAGTTAACATATTTTAAAAACATCTTGAGCTATAATAACCTTGTTTTGTTTTTGCCGTTGTTGGGCTTGCTTGGAAATTCAAATCTGAATTTTTTAAATTTTGATTAAATAAGTAATTAGATTGACTTAATTGATTCAAAAATGTGTATGACCAAATAAAACCAAATAAAATAACAATGTTATCGAAATTATAAAACTTAAACTTTAGCTTCAACAACTTTCGATGACAATATAAACTTAAAAAACAAGAATTCAACCTTGGTAAGGCTGTTGAGAAGTGTTTTCTAAGTTTGATTGCTGTAGTTTTGCATTGACTTGGGAGGTGCCGTTCATACAATCACTCGCTCTACCATCCATGTTGATGTTTTTGCTGATGACATTGCTGCTGACGTTGCTGCTGTTATTGTTATTGTAATTGATGTTACTGTTGTTGATGCCAGTGTTTATGATGTTGTTGTAGTTGATGTTGTACTCCGAGTCTCCATCAGTGACGACATGGTGCGTGATGTTGAAATGTCTCGAGGCTCTGTTGGAAGGAGCACTGTGGACAGCTATCGGAGATGTGGATTCGTTGTTAGCTGCGAACGTATCGATAACCGTTATGTGTTTTACTTTAGGTTCGTTCTGTTTCAGATACATGTTGTTAAATTTGTTGGTCATGTTGTTGTAGTTGTGGTAACTGTACAAATTGCTGTTGTCTACTATAGAATTAAGCGATTGAAACAGGTTGGGCTGTTGCACATAAAAATGCGGACTGAATTGATGTTGGTATGATTGATGAGGTTGTTGTTGTTTCTGGTAACGAGCTGAAAATAACTGTTCGTCATTAAGAGCGTTGATAGAGTTTGCGATGAGATGATGATTGTGTGGGTTAAATGGTGAGTTTGAGTTGATCACATTCCCATATGGTGTACTACTGTTTACGAAGTTATTGTAAGGCATAGATGAATTATTACGATGGTAGTTTGCTGGTAAAATTAAATTGCCGTTGTTAGTATTGCTAGCGTGTTGGTAGCTCTGTTGGAGCTGTTGTGTTTGTTGATGATGAGAAGTGAAATCATTCAGAGAGATGACCTGTCCATTCTGTAAAGTGGTGAACTGCTGGATTGATTGATTGATTCGTAATTGATTGCTGTTGGGTAGGGTGTGGATGTTTTGATTGCTGTTGTTTTGGATGTTGTTGTTTTGTTGGTTGTTGCTGTTGTTGGATTGGTTGTTGGTTAATGGAATGTTTTTGTTGGATTGGTTGTTGTTCAATGAAATGCTGTTGTTAGATTGGTTGTTGCTGATTCGGTTGTTGCTTTTTATAACGGTGTCAATTTGAATATTGTTGAGTGCGAGGTTTTCTTGAAGGTTATTGTTGTTCTGAATGTTGCTCTTTTGAACGTTATTTTCTTGAATGCTGATTCTCTGAATGCCGTTATTTTGGATGCCATTTTGCTTATTGATGTATTCTTCAATGTTTAACTCATTTTTAATGCAATTAATTTCAGTTTTATAGTTATTGGTGTAATTATTAATTGCATCAACGCTCGATCTCAGGTCTAAACTACTTGATGGGACATTATGACTGCTTCCTTGATGGGTTGCGTGTGAGTTGATTGACAAATTACTTTGCAGTGCATTGCTATCAACGAGATCACGATCATCGTCAGAATCAACAATTAAGACTGCGGCTGAAGATTCTTGCGCGTTCTGCGGCGATTGTTGCTTATCTTTAAAATCTGTTGATGCTTTCATGAATTGTTGTCTATATGTTGGCTGTTTTAGTTGGATGGATGATTGCTGTTTGATTGTCTGCAAGTTTCTGTGTTTTTGCTTTGTGAGCGTATGTTTGCTTCTGTGTTCAAAAGAAGGACTCGTTGTTATGCGGGGGGTTGGAGGGGTGACGGTGATGTCTGGAGCCTGAACTTTGTAAACTTTTGACGGGCCTTTAGCTTTAATTTGATAACAAAGTTTTGTTGTTCAATGATTGTCAAAATATCTAAAATTGTAAAAATTAATGTTCTAAGTTTACACTCACAGATCAATTTATTGTTGCAAAATATTGCATCTGATATTTTTAAATCATGTAAAAAACTCACGTAGATAATTTATTTTCATAATATTATCGCCTTGCACTGTATGTAGGTCTGTCAAATTTTATTTTTAATCTATGATTTTAGCATTTAAAATCTCTGTTCTTTACGTTCGGATCATACTCAAATTCCTTGCTATGATAAATTTGCTTTTGTTAATTATAATATTTTCCGAGCACCTTCTTTTACAGCGTCTCAATCAATCACTGCATAGTTTGAAAGAAGTTTTGAGTTATGCGTTAAGCTGTGTTCATTTGGATGTTATGTAATCAGACGGTAAATTATTAGTATCGTTATTAATATTATTGTATGATCCATCATATTGATGATTAACGATGTTATAACTGAATGATTTAACTACATTTGATGTTTACAAATCTGACTAACAAGCCGACACCAGGTATACAACATTTCCTTTCTTCTTACGATCCGTACTCGATGGATAGCGGGATATGGAGCGGACGTCGTTCTGACTGACTGCACTGATCATCTGCTTCATCGACATTGAGGATCTCTGTGAGCGACTGTCGGCTGCTTCATTTTACAATATTTTGGTTTCAAATCATTCAGTGTAAAACTTCAATATAACTACTGCTTGCAAAAGTATTCAGTTTTGTTTTTTTTTCATATTCAAAAAAATAATTTCTAATTTCAAGCACGCGATTGAGTCTGCTATAATTCCTTAGATGATGACAGATCGAAGGAAATAACAATAAATACATACAAAAGTTGAATGACCTGTAAACGAGCGAGACCTTGGAAGCTTTTGGGATGGCGTGAAGTGCTTCTTCCACGATCCACTTAACGCCCCCCACCGCGATGATTTCGAACTACTGCTGGCTGCATAAGATGATTCGCATTTGTTCATACGTAGTAGCATATACACATAATTAATTTCTTGAACTTATTTTTGATAAAATAACTTTGGTAATATTTTGTATAGTAATATAATATAATCTTTGCAATACGAGATTATTTCAATTCATTCTTCATTTTCAATGATCAGAAGAAATCATAGTTTGAAAATTCTATAACAAAATGAAAAAATCTGTCAAGTGCTTAAAAAAACTGCTGATGATATTTTTGACACACTCTAATCTCACAAATCTATAATTATGTTTCTGTAGACTATTTACTATAGACAAGATAAAATTACTTCCACATGCAGTTTACGTTAATCCTTCAGGATTATAAAAATAATTATACTGTGAAATAAAATGTATGTGACATGCTGTGAATTCAAGCGGTGTCTCACTAGTTCTGAAAAATTATTTGCTTTTCGTTTTACTTTTGGCTAATATGTGGTTATTCATTTTGGAGATTAGGACACGTTAACCATGGTTACAAACAATTCAATACACCAACAATACAAACCACCAGTAATACAATTCACCGACGATACAAACCACCAACAATACAATCCACCCACGATACAAACCACCAACAATACGATCTACCAACACTACAAAACTACCAACAATCGGCAATGGAGAGTGCTCTGCGAGCCACACTATAGTCTTGTCTGCTTGAGGTGGAAACCCGTCTGATAATAATGGCGGCAAAATTTAAAGATTTTCAACAGAGTCGGTTAACTTGTATTATACTCTACTATTAACGATAATTTGTATAATACTCTGCTAGTAACTACAAATTTTCTTAAATTTTGGCATCTGTCATTGAGTATCGTGGCCATATATTGTCTAATCTAAGTTTAACAGCTTTGAGATGGATTATAAGTACACCGGCCAAACATATCAGTGGCGGATAGTTGAATGAATATAAATATAAAGCAAACACCGAAGGGTGACTAAATAATTCATTATATTAGAGCAAAACAAGTAAACCATGCACTAACGATGATTTGTTGATGGCTTGAGAAACTTTCAGGAAGGAATCTATATTTAATTTTCTTTGAAGAAGGTCTCGGAAGGTTGTTGAGTCAATGTGCTCCACACATCTATCTAGTGTCGATATCAGCGGCTGAGATGTTTTGCTCAGGAATGGGCTACTCTTTTTCGAAAGTTGTTTATGAAACCTGATATTAAAAAAAATTATTTTCATAAAATGATCTGTATCGTTAATTTTCAATAGACTTAAAAATAAATCGCTTACTTGAACTATCAAAACATTTTTTCAGTTAAATGTTAAAAATTGAACAAATCAAAAAATTTACTTTAAATAAATTTTCATTCTTGTGGGTACATGGAAAGCAGGAGCTTCAGGATTGAGTTCACTAACGTACAGCGAAGGTTCGGCCAACACTTGGACCATTTCAATTTCGCTTTTCAGAGGCAAATCTTCGTGCAATGTTTGATGATCTTTACTTCCTTTCACAACTTCCACAAACACCGAATGCCTTTGAATGAGGTTTGACAATTCGCCTATGGTCCACAATCTTTTTGACGGATTTGTCGTTTCTATTACCTAGAATAGTATAGTTTGACAAATTTGAATAATTGTTTAAAAAAATGGAAAAAGTAAACAAAATTTTAAAAAAAATTTAACCTCCTCAAAAGTTATGTTCAAATCCAGAGGAACAGCTATCTCCATAGCCTTCCCACTTTCAAAATCCATCTTCTCCAGTCTCACCCTGCCTAATTTTTGGTAGAACATCAGAACCGAATCATCATCACCGTCATCGGACTGGTGACTTGTGTCATCTAACACAATTTCTCCAACTTGAGGTGCTTTAAACTGTTCATTGGAGGCAACTTTCTCACAAATGACACGAACGATATCGCCTATTTTTATTTGTCCCCCAGTGAATTTCTTATCAATATCGACAACTCTAACTTTATCAATAGGTTTATTTGCTTTGGATACGTTAGAAGTTTGTTTGTTAGAATAATCTTGGCACCCTTCAACCATACTAGAATGGGATATTAATTCTTCTAAGCTGTTGCATGCTCTCAATTTCACTTTAAAAGTTCCTTGGTAGTTTAATGGAATGGTGAAATATTTGTCGTTGCTCGTCCTAGCCAGCACTTTGAGGTGTCTCGTCCACCCATGCATCACTAGAAGGCTGCCAGTTTGAACTCTGAAAAAGTTTAGTTTTGTCAGTAGCGTGACAGTTATGTTAAATTATAAACATTGATAAGTTTTAAAAATGACTTACTTGTGATATGAAAGTGGGTTGTAGAGAAAGCGTCCATCATTTTGAGAGATATCCTCAAGATCAATCACCTTCGATAAAATTGGAAATAAGTTACGATTTGTTGAAGCAAAATTTTTCAGAAGATGTGGTTCTTCATCGTTAATTATGTTGTTGTTGATGTTGTTGTTGCTGCTACTGCTGATGTTGTTGCTATTAGAAGTCGAGGCCATAACTGTAAACTGGATGATCCTTACTTTGTTTCGAGTCGTTCAGTAAGGTAAGAAAATTGAATTATTATCCGAGTAAGCAACATTTTTTATTACAGATTTAGAACATTTTTAATGTCACAAATGATCAGAAAATTCACTAAAACTTCATTTCGCTGCAGTTAAAAATATATATACAATATTACACAAAGCCTGAACTATATTATAACATGTGCTTAGCTACTGAATGGTGAATGTTTGATTGTATAAATAAATGAAGTTTATTTCATTGCACGCACGCTATCAATTGGCAACTTGTTTCGGCTTAGTAACAAATCTGCAGTAACACTCCGCAGATTAAAAATTTCAATGATGTCAGCGACTGTCATGTCAGTGACAATGTCAGTGATGATGTGATTGTTTACGATATGACGAGGAAGATGAAATGACAATGAGAAACGATGAAGATAAAAAGATGACAACAACGATAACGAAGCCACCGATGATTTAAGTAGAAGGAGAGGAATTTATGTTGTAGTTAGTTGTAATATCAAACAGCTTGTGATTGGGCAAACGCTTATGAACATTACATACTGTCATTGGAACAACACATGATGCTTCCCACTTTGCTTTGAATATTATGCAGGCAGAGTGTGTGAAGCAAAAATGAAGAGCGTTCATAACATTTCAAAATTTCTAGAAAATTAGAAAATTTCTTTCCTGTTGTCGAGCTTAATTTCTTTCATTCTTTTTTTAAAATCAATTTTAAGCAATATTAAGTAAACAGCAACACCGCGTTATGCATGCTTAGTAGGTTAATTGTTATATAATTAAAAAAATGTCACTCCATTTAATGAATTATAAAAATATAATTAAAATAATATGTTAGCTACTCAAATATTTGCTGTAAGAACACGGCAGCTGAAGATTTGATCAGCCTAATTTAAACAACTATAGTAAACACGGTCAAACCATATGTTCCCATAACAAATTCTTTTAGTTGTTTTATCAAATTTTTCGTTTATGGCATAACACCTACTTATTGGCAGAATGCTTGAAAAGCATGATTGAACATTTTATCATTATACGACAACAACTAATCTGCAAGCAAAATAATGTAACACATACACTCACATACACACATAACACACAGAGAACAATGTAACACATACACTCATGTTCTTGAATGTACGGTACAACCTGCTGGCAATACGGTTTATACTATGCGTTAAAGTGTCAGGTACATACATATATATTTTTCACATAAACGATTTGGTTTGTAAAATGTAATGTATAATGATGACATGAATTCAACGCTTAAATATATGATACAATAAGTTCATAAAACCAGCTTTTAAAAATACAACGTTAACAAAGCTTGCATGCGCAGTGCCGGATCTAGACAACTTTTGGGGGGGGAGCCAAGATTTACAATTTTGAAGAGTTTTCAACAAAAAGTTGATGACCGGAGGAAGTTTTCAAAAAAACGGTTATCACTAGGCAGGGGAAAAAATTTTCAAGACAAACTTGATGACCGAAAAGGGGAGTTTTTCAAGAAAAATTTTTCAATGTTTACCGAGGGTGGTCAGTATTTTGACAGGGTGCTCAACTTCTCTGGTAAAGTGGACAAAATTTTACTTACCATCTTTGTTGGGCCTATGCTGTCTTTCAAAAATTCTACTCTTCCGTTAAAACAAGGACTTTAACAAACTTTTAACACAAATAACTCTTCCAACTGCGGGCCGGCTCCCCACCCCCTAGATCCGCCACTGTGCATGCGACACGATATAGGAGTACATTGCTACTTGTCATCCTTGCTTGAGTATTATTATCAATTTGCAATTAATTCAAGAAAAATAATTCTATCGTTCTATCGTCAATTAATCCCCTGCTGGTCACGCTCATCTCAAGTTTGAACAGCCATTCACTAAACTTATTCGTCGTCAGGTGTTAATAAATTGGTGGCAATGTTGATATATATTTTTCAATGTTCTATCAATTATAAAAAAATTTTGAAGTTGAAAGTTAAAAAAAGTTGAGAACGACAAAGATATTGAATAAACACTATGGATAAAATAAAAAACTAAACTTAGATATACTATATTGTTAAATTTTGCTTCAAAAATTTTTTGAAAATTAAAAATTTTTTTTATAATTTTGTCAAGTTGGTTTATTTTTGCAACTTTAGTCGTAAAAAGTTATGAAAGACATCTAGCGGCCAAAGACTCGCAAGAATTCAAGCTTGCAAAAATTACACATTTAGATATTCACATTGAAGGAGAAATGTTTCTATATTTGGATAAATATTAAATATGCAGGCACGGATCGCTGTGATCGAACGAATAATTGACTTTCCGAGCAATTATAGCGTTAATTGTCAGCTTGTAAACAGCAACAATTCCACCATAGGGTTGCCAACTGTACGTTGAGTTAATATTTCACAGATATTAACTCAACATGAGACCGTGCAGTTCTTAGTTTGTTTGCCAAGCAAGTCTGCACTCACAACTTATCCAGAGCACGTAACACAACATAACAGCTAAACAATGGTCATATATGCAATTTATTCATTTCAGTCTTTCATTGTTTGTAATAATTCAATACGACAAACACATCTGAAATCGAAAACAAATTAAATTTTAGATTCTTCGTCATTTCAGAGATTCATGCTGCTATTGAGTTTTTCTTACCGAAAGTAAAAATGAATACGAAAATTAAATTAACAATCTAATGCATCTTTTTTTTTCTTTTCACAGTACCAAACAACAACAGCTTAAAACGTTTTATTCGGTATAAACGTCAGTTTAACGACATTCGATGTACATACATACTTTACAAAATAGAATTCATTTTCGCGTCCATATCGTAATAAATGTCATATGCAAAATGAAATATAAATAACAAATAAATTTATAAGTGCACACAATCTGTACAGAATCGATTTCATGATTTCAATTGATCAATTCTTAACAGTAGCATTAGTGATAACTCCAAATTCATCAGACGTCCATGTTTATTGCTATAAAAAATTTTAACGAAACCACCAAAAAAACGCATCTTTTTAACACCAACTGCTTAAAAGTTCAATTACTTATAAGATATTTGCCTCTAAAACTAAAAAACCACCATTAAATACCACCATTAACATTTAATTTGATTTGAAACTCAATGTATTGAAAAGAATTGAGCTTAATTGGTTGGCAAACAAACGAAACATTAACATAAAAGTGACTGAAAGCCTCTTAACAAGTAGAATATATATATGGTTTAATTAAACTATAATCCATAAAAATATATGTAGTTGTGTGAATTATATTATAATTCACATATGTGAGTTAAATTTATATATGTGAATTGTACTACAATTTATATATGAGAATTGTATTACAATTCATATATATGAATTGTATTACAATTCACATATGTGAATTGGATTATGATAAATATCATACAGATGAGGAGACATGTTTACATTGAAAGAGAGTACCACATTAAGATAAGTTATCAACCAACTGAGAACAGGTAAAAAGATGAAGAAGTGATGAAAGAGTGAGAATAAGATGAAATAATAATTAGATTAATTTCTGTTAATTAACACAAAAAAAACATTCAATCATGAGATAAAAAATAATATTTCGATCAAAAAATTAAATATTAATTAACAAATCGATAAAAAACAAAAAATTAACATTTTACAATAAACAGTAATTTATGTTAAAACTGAAAATGGCAATTTTATAAGATAACTTATGGTAGCTCTTGTTTTAAAACGATTGAATTATCCATTCAATACACGCACACCACACGATAAGAAATTATATCAAAAAATATTAGTTGTATATCATTGATTAGATTTGATTAACATCAATTCAAACATGTAACAGAAAAGAACATAGTAACTACCAAATACATATAATTTACAATTTAATGTCGAAAGGATACCATATTTTATACGACATTGTATGAATTCTACCGAATTGTTGGCAAACAAACGAAACGTTAAGTTAAAAGTAACTGAAATCCTCTTGACAGAAACTCTAAATTGGTTAATAACAGTTTGGTAGAATTCATACAATATTGTATAAATTATATATGTGACCAAACAATTAAATGTTCGCTGCTAACAAACTCTTACTAGATGTCCATGATGTACAATCAAAAAAATATCAATTCAACTAACTACCGACAAATTGTTTCGCATGCCTTGGAAAATAAAAATTAAAAAATTGTCAATGCCAGAGTAGCCAACATTTGGCTGGGTTGACTTAAAATTATCAAAATGATAAATCATAATAAATTACATTAATTGAGTATATGTAATTTTTGTTATATTACCTAATTACAATAAGTTTATAAAATTGTTATGGGTAATTTTTCAATAAAAAAAAACTTTAAAAGAAATGACTTTACTGCTAGTCAGAACGTCTGTTAACATTATATTGATGAACTATAGGAATACATACATTCTATCATATGCCAGAGAGTTATTTACAAATTGCAGATGATGTTGATAAACAAATTTCGTAATTTTCATCACCAACATCAACATTATCATCGTCATCATTGACATCGTCATCATTATCATCACCACCACCATCATCAACATCATCCCCAGACATACTCCATCATTACCGTTTACCCTTACAAAAATAATAATAATTAAATAAAAAAAAAAACTGAACTTTTTAAAAATTTTATGAAAATAAATTCATTTTAAAAATTCTTCACAAAAAATAAGAATGATTTTACGTGAGTATAAAACTAAATTGTAATACTACAATAATAAAGTAACACATCTCAATCTCAACTAGTGTTAAGTAATCAAGTTCCCAAACTACACTCACAACTCATGTCACTACGATATCATCACAATCTACATTATCACAGCAATCAAACTCACAAACTCTACTCTATCACGACATCATACCACATTTACTACAATCTCTGTTACATTATGATATCATTCCATATTTACAATCTCTGTTACATCATCATATCATTCCACATTTACAATCTCTGTTACATCCTGATATCACTCCCCATTCACAATATCAGTTAAAGGTTAAAAAGGTTACCTACCCTCTCTTTTGCGCTAGCTTCAGAGGTTTCAACGACAAACACACACAGCGTATATGAATAGGCGCGAAAACCACATCATACATATTGCATATGATAGGCGGGGATCTCTTTGTATTCGAACCCAGTCACTGCAGCAGCAAGACCAGGCGCCTTTAACCATTGAGCTATCACGCCAGTTATATCGTGATATCACACTACACTCACAATTTCTGTTAAAATTCATTCACACGCTCCAAATCCCAATCTCACTCAAGACACGCATCCCAACTCCTAATTCAGAGTTTCTGCTGCCTCTTTTTCTTGGCCTCAATAGCATCCAGAATCGGCTGTCTTTTGGCCTGGTACCTCTTCTGCAGTTCCTCTATCTCCTGCTCCATCTCGGGATCCAATGATAAGTAGCGTGACTGCAGCTCCTCGTATGTTAGGTTATACAGCTGTTTGTGTTTTGTTGTCATGATGGTCTTGGAGTGAAGTGTGCGTGTCTGTGTGTATGCGTAAGGTTATAGAAATTAGAATTAAACAGATCTGTTTTGTATCCATATCATAGAAAAATTAATTATATAAGATTAGAAGTAAGCAATAAACAAATTCATAAAAATAACAATTTTTATACCACATTTTAGAATTGAAGCTGAAATAAGTAAAAAATGTCATCTTCTTCAGTGACAATATCATCATACTAACTTCAAAATGTCAAAGTGTCATTGAATGAGTCGACTATAAAAACATTAAAGGACAACACTCACGAATTCAAAATCGCCGTCAAGGAAAGATTTGTTATACTGGCCAGCCTTTTCGAAGTTATTTTGTGGTAGGAAAGGTGATGATTCAAAATTTTGTTGGGTTGTAATTTGAGGTCGATGCTGTTGTTGTTGCGGCTGCTGTTGCGGTTGTGGTTGCGGTGGTGGCGGCAAATCAAAATGATTCAAAAAGGCAGGTTTGTTTTGTTGTTGCGACGATAACGAAGATGATGAGGATGATGACTGAGCTGTTGCATATAAAGATTTCGATGTTATCGTTTGGCTCTCTGGGTAATTTAATGTTTGGCACGAGGAGTGAATGCAGTTTCAAAATAAATGTTATAGTCAAGAAGCAGAGAAATAACACGGAAACATAGGTACTTTTCATTGTATCATCATCAGCAGCATCCTCCTCCTCCTCTCCATCCTCCTCGTCAGAGTCATTGATAACCATGGTTCCCATTCCGGAGACGAGTGTGTTGTTGTTGTTGCTGTTGCATGTGCTGTTGTTGATGACCATTGTTCCTGAAGAGCTGTTGCTGCCTTTGCTCACCAGGGTGTCTGCAGAGGTTTACGTACACGAACAGGCATGAATGCATGTGTATATGAACATGCCAATCAACAGGCCAACCAGGCAGCCAACCAACCAGCCAGATAACCAGCCAGCCAGCCAGCCAACCAACTAATTAGCCAGCCAGCCAGCCAGCCAGCCAGCCAACCAATCTACCTACCTGATCCTCGAACAAGCGTTCCAGAATCAGATTCGTTTTTGTTGTTTTTATTTGATTTCTTTTTTGACTCCTGATAAGAAAAAAAAATTTATTCAACAATATCACCACAACCAAAAATAAACTTAGACTTCACTTCGCAAGAAAGTATTCCTTTTGAATACTTGAACTTGAAAAAACTTGAGATTATAACAGAAGAAACAAATAACTTTTTCAACTTTTCATTCCACATTTATTGTAAATAAAAGCCACAGAGAAAATAGAAAATGAGAACTACAATATGAGCTAAATATCAATGATCTTCTATAAACTATTTCAACCAGCAAGTACCAAACAATGTTACCTTATTAGAATCCAGATAACTGTCCCTGGAACCACCAGACAAGTTTTCCTCCTGGATCTCCTTGGCCTCTCGAATCATATCCATCAAGATCGAACTGGACTTGGCTTTCGAGATGATGAAGGGATGCTGTTGGAGATCAACAGTTACATAATCACATCCATTTATCATGCGAGACTTTTCTATAAGAATCATTATCAACATCATCCAACCCCCCATCACTACCATTATCATCTTCATCATCACTGCGACATAACAAACTCACCTGCAATAACTCCTTAGCAGTAACTCGATGTTCGGGGTTCTTGACAAGACACTTGGACACAAAATCTACAAAGTCCTCACTCCATCGACTGACGTCACGAAAGGTCGGAGGCGGTCGTGTGGGAATCATGAAGATGGCCTGCCAATCATGGAGTAGTTCAATTTCATTTCTACATTCACTTGAAGAAAGCGGGCAGCCGTCAATCAGATTTTTAATACAAATTAAGAGATTAATATTTATGAACTAATTTGACTAATAGATAGATTGATTGATAGATAGATAGATTGATTGATAGATTGATTGATTAATTAATTAATAATTGATAAACTTTTCATTACCATCATCATTTTTGCTATGATCAAAAAAAATTAATCACCTATTACTTATTTATGATTAAACTATATTCTGAAGAGAATTTAAATTCCAATAAAATCATGAATCTAGGAGCCAAACAGCTCCTACAAGGGACACGACAGGTAAGAATGTAGCGTACGTACTCTCATTGGATGGATGTCGCCATAAGGAGGCTTGCCCTCTGCCATCTCAAGAGCTGTTATTCCTGGTCAGTGAGATATGGTGTGGTTATTTCCATTAGATCGTCGTCATCGTCACCAACATCATCATCTCCAATGTCAACATCATGAATAACATAACAGTGTCGTAACGAAATGTTTCAATAAAAACTCGTTCAACTCAATGCAAATCAATGAATAATAAATTTTTCTCATGCATGAATATTTGAGTAGCAAATTTTAAAACGATGAACATGGCGACAATCAAAACCAGAATGTTTGTCCAAACTTAAATTAAGTTTTTTTAATTTAATACAAATAAAAATTAACTATCAATTTAATTTTGATACAAGGGTGTTTTCTGATAGATAATTAAACCCACTATCATATTCTGTTAACAAATATCTCAGACAACAGTTCAACTTTTTTTTGGCAATTTTTCAATAAAAATCGTTTTTTCTTCTCGGACTCAAAAATTACTCTTATTATTATTACTATTAATATTATTATTACTATTTAAATTTACACAAGAACAGGTTCATTTTAAATATTTTTCTATTAAAAATTCTTGATAAATATTATCAGAAAGACAATTCAAATAGAAAGGAATAAAATTAAAAAAAATGTACATAAATTAATTTTAAAGAAAAAAATTGTAATAATCTTAAAAAAATTTAGAAAAACGAACCAAGACTCCAGATGTCAGCGGCGCAGTCGTAGCCAATTTCTTGAATGACTTCTGGAGCCATCCAGTACGGAGTTCCTATCACTGTGTTCCTCTTTGCCATGGTGTCCTGGAGTTTTTGTTGTTCAGTGACGCATTTACTTGTTTATTCATTAATTAATTAATCCATCTATTCATTGATTCATTTTTTATGGCATTTATTCATTCACACATTCTGTCAGTCAGTCACTCATTTCAACATTCATTTATTCATTCCTGTTAATTCACATACCTCCACGCATTCAGTCATCTACGCAATCATTCATTCATTCAATCATTCATTCATTTATTTATACAAAGCCACTTAAACATTTGAATAATTAATTGTTCTTATACTGTAATGAATGAAGCAGCTATAAGAAAAAAGAAAAATTAACAACAGCTATATATGTGATGCCTTGCTATCTACAAATGTGATCTTTCATTCATTCACTTTGTGATATGTTATGTTGCTGAAATAAGATAACAAACACTATATTGAAAATTGAAGAGGAAATAATTATGAAAATAATATTAAAATATAATAACATAATTAAGATAACAAACACTGAAGTGAGACAGAAGATAAAATAATTACAAAGATAATAATAAAACATAACAGCAGAAACTACATTGAAACTACTGAAGATAAAATAATTATGAAAATTATTATAATAATAATAAAATATAATTAAAAAATATAATAACATAATACTATATGATAATAATACTGACCGTCAACTGACCAGCCACCCCAAAATCTGCCAATTTCGCATGCCCTTCGTTGTTCAACAGTATGTTGCCAGCTTTTATATCTCTGCAGTGTTCATTGCTCATCATTGTATATATTTATACATTTATTCATATATTTATTACAATTATTAAGTATTATTTTGAAAGAATATAAATGGTTAAAACAATGCTCAACTTAGTGTATATCATATACATATTAAAATTAATTTACTTAAAAAGAAAGGAAATTTATTTAAATGTATATAAAGAAAGAAATATATGCATACACCCACACGCACGCACGTACACATACACATAGGTACATACTATATACAAATAATCCCATATAAATATACATAATGTTATGGAAAATACATAATTATTGTTTATAAACTGAGACACAGATAAATTTAATGAGCATGGTAAATTGCATTTAATTTAATTTAACGGTGTCTATATCTGAGTTAGTCTGGTGTGATCATATAGAATGATAAATTGTTTGAGTACATCAACGAAATGCGTTATATGTTGTATCAATATATATGAAGGTATATTTTATACAATATTCATCAACTGTATTGTTGGCATTAACCAATTAATGTTTGTCTTTTTCAATTTTTCTTACTAGAAATTTCTGGAAATTTGTTAATAAATTGAACAATTTTCAGAATATTCTAATGAGAAAAGTTTAAATTGGTTAAAGCCAACAATCTGGTAAAATGTTTGTTTGTATGAAGACGTGTGAATTTCATATTTTGATCCAACCTGTGTATTTTCTTGCGATAGTGTAAGTACTCCAGGCCCTTTAGTGTGTACAGCAGAACTGTTGCTATTGGCTCCTCTGTTAACTGATTCATTAGAAAAAATTCATTGAGTTTGAAATATTCATTCATTTATTCATTCATTCATTCATTCATTCATTTATTCATTCATTCATTCACTCATTCATTCTAGTTTGATAAATTTATCTTAATATAGAACTAAAATTAAATAATATATGGAAAATAAAAGAAATGGTGAATGGCAAAGAGATGCATGTAGTCAACAACTAACGGTCTTCCTCCTGATTCTCATGATGTCGGATACAGATCCTCCACCACAATACTCCATCACAATCTGTAATTATTGCGTCACATTTTCATAATCAATGTAAACAACACTAAAGACGCACCCTATTACAACCTATAAATATTCATTGTATACACTCTACTTCTATCTTTCTCTCGCTCTCTCTCTCTCTCTCACACACACACACACACACACACACACAAGCAAAGATATATATGAAATACAAGCAAATAATGATAATGTGAGTGCACTCCTGTGACACTATTATGATATGTCGCACCTCTCTAAGGAAGGTGTACAAACCATGATAATAAAATACTTTACTTTAACAAGGCATGCAGTCAAACAAAACAGCGGACAGCAAAATGATTTTGTTGTAGTATGCAAGATTCAAAGCTAATATAGGAGATTCAACACTAATAATCATCATTAATTAACTAACCATTAATTAATTAATTTATCACTAATTAATCATTAAATTTACTAAGGGCGAGCAACCTAGCCAATCAACCAACCAGCAAATCAGAATTTTTGAAGTAGCTCCCATAGTATTTTACAATGTAAGGACTGTCACACTGCTGCATGATAGATATCTCTTTAATGATCTCCTGTAAATCGGTATCCACGGGGACCTGCTTGATGGCAAGAACCTGGCCCGTCTCTTTGTGCACTGCCTTGAACACACTACCATACGATCTGGTGCCGACGATGTTGGAGTTCAATAAAGTAGTGGTGGTGTTGTTTTGGTGTCTATTGTTGGCGGTGGTGAAATTGTTTGACTGTTTGTTTTTGTTATAAGATTTTTTGGGCGTTTGTTGCTAATGGTGCTGTCGATTAGGTATTAATGGTTTTGTTGCAATCAAAATTGTTTTCTATTTGAGATAACCATAAACATAATGTAGTATAGGGCATGTGTTAAAAAAGGAGATAAATCATGAATACAATTAGAATTATAGACTAGAAAGACTTGCTTCTTACCAGGATGCATAGGTAAAATTTTTTTTAGTTATAAATTTCCAAAATAAAAAAAATTACTGAAAATTAATAAATGATAATTAAGAAAAATTTAAAAAAAATAGTTGACAAACTAACCCCCTCCCTATTTTGCCAATTATTGTAAACACTTCTTCGGGACCTCTGGCCAGTTCAGAATCATTTAATTTTCTCATCTCTTTGGGTATTTATTGATACTGAAATATATAAAAACACAACATGTAACTGAAAATATAAAAGAGGGCATGATTATTTATAACATAAAAGTGTAAAAAAACAAAAATCTTTAATTTTATTTATATTTTAATTTTATTAATAATTTAAAAATTTTATTGAATCAATAAATCAAAAGCAGAAGCTAAAGAAGCTTTAGCTAGATTCAGGTAGCTATGGTGTCTTGGTGAAAAATGTTTAATTTTAATATTTTAAAACTTTCAAAAGTTAGGCCAATGTCAACAGTTAATCAGTTAATGATTATTTGCTTTGTTGGTAGTTAGTTTAAAATTAAACTTTGAAGAAACTTGTTATAGAGTGTATGTAGAATAGAGTAGGAAGTAGGTAAGAGGCATGCAACTTTTTTCAATGGTGGGCCACTTCTACAGGGCTAGTCATTGTCAACAACAAATATTTCCGATAGATCTATACAACAGAGTGAAAAAATTCTAGCTTTTTTTCAAATGAACACACTTGCTCAAACATTTTATGGATTAAATAATTGATCTTTGCCTTGGAGTCTGGAATTCAAATCTGAGATATGCCTTGTTATACATCAGTCAGTTATGCAAAATCATTCAGCCAATCATGATCATTGTTCAAATATGTAACATCTTGATGTTTATTTTCCATAAAGGTCTGAATTTCTTGCTTCAAGTTTTAAAATCATTTAAATGTGGCAGCTGCACACCCCTGCTGTATGTAGGTAGACTATTTAACCTACACTTACCTACAGATTTTTTAATTTCAATAAAAACAAGAATGAAATAAAATAAACATAAATACATTTTAATTAATATAAAATGAATAATAAAAATTTAATTTTAATATTAAATTAATTGAGAAGTTTATTAACGTAAGATACCAACACAGAAAGAAACTGGGGTTAATCGTAAAAAATTTGATATTTGATGATTTGATCCTGAGAAGAACAGACCGGCTATTTTGAAAAAAATCCACTTCCAATCACTGACTTATTTTAAGATTTCGATGTTGCCTGATTTAATTTTATTTTCAGACGTCCATGAAAAATTTAATAAACTAATAACAAAAAATTAAACTTTCACGAGCCGATGCGGATGAAAATGTAAACACTTTTGTGGTGCGATAATAAACCAACTCAACTTAACAAAGCAAACTACCTGCAACATTTCAAAAGGTTCTTAAATATTCCCGAACGATTTACAATGCAAACTAGAAATATGTGGATTACATGGCAAATTGAGCTTAAGATAAGACGACCTCAATTTGGATTATGAAAATGTTTTTAGTTTTAAATGGTTTTTAATCCATTTTAAGGTATGTTTAACAGCAGTGATGAACTAAATCATGAGTCTATGAGAAACAAGGAACGCTCTTTGGCGTTATTTTTCCTTTAACTATGATTTAACTCTTACCAACCACCTTAACTCAGCAGACATCATTGCAAATATTCAGCAGCAATTTGATAATGAATATAAAGAATATAAAACTTATTAAACATTTCAAAACATTTTGCATTTGTTATTATTTAATTTGTTCTGTGAGAAATGTATAGGCAAGTGCACACGGTATTTCATACTGGTATTGCCTTATTGTTTTTTCTTTATTTTGCGGTTCGGTGAAACGCAGAGTTGCTTACATTACATGTTACTGTTATTCTATACTTTAAAATAAACTTTTGTGCCACAAAGGCTGTTCTATCCACACCAAACGACAGAAAGAGTTAAAAAGTAGAGTATAATGACGCAAACGATTTCTAGGTTAACTGTATCTCAATTCCTATGCACAATTCAATTGCAACGAGGTGTTTTTTGATACCCTAAGTCAAAAGAACGTATATCATATAAAATGGTTTATTCGATTAAAAATATTAAACGTATGCAAGATATTAATTTATAATTTATTTTATTTAAAAATTTATATAAATACAAATTTTGTTAAAAAAATTGTTTACATAATTTATTATTTTAGTGGTGTACAAAAAATTAATTTCACCTTTCAAAAATTATTATAACTAATTTTAATTTTCATTTCAACATGGAATTTTATTTTTAAGTCGAGGCGATGGTTTATTTATTTAATTTATGAAAAATCGGATGGTTGCTGAAACGATCGTTATCGATTTTAAGTATTGATTTAAATATTTGCAATTTTTGTATATATCGACATTCATAAACTTATTAATGAACATATGCATTTTATCGCTTTTTTATGACTACAGATTAAAAGACATTTTGTTTTTTTTAAACAGTGAAAACAAAAAACGAAAATTAGAGTAGTGTTGTTTCATCGTCAGGTGCTTGCTTTACATTTATTATCTGTAAAATCTATCATGTGTAACAAAATCGCATTTTTAAACTTAACTAGTTCCTAATCGAATGCAATGCAGATAGAGATTTATTTTTTGCACTACTGGATCAAAATTGTGTCTTGCCTATTAATGGCATTTTTCACTTTTTTAACCTTTCAGCTTGAAAATGCAAAACGAAACGAATCCAATGAATTATAACATGGATGATCCAATGACAAACCATCAGCAGATTATACCTAGCAACAGTTATCTTCCGATGAGCAACAGTAAACAGCATGCAAACGGTCCACTCATTTCCCCAGTAAGGAATAATAGCAGCAGTCAACAATTTCAACATTCCCAACAACTTAAACAGCAAACTTTAAATTGTTATGGAAAAGTATCTAACATGCCACAAAATTTTGTCAGTCAGAACGTAATGTATAATGATAATATGCAGAAGGGATATTATTATAATGCTCCCTACCGGAACGAACAGCTGGGTATGGTTCGATACAACACCCCAAATAATTATTATCAACAGCACATGATTCCACACCCATCCCAACAAATGGGATTACACTGCTACAACAAACAACCTATGCCTCCACAGCGTGCATTTTACCATCAAAGAAGTATGGGATTTTATCCTGAATCAAACATTGATGAACAGAGGTTTATAAATGATCAGCCAAACTGGAATGCTTCAAGAAACGTTTATTGTGGGAAAATAGCTAAGAATCCTATGGAGATGGGAAATTTTGATGCAAATTTTCATAAGCATGGACAAGATGTGGATATGTATAGCTTCTCTCCGAGGTATCCAGACCACACGCAACAACCACATGCTCCCAATCAACAACAACATATCAACAATAAATATTTTATGTCACAACAGCAAATAAACTCAGAAGCAACAGTTGATCCTAGATTTTATAACAGCAGACCAATGTTACAACGTTCAAATGAGATGCTGAAGCAACCAACTGCACAGCATTTTGAAGACAGTTTTTATTCTGGAGGGCCAGCACTTGCAAATTTTCAACATCAACAATCTTCAGCTTATTTGCCTGGACGAAGATTAGAACACTTTTCTCACATGGATGATTGCCAGCAACTTTCAATCTCTCAACATCAACAAACATTTTCTGGCAGTGCTGCACCATCTTCATATTATCCAGACAGTGAAAATAAAACTGTGGCAAAGGGTACTGTGGAGTATTATAATACCCTTCATGGTGGTCACCATGAGCACCAAGGGAGCAAGCCATCAAATAATGCAACAACAGCTAACCAGATCATCGACCACTCAAAATTTCTTTCAGGTCCAAACCATCTCCAGCAATCTCATTCACTACCATCCAACAAACCGAACATTCAGTCACCTGTTGCCGATCATAATAAACAAGCACCAGACCATAATGTTCACATGCTAGCCACTATTTCTGAATCAAAAGTTGAACCACAGCAACATCAGCAACTACAACATCAACAATTACAGCATCAACAACTGCAACATCAACACCTACAGCGTCATCAACTACAGCATCAACAGCAATTGCATCAACAACATCACCCATCAGCGGCATCATCTTTGGCCTCTCCTCAAAAATCTCTTCATCCTCTTCAGTCAAGTAGCTTTTACTGCACATCTTCTTTCTTATCAATGACGACAGCAATGATAACAACAACAGCAATGATAATGACAACAACAATGGCAACAACGACAACAATTATAACAGCAACAACAACAATGCTAGCAACATATGCAAAAGAATCTGGCTGCAGTTCATCAAAGGACAGCTTCTATCAGATTAAAAATTCATCATCAGACCTGTTTCAACAGGCAAGTAAGAGCATTTGTTCAACTATGAAAATGTCAAACCAATCAAAATCTAGTTGTTCTCAATCTCAAGCCGGTAGTCAGCACATCCAATTCAACAATTCCATCATGAGCAACATGGCAAGGTCCTGCGATAACTTGAACTACAACATAGCAACAACCGCGACATCAGTGACAACAACAACAAAAAACAAACAACTAAGAAAACCTAGAAAGAAGAAATCAGATGTGGTTGCAGTTCGAAGTGAGTACCAACACAATGATCGAACTATTGTCGTACCTTACAAATGGAAACGAGTCATTGAAAATAAATCTGTCTATTATATCAGGTTTGTATGTTGATGGCTGCTAACATTCATGTTTCATTCTTTGTTCAATTTATAACTCTAACTCACTCAATCATCCAAATTATCTGAAAAATTTAATTTTGGTTAAAGTTGGTTACACTTAAGCTTATCCAAGTGAAACCATTTTTATTTTTAATGTTTATGTTCATTGTGCTCTTTTTTCTAGTTGGAAGTAAAGAATATCAGTGTTATTAATTTGCTGGTAGCTTTTTTGCTTATTTGTATCACATAATTTCTTTAAAAAGTTTTTGCCCTTTAATGTATTGGTTTCAATTTTCTTAGAACTTCTATATGCTAAGACTAAAAATTTTAAGTTTAAAAGTTTATCATTATTTAAAACGAATTTTTTCCTATAGACGATATAGTTTATTTTTGTATGGTTTAATTTGAAATTATAGAATTAATTTTAAACAATTAATTTTTACAATCAGTTTGTAAAAGTTTATTATATAATATGTTTGAACAAGATTCCAACATTAATTGTTAAAAAAATCTTAAACAATTTATTTTTACAATCAGTTTGTAAAAGTTTATTATATAATTTGTTTGAACAAGATTCCAACATTAATTGTTAAAAAAATCTGATCAACTTCAATATTAATTTTAAACCTTTTTGTATTTTTTTAGCCCTAGTCGAGTAAGATTGGAGTCTTTGAAAGAAATTTATCAGTACCTGCTGACTGATGGTACATGCAAATGTGGCTTACTGTGTCCACTCTTTATTGAACAGGTGTTCATATTTGATTGGACAGTTGAGTCGAAGCATCTAACCAATGAGGAAGCATGTATTAAGGCCAGCAATTCAACTAGTCTTTGTTATCATAAGAAAAAAATGAAGTTCAAAAATGAGGCTTCAAGCAACAATGTTCCAACTGCAGACGATCAAAAGAAACTACAGATCAACAACATTAACAACCACAGCAGCAACAGCAGTTTTGGAATTTCCAACATGGACGACAACAACAACATCATCAGCAATATGAACAGCAGGCAATGGAGACAGCGATCACCTGGCAGTAGCTGCTCATCATCAAACAAGCACAACATAAAATGTAGAGAGAAGAGAAAATCAAAACTTGAATGTTCACTCATCGACACTTACAGACCATCTCATGACATGAACAATGATAAATTCATGTCTTGCAGCAGCAGCAACAACATCAACAGCAACATTTCATCCTTCGATAGAAATAATGACAACCCACCTTACAGCAGTCATAATTATATGCAGGACATGTCATCAACAACGTCATCATCATTCTTCAACAGAATTCAAATGACGTCAGAACCATCCACACAATGTCTCTCGTCTCCATATGACAGCGATGCCACAAAATCTGCCTCTGACATCAACTGCAGCAGTAACGAATCATTCAGCTCAGATGATGATGATGACGATATACTTAACAGATCAGATCTTCTTCTTTTCACTAACAACAACATAAATAATAATAAAATCAGCAACTGCACTATGAAAGTCAGTAGTGTTAAAAGTAATGTTGTTAATAATAGCACTGATAATGCGAACAACAACTCTTCCCAATTAAAGCATTTGCAAGATCGAAATGCTCAGTCATATAGTCACATTGATGATGACTATGATGGTAACACTGATAATTCAATTTGCTATCAAAATTTTAAAAAACAATCAAAACACAATTTACAAAGAGCAAAGTTTGACTCTGCTGACAAATTGTCACAGCAGAGTCAACAGTCAATCAACAGCCAGCAGAACTTCAGCACTTCCAGTAAACCCATTAATGACAACCAATCAGAGAGCCAGTCATTAAAAGCCAAATCGGAAATGTCAGATCTCACAGACCAATCACATAAGACTACTTGCCCAATTAAGCTTGTTGAAAATATGGTTTCAGAACTTATGACGACAAAAAATTCTCTGGCAGAAGTCGCAACGATGATGATGATGAGCAAAGTGGAGAATGAGAAAAAGAAAAAGGTAACTGATATCCATAATGTGGAATGCAACAGGGGGGTTGCAACATCTTTTGTAACTGTTGAAAATATTGCATCCACCAAAGTTGCGAGCAACAAGAATATCAATTATAATGTCGCAAAGTCTGCAGTTCCTTCAACGAGCAATATTTGTATTTCGTCCTCAAACAACAACAACAACAACATATCAACCAATGTTGCCAGAGCTACATCAGCTGCAACATTTTCTTCAGGTCCATCAAGTTTTTCAACATTGCCTTCATTAAATTCTGCTTTAACCAGTGCACTTTCTTTTGTTGGATTGAAGACAGCAACGTCAATCACAACAACTTCTCTGTTCACTTCAGGCAAGTTAACTGATAAGACAAATTCGATGTTATGCTCCGCAACAAGCAATTCAGAGTCTTTCAACAGAACAACATCCATCACAACATCCTTTTTTACAAACGACAAGTTTAGCAACATTTTAAATGTCGGTAACAAACTGCCTACTTTGTTGAATGTAGATGATATCAACAAAATATCGACTGCCACAACAATCGATGAAATGTTTTCAGATGACGAGGAAGAGGATAGTTCTAGCATGGCATACAGTGGCACCCACGACAAAGATAACATTATCAACATTTGGCTGGAAAATAATGACAAAACGTGCAACAAAGCTGATGAAGATGTAGGAAAGAATGCAAGCTGTGGTAGTGGTGGTGACCTGAAGGATGAGATGGATGTCGATGATGTTGTCAAGACAACAGGAACACAAACAAGCACTCCTGCTTCTAACTCGACACTGGAATTTGTTGATAATGATGGTGACTCTAGAGAAACAATTTGTTGTGGTAGTGTTGAAAATAATCTCAACATCATTTCAACATCATTTGATGGGATTGCCTCTGGTACCACTTCAAATTATGCCAATTCTTCTTTATCCGTTAACACTCCAGAATGCATTATGAGTTCAATTGTTGTTGTCAACAGCAAAACGTCAACAGCTGTTCCAATAACAAGTACAACATCACCACCGACCTCTTCAAACTTGTCAGCAGTCCCAAGCACAGTAGTCACCAAAGTTATTGAAGCATCCACCGCCAGTACATCATCACCAAACACAAAGTCATCAACAACTCTAGAAACAACTTCCAAAGTTGTAACGCCACCAAATAATGAGACAAGCTCCCACACAAGCAATAATACTGACAACAACAATAGCAACAACAGCACAGCTGATTCATCACTTCAGCAGCAGCAACATAAACAACAAAACCAGCAGCAGCAGCAACAACAAGTAGTTATGGTACCCACTCAGCAATCATCCACAGCAATTCTCATACCGCACCAACAACAATGCAATAATTTAAATTTTGACAGTCAGTTGTACCAGACTGCTCAAGCTAACTACCTTCAATCTCTTGGTTTCGGATTTGCTCAGGGGCAGGTTGGTCTTCTGCACTTTGCAGCCACGCCTTCATCCAATCAGAGCCTTGGATTGGCTCTTGGAATGGGCGTCAACATTCTCAACAGTGGTAATGTCAATAACAATGCTAGTAGCATTAACTTCAATGGCGTTGGTGCTCTGAATGTTAACAATAGCGGTACTGAAAATATTGTCAACAATTCATCTGATAATGATCAAAACAATTCAACTACTGATAACAACTCTCTACCTAATGATCCATCCAAAGCAACTCTGAATAATAGTACTTTATCAACTACGACAACAGAAACAACAGATTTCAAGTCACTAGCAACAAATTCAGTCAATGCAAACCAGTTGTTCCAGTTGGTTGTATCTCAGGGTGTTCAACAAGCACATCACATTCTAGTCCCTAACTATTCATCTTTCACTCCGTTTGCTGGAGCTGCCTTAGTACCCGTTCCTGTAGTCCAACCGAACTCAATGGCATTTTGCAACTTGGTGGCCACACCGAATGGACCTCCAACGCTGTTCACTGTGGGACAAAATCCATTCAGTTTCATGACTGCCGGTCCCATCCTAGTCAGTGAGGATGGTGGTGCCGCTAATGGTGCTGCCAGTGGTGGTGGGGGTGAGAAGGCAGCACCGAGCAAGAAGTTGACATCCCCAATGTACTGCCACGATGCTCCTGATAGTACGGTTGATTCAGAAGATGTCATCGAACCCGGGTCTGGTCACAACAACAACAATAATAATAATAACAATAACAAGAGTAATAATAATGGTAATCTTGACAACAATAACTGTAACAGAAACAGTTCTGGCAACAATAATAATACAGCTGAGGGTGATTTTATCAATAAATGCAGCAAAAATGAAAAAGTTAATGAAAGTTTTTCATCATCTTCATCATCGTCCTCGTCATCTTCGTCTTCATCATATGTTCCAACATCAACCAGCGGCACTGCCGTGTTTGATAAATGTCGAAGCATGAATGTCCTGGAGAGCAACTTGAACAGCACCAACACTGGTGGCAACAAATCATTATCACCGATCGTCGTCGTTGCTGACGATGATGATAAACAGACAACCATAATGAACTACAGCACATCATCTGAAACTGATGACAATGATGATATGATGATGATGATGATGACGGATGTTGAACATTGCAACAAGATGACATCTGTTGAAGATTCCAGTTCTCAGGCATCGGAGGCCTTCGATCATCATCGTGGTTGTGGAGGTGGTGATGGTGGTGGTACTTCCCTGGTGAAGAACTTTGAGGTGGTGGGAGACAAGGACACCAGGTGCAACAGGAGTGTGCTCTCTCGGCATGGTGACAACGAGGACGCAGTGGATGACAAGTGGAAAGATAAGAGTAAACTGCAATCTAAGAAGTTGCTGAAATATGCACATTCTGTTAAAAGAAGAAGAAATAAAAGATTCACAAATCTAATTTCAAATATTAAAAATTCGTCCTTGTCTCGGACAAAATTATTTTTAACTCAAGGTGACAATAAAAACCTTAAAACTGACAGCAATAATGGCAGCAAGTTAGTTTCAATGCTAGCATCATCCTCGTCTTCTTCATCATCGTCGTTGTCGTCCTATGCAACGAGTCTCAGTGATAAGATGAGCGCAAATAATGACTGCCTGGTGACTACATCCGAGTCACACAATGACGTCAACAATGCAGATGGCATGACAAATTACGATGACAATAATAATTCGGTACTCTTGTCTGTCAGGAACGTGAGGAGTCTGCAGAGGAAGGAGCTCGAGATGAGGATGAAGATGATGAGGAAGATGGAGCCCGAATCTCCAATCAGTTCGGATGATACAATTGGTGGGTTGTGAATTTTCAAAAAATATTTTTGTGTTGTTCATTGATGTAATATGAATTCAATCAAGCATTTATGGCGTTTACAGTTTTCAGTTGTTTTATTCTACTATTTGAATTAAACAGTTATTAAAGTTAAAAATTTCATCATTGAAATTTTTTACGCATTTGTTTTGAATTAAACGAAAATTTTAGTCAAATAAAATCTAAAACTTTAGTGAATTTTTAATATTATTTTAAATTAGGTATCAAATTTTTTTTAAAGGTGTTAGATATTAGCATGCAAGCAATGTTAAATTATCACATTCCTCAATGCTCCCATACAATTATAATAAGAAGTCAACCGTCACTACACCACGATGACACTCAGATGACGCAGACTCGACAACAACGACAACTCTACCCGCGGCATCGTCATGCAACTTCAACATTGGAGATCTTGTCTGGGGACCAACCAGAGGCTTTCCATCCTGGCCGGGAAAGTTGGTGTCTGAAGTCGAAGTCAAGGGCCACCCCAAGCCCGAATGTGGCAAGGTAGGTCATAGGTGGGATGGGCGAGTTTTTGTTCCTGTCGTCATCATGGACTTGGTTGATGGAATAAAATATATGCTATTTTTAATATTAATTTTAGATTTCAATTAAGCCGCGAGATGAGATTTAATGCACCAATACATTGTTTAAGTGGGTCAGAAATTTTTTAAACTTATTCATCTCAGCAGAACATCATCTAAGTTTTATTCCATGAGTCTTTATGATTTGATTGATTTCCTTCCATGTTTATGCTTTGTGTCGCATATCATATTTCTTAAATGTTCTCATTTTGTCCTACTTTTATCTTTGTTGGTAGTAGAGGAAGAAAATAGAGTGAATAATATGAATGTGTAATGTCAATCAGCGAAACATAACAAACAATCTCAGGTGTGGGTGAAGTGGTTCGGAGACAACACGTATGCCCAGACAGACATCAGCCAACTGAAGACGCTATCAGAGGGACTTGAGACTCACCACAATGCTCGAAAATCGCACAGAAAGTTTGTTTCATTCAAAAATTTACATTAGTTTAGAAAATTTTTATTATTTTCTTGCATTTTTAGCATTGTTGTGTGGTTTTTTAAAAAATAGCTTTTTTTCAATGCTTCACTTCATTTATTTTGCTATGATTTTCTTATATTTGGTCTTATTATCAAATCTCTTTTTGCTAATTCAAGGAAATTTTAAATTGAAAACAAGACAAAAAATTTGTCACTGTATTTTAATGCTGAAGCCTTTATCTAAATTGGGAGACTCGACAATAAATGTTCCTCATAAGTAATGATTGGATATTTTTATAATTAAATTCCAAGAAGTTCTGCAAAGATCTATATTTTGTGATTTCATCATATCCATTAAATTTTAGTGTAATGTGAAGGAAACTCAGTGATATTTGTGACAACATAAAACATTTGTTACTTTAACCAGAGGTCGAAAGATGAACGCTGGGTTAGAAGCCGCAATACAGGAGGCCATGTTTGAACTGGACAGACAGATGGCTAGACAAACAACAATACAACAGCAGCAACCACAGCAACAAAAATCATCAAACAACACTAGCGACAACATCAATGTCGCTACCACATCTGCAGCCTCAAAAAAGTCTAGACGCTAATCTGATTAATTTTCTCTACATCAATTAATATTACCTTTAATCATCATCTTCATTATTCATCACCAAATTATTCGGATTTATTTTAATGTTAGCTCTTAAATTAACTATTAACTGAATTTCTTATGATTATTTATTTCAGTAAACAATAAGTTCGTAGTGTTTTTTTTTGTTTTTGAATGATGATGATGATTGTTTTAACTTCAATTTGTTACCTCCACCACGCCATAAGCATGCTTATATTCTAGTTAGCTGACATCATCATTTTCATCATCATGTTTTTTATAATACATAATCTTCATCTATTCACACAACATCACGACGTTTCAATCTATTTCGTTTGAGTTCTAACTGATTTTCTTCTTCATTATTTTTAGTATTATTTTTTTGTTATTTTTCTTATTATTGTTTTTAATTATTATTATTATTATTAAATTGAAATTTCTACATTTTTGGTGCTTCAAATTATAAACTGCATTCACCTGATAATTTGAAAAAAAAACCATTATGTGTTTATTATTAAGATGTTATTTTTCCTTCAATCATCTATTCATTTAATTATTCGTTTGTTCATTCATTCATTCATTCATTCATTCATTCATTCATTCATTCATTCATTCATTCATTCATTCATTCATCTATTTGATCATTTGTTTATACATTCATTCATTTATTTATTGTTTATAAATTGGAGTTAATTGTACATTAATTTTTAATTATTTCATCATTCACGTTTCAATTTTATTCATGTTTAATTACTTTCAACTGTTATAGAGTGTACATTGATATAAAAAAGGTTCATTTTAATAAAAAAAATGTTGTTGTTTTAATTTAAAAATGCTTCGTAGTTGGACGATGATGATTGCCCTTAAGAATTGGTTGGTGACAACTAGCTACTGGTACTGTTAACGCTGGTACGCGAGATACTGCAAGGTAATTCATTTTTGTTACAGTTGGTACCATATGATATGACAATCATGAATTTATCAGCTTCTGTCACTTTATTGCACCGTTTAATTAGCACATGCATATGTTTGTTTGTGCGTGTAGAACACACACACACACATAAACGTATGCGATTTTAAAAATGATCGTCAGCGTTTATACAAAACAGTGAATAAAAATAAAATTGAAAAAAACGATAAAATTGTAAATAAAAGATAATCAGATGACTATTTTTTAGAAAAATTTTTAGTAAACTTTCAACAAAAAGTCTATTTCTAAAATTGTTGGATTGGATGGCAATTTTGTGACTTCACAGTTGAAGTTTGGGGCAACCGTTAACGTGTTTTGTTAAAGAAACAAGACCTGCTGACCATCTGTGGCATGTGGAATATTCGGTGGTTAATTCTTGTAAATATTATGTTGAATTTCAAAGCAACTATCAAAATTTCCAAATAGCTGAGCAATTTGTTAGAGTAATTTCTTTGAAACAAGTTTTACCTACCATGGAGTTGAGGGTTTTTAAAAGTTTTGCAAATGAAAGACGAATCATATTTTTTAGTTCTTAATGCGATGATAGTTGGTAACAGGTTTCAGTTTTAATGACTAGTTTTGTCGAAACAAGGAAAGGTGTTAGACAAGGCTGCGTATTCTCTCCAGACTTGTACAATCTCTAAAGTGGTTTCATCATGAGAAAGATAGAAAATCTATTGGAAATATTCATTGATGGAGTTAATATAAACAATGCAAGATATGCCTATGATACAGCTCTTATAGCAGATTTAATGGAATAATTGCAAACAATTGTTTCCGAACTGGTTTTGGAAAGTGAAATGAAAGGCTTGCAAATTAACATCAACAAAACAGTCATGGTTATCAATAAAAGCCAAACCACTCCAATTTTCTTAATAATCATTAATGGTAAACAGGTAAAACAAGTAAACAGCTTTAATTATCTCAAAAGTCTGATTACCTCAGGTTGTAAATGTGATATGGATATCAAAAGAAGGATTGCTATGGCGAAAGATGCATATTTTAAAATGAAAAACATCCTCACCAACAGTAAAATCAGAGTATCAAAAAATTTAAAACTGTTAGGGTGTTACATTTTTCCTAGGCTAACTTACGGCTCTGAGTCCTGGAAAATTTCTAAAGAAATTGAAAAAAGATTAACGCTGCTGAGATGTGGTTTTTGAGAAGAATTATAAAAAATAGTTGAACCTCTCATACATCGAATGAGGATGTATTAAAACAGTCCGGTTATGAAAAAAGAAATTACTACAGATAATCCGACGGGGCAATTAAAGTTTTTCGGTCACATCATGCGGAAGGAAGGAATGGAAAATCTAACTACTGGAAAGATTGCAGAGAGAAGAGATCGCGGTCGACAACGAATAACATTCGTGAAGTCCTTGTGTCACTTGTTGAATATCACCACATTTCAACTGCTAAAAGTGTTAAAGATCGTGTTTGGTGGAGGTAAATGGTCGCCAATGTCCTGAAAGGATGAGGCACGAGAAGAATCGTAGAATACCAAATAAAGAATATACCTACCTGTCTGTATTTTTAATTTAATTACACAAGTCGTTCTGTGACGGCAAACACTCAACGTTAAAAGTGGCCGTTTAAACCGCTCAACTAGATGATACATAGAGAACTTTATCGTTTTCACACGATACTTAATTCTCGATAACAAAAAAATTTGACTAAAATGAAGACATTTATTAACCTTTCATTGTAGTTAAACAAAGAATTGTAAACATTTATTTGTTAAAAACATGCGGTTTTATATATTTAACTTAATTCGCTTAGCTTGAACTAGAGAATGACGACACGGAGGGGGGAGTGGTAATGAGACACGAGAATTAACATCTAAATAGAATTTATTTTCATTTCGGTAAGAAATATTATAGAGAAACGGGAACGATTCTACCGGAGACAAAAAATATTCATCAGGAATAAAAACTTGTTAAACGACAAAATTTTGTAAATTGTAGACCTTTTTCGTTAGCTAACAACGGTTTGATATTTTTACACATTGAAACTAGTTTGATTTTTTTATCATTTTATTTCAATTTTTATGTAATTTTAAATTTAATGTTGATAAATAAGATGGAATAAGATTCTCTGTGAAAAAATTGGAGAAAATGAAACGTTTTTGAACAGCATGCTAGATAGGAATTCGCCATTAAACAGTATGGTTAATGGAAAATGGACAAAGGAAATTAGCAGGATGTTCCTGTCCACATTCAAAACTCTGCCTATCAAACCTGAGTTTATGCAGTGCAGAATGGTTGTTAATACTTGTTTTTATTAATCCTGCTGGTTATCTTCGAATTAGACCAACTAGACATTATCTTCTCCCACCAAACTTAGAATATATTTACCAACAATCACAAAAACTAGTTCTTTCAAATTTGACTTGAAAACTTGTAGGTGCATTAAGTTTCTCAGTTTTCATCTTTAACACAAATCAAATGAAAAAAATAGTTCCTACTAGATACTAATTCCGTCTAGTGAGTAATATACTCTATATTTTTTCTTTCAACGAAATAATTACTAATATGTTTGAGTTTTTTTTTTTTTGACATATCAAACGTGACGAGACGATGTTCATTTATCGTGTATCTTTTTCATGAAATTGAAAAAAAATAACGAAAAGCAAGCAAACATGTATGGGTGTGTTTTGTGTGTGCGTGTATGTGTGTGTGGTGTATATGTGTGCGTTTATCTATATCTATAAATAGATACAATAAATATAGATAACAAAGGCAGCACTGTATATAGATAGTGAGGTAGTAATACCTCTGATATGAATGATTGTCGCCAATTTGATGGCCGAAGGAGACATCTTGAGTCCGAAGCTACAGATAGTGCAGTGACGCATATACACACGCAAGTACGGTAGCGATTACTCTTGAAATTATGAAGAACTTGTTCATTGCATTGCAACGTTCGCATAGAACTGTCGTTGTTGTTTTTGTTGGCGATTTCTTTCTTGCGTTATATTCTATTCTAAGCTTCATGTTATTGTTATGTTTTTTGGCGTCAACTACTCGATAGCCTGAAAATGCAGATTTTTTTAAGTTTCAAATTAACATTTGGATGTTTTGGTTGGCTGTGTGTTGATTTCTATTTAACTTGCATGCTATTTAGCTTTTCAAAATCCATATAAGTGAGGACTCGACGTTTGTTAACAGAGTTAATATCTATCGTTGTTATGTTACACACATTATTTATAATGGTAATGCTAACACTTTTATATCATTATTTTTTTATATTTAGTTATATATTGCTATTTATATGACAAGAATTACATTTCCATTTTTATTTTAATTTAACAATTAAATCGTTTTCCGTACGATTATGTTTACGTTAAACATTTTTTACTCCTTTTTACTAGATGTGTGGCTCATTACGAACGGCGCGCGTGCGTAAAATAAACCTTTTTTCTTTGTTATTTTCTTCTTATTATTACTATTCTTTTGATTATTTTTCAAGTGTTTTTCAATTGTTTATTTGAACTAATTCAAGTTGGAGGAGAGATTTGTACTTAATATAACCAGTGAACATCATTCAAACAAACCCATATAACCAGAAAAACAACGACCGAAAATATTTATTAAGAAATCTTACTCAGACGCAAATAACATCAATTTTTTCCATAACTTTTCATGTGTGTAAGTTGGACTCAGACAAAAATCTAAGAGCTGCATACATAGCTGCAAGTCTGTAACTAAAAATTAACTGAATCATAGGCTAACGTTTTAAAGGAAGGTTAGATAATGCGAAGAGGGAGATAAAAATTTAGGAAAAAATATAAGTATTAGGATGGTGTATTTCAGAGTAGAATAATTAATAACATAGAAAAGAAAATTTTTACACTTCCACGTAATAAAAAATTTGAGATTTTCATCTTATTGAATAAGCACACGTACGTTCAAACAAATTTAGAAACCATTCTACATAAACAGCAGACGGTTATGACGTCTGTCTGTCAACTCCAAGTATTAAAATCTTGAGAGCGCATTGCATTTTCACCCCGCCAATTTCCACATTCGTCATGAATAAAACAGCAGATTAATTAATTTTATTTTTTTTATGTTATTTTTATTTATCTGCTGTCGACGATGTTATTTAATCTATATATCGTCGGTTATATTGTCACACAAACACAGCCCTGCAATTGATGTATTGTATAAATATATGGATCGGCAGTAGGAAAATAGAACAAGATTTGTTTTAATTAAAAAAACTTAAAAATGAACAAACTGAACAAATTTTCTAAATTTGAAGATAAATTGAGAGGACTTTAATTAACTTGAAGATAGCAGATGAATTCATTAAGAGACGAATGAATTTAAAATAAAATTACTTGATGGATTGCTTCCATGTAGGGTTTCCATTCGTCATCGTCATCGTCCTCTGCATCACTGCCAATGTCATTATTATTTAAACCATCACCATCATCATGTCATCATTGTGGTCATCGTCATGTTAACAACAATTGCGTCATCGTTTTCTGGCAGGTGGTTGAGCATCATCTAAATCGTCATCATCATCATTGTATCGTCCACAGTTTGCTATCATCATTAACATAATTACACCATATAGTGACATCAATGTCACTATAACCGATATTGTTAATCATCATCTGTCTCCATCATCACCGCTTTAATAACCATTATTAATATTATAACCATCTTTGTTATCTCAAACATTAGCATTACCACAAACACACACACAAAAACACACACGCACCAATTTAAACTTAATTCCAGTTCAAATTTGAAAACATCCTGTTGCATTAAGTGTGGGAATTGCATTTGAATGGAACTAAAGACAAAAAACCCCACCAAAGAAAGACATCCTCAGAAAGAAACAAATGTGCAAATGGAGCGCGCAATCTTTCCTTCGACGTATCTGTTACAAAGAATAAAAACTCTAGATTAACATTGCCTGCCAAACGAGTAGAACATGAAAGACAAATAAATTGGCGCGTAAGTGTTAATGGCGCCAGAAATTTAATGTGCTGTTGGTATGAGTGGGTGATTGTTTGATTGGCAAAAGTGCATTTGAAGCACATCATGTTGTAACAGTATACATACGTACAACGTATATAAATTAATTTTGTTTGTACCTCTCTTCAATCAATGAATATTTCATTATACTGTAGTCTAGACAAAAACAAAAAAATAACAAAAATTGCATATAACAAAGCTTTTTTTAATGTTTGCGATAATTCAAATGTTATTATTTATTTGTCAATAAATTACAATTAAAAATTGATTCATGTTTACTATTGCCAGAGAAGTTTCAGTTGAGAGAGCAGATGATGCCACAAATGAAAGAAATATAAATAACCACAACTCTTTGTTACATAGTGAGCCTATCCAACCAACCATCCCTTCATCATTCATCGCTCGCCTAATCGCGAACAATTTGTTTTGTAATAATGATAGATTCGCTTATTTACTTTGCAATAAAAAATATGCATAGAAACTTATCCGCTTATGCATGCACAGATACAACCACACACACATACATACACACACATACATACACAAAAAATACACACACAAAAACACACACACACGCGTGCATACATAAAACAAATTTGTTTATTCCTATTTACATATATGTGAGTTGTATGTGTGTGTATGTATGCATGTTGTTATTTCAGCATAATTCATTGGCAAGGTCGTGGTTATTGCTGTTACAAAGTAAACAATTGTTTGTTGCTGTTATAAAAAATTTAATATTTATCTAACAAAGTTATAATTATTAATTTTTTTCTAATGATTATTATCAATCAACTTTTTTGACCCACTAACTAAACATAATCACTCCAATTTTATTCACGTATTTAAACATAATTACTGAAACAGGTGCACAGCGAAGCTAAAAAAATATATAATTATCATCATCCTCACCATCATCATCGCCATCATCATTTTCATCATAGTCATAATCATCACCATCATTCTCGTCCACATCGTCGTCGTCATCGCTTTAGTTGATGCTGGTCGGTTGCCCCACTAACAACAAAAAAACAACAGCACAGACATCCAAATGAGATTTCAAACCACGATCTTTCGAGCTCGAGATTGTAAATTTTTTTCAAGGTTTCGGTTGCCGAAATTGTTTGCTACCCATCATGTCGCTTTTCAAGGTTTTTTGCTGTAATGTTTGTTGATGCTATGTTTACCTCTGTAATGTTTATCTCTGTGATGTTCATCTCTGTAATGTTCATCTTCTAATGTTCATCTCTGTAATGTTCATCTTGAGAACTTATTTTATATGCAGTGTGTTAGCAACATCAATGACGCCATATAAGTTAGAGATTGATTGATAGAGATTGGCCGACGGTGATTATTTGAAGAGAATTGAATTTTAGTCGCTACAACGTTCAACGCAATGTCATTAGCTATAATTGTTTGACATATTGACATAGTCAAGGTTTTGCCATGTACTAAAAGAAGAAATGTGGAGGTAGGTTGAAAATCACCGGAGCATTAAATTTTTTGTCTATTCTGAAAATGTGTTAACTCGTTAACTAATTAATCAATAATTATTTGCAGCTGTGGGTAAATGAACAGCTGTTCTATAAAGTGTTAAAAAAGCGAATAGATGAAATAATGATAACAACAAATACCACATAGTAATATATCAGACAAATATTAATAGAGGCTGGATAAGTTAATACATCCTCAACTTCAATCAGTGCACATGGTTACGCATTTTTAAAGACGTTTTGACTCTGTGAAAACAACCTACCTTGCCAAATAAACAAAGTGCAGAGCATTTTTATCCACTTCAATCTCGTAGCATTTAAAGGATGTGCTGCTATCATCTTTTACTGCATTCTTCTAGATTATTTTTTGTCTTCTACTTCACGAAGCATTCGTTGGAATGCATGTATAATACAAAATAATATCGTTGTTTTTAAACAAATCAGTTATATTAATATTATAATACAATATGCACCGCACTCGTTTAAATGTACGTTTCAGAAGGTCGGAAAGTAACGGTATCAATTATTCAGATGATGAAACTATCATCCTTCAAAGATTTTCTTTTCAAAACAACAGACTACAATTAGAAAACACGCGTGGATGTTTTTTTTTCTTTTTCCTCTTTTCAACAGTTTACTAATCACTGCTTCACTACTTACTATTGTAATATATAACAAGAGAAGTTTTGAACATGCTGAGCCAGGGTTATGTTGGTCTTGTTAAATACAATAAAATAAGATTCGTGTCGTAACAAATATGTTGACAAGTTTAAAAACACCATGAAAAAATTATCAATAGTGATTTAATTCATGCTAGATTTTTTATCAACAATGATTATTACTTTAAAAGTTAAAACTTTCAGTTAAAAAAATCTTCATTGATTGTGTATGCCAGTCTTTTCAATATAATTAATGATGGTTACTTCAAAGTCACTTATCATATTATTTGATTTAAAATGAAAAATTTAGTCAACTTTTTGTTTGTTTTAAAAATTTGGTGTTATCATTTGTTTTGTTTATAAAATGTTTGTGTGTTGTTCAGTTATCAAAGAAGATTAAATTTTCATTCAATTTTCAGTAATTTAATTTTTCGAGTTTCTTATGTGAAAATGCTGAGTAGCTGAATAAGAATTGTATTATTCTAACTTGCATAAACAAATTTTATTTATAACAAGTCATTCACAAAAAAAACAAACGCAGAAGTTATCAGAAGAATCCTGAACAAAATATCCTTCATCTACAGATAGAAACTCGCTTCAAATTATGACTCATTTATCGTGAATTCCCTCAAGCTTATCAAAAGTTTAGACAGAACAATTTTTTTCACAAAAATTTCGACTAACCATCAAAAATGTTTTTGTCCCAGAAACCACGAAAATATCATTAACTTTCATAAAAAAAACAAACAAAAAAATTCACAAAACCCATGAACCTAAAAAATATTTTCAAGATGATCGTCTGCAGGATTGTCGTCCCTACCAAACAAGCAGGCCTCAGGCTGGCTGGCTGGCATCTCAATGTTAAAAATTGCGTACATCTTCATTTCTATTCACGTTTTATATTTTTTGTTTTGTTTTCTTATTTTTACCAATGATAATTTGAATTTCGAAAAAATGGTTCTGTCTAATGACAAAAAGTTGTTCTGATGTCAAGGTGAGATGGTTTTCATTTTAGATCAACGCGAGTCGATACAAGTTTGAATAAAACGTATGATAGCTTATTATACTGAATGAACATCGACATGCATGAATCTCGTCTTTAAAACTGCTTTTTTCAAGAGCTAAACACCGCTAAACGGTGTTGACAAATATAAAAATAAGCAGAAGTTACTAGACACAAATTGATTTTTGCCTCGGAAACTTTTATACGGAACACAAAAATTCTTTTTATATACAAAAATTAAAATATTCAAGGAAATTGAATTTCACAAACATTTGAACAAAATAGAAAAAAGAAAGGTAACCGAGAAATTATTTTTGCCTAGCCATTAACCCTATTTCCCCTAATTTATGTGTTTATTTACACACTTTTTCAATCCAATTATAGGAGGCAATACGAATAAATTATCCTAGGATGTGTGTCAGCTAGGCTAGGTTGTTTGCATGAAGCACATAGATCCAGCTGCAATATAACCTTTGCAAATTTCTGAGGTGGAAAATATGTCATGATAACCATGAAATGTTTTTTCACTATGAACATATTTACTGATGTGGCGAACCAACCAACCATTCATTACCATTACCAACGCGAATCCCATTATGAATTTTAACTTATTAGTACCTGAGATTTTTTAACTTTCTGCAAAAATACTCATTAGTCAGTATTACAGTATTAATAAGGCAACGATGCGACGAAGATCAAGCTGCGTTTGATTATCATTCATCACCACCAACCTGCTGGCTGGCTGCCTGCCTGCTTGCCTGGCGTTAACTAACACTAGACTAGTAGTTTATTTTTAAACTGCTTACATAATATATTCAGATGAAAATGGTACATACGCACATTCATACATGTCTACATACACATACATACACATGTACACGTTCATATCATACAAACGTATCACTACT